GCCGGTCAGATAGTTAATCTAGTAATAGAAAGGTTACAGGTGCTCTCCAAAACTTTATGCTACAGCACGCAGATATCCGCACGTTTATTCAACATTACAAGGTGGATATCGGTATCGACGTCCAGGGAATTGTCTACAAAACGGGTTCTTAAATCCCGCTGGTGTGATTTGCTTGTTTGTAAATTATCTAAATCCTTTAATAAGTTCCCGGTAGTTCGTGAGCAGCAGGTTACAGTTGACAAATATAAGCGGAAGTGAAAAATTATAAAGCCAAGTTAGGACATGCTAATTTGATGTGTCAAGCCACATTTGGCCATCTTAATAAAGGAGAGCTTTCCAAACATCACTGTTTGTTCGCTACAAAAGAAGTTGGAACTTTTCCTGCATCAGACAATAGAAGCAAAGTGAGGTATAACAAAGCTGTCCGTGAAATGTGTAGCAAAATATAGTAATAATAAAACTAACAAATCTAAGAGAATCTAAAGTGATATAAGAACGAGCAGCCTGTGATCAACTTAAATTGTAGTTATCAGGGAAACTGGTGGATACCAAGGTAATAGGGGCCCTAGAGCACAAGTTCTTCATGCCTCCAGAGAGTTTAATAGTGATTAACACTGTACCAACCGTGCCAATTGCCATTCTTAACGCAGAGTATCAGCGCTTAATCCATGCGCTTAATGAGGCTGCTGCATTTTGCAGTTTGGAAAAGCGCGGCCACGTATTAAACGACTTAATCTCGCCGCCGGCGTACACCCTACAATAATAATTTAGGCCCTCCTGCAAGCGGCAACGGGACTCAGTGGATAGCAAGATCAGGATTGTTCTGTGCCAAGCAATTGAGATGGTGAAAATCAAGTCCCGAAAAGAGCGACTATAGATCTGCTTTATATGTGTCGGGGATCCGAAACTCTCAGGAAAATATGCAACGCCTGGTTCTCTTGCAGTTTCTACGAAAACACGTGAACCCTCCCAGGCCGGTCGAAGGGGTTAAGTGTAATATCTGTGGGAGGGAGCTGCTCCAACAGAAAGCCAATCTTTTAACTCAGGGGAGGCGACTCACGGAACAGCTGTGCGATGTCGCGATCAGGAGAGGCTAGCAGTCCAATATCAATACACCAAATTTAGGCTTGTGTCATAAAAGTAGCTTCTAAACCGAAAGTTTTGGTGATTGTTTATAATTTCCTGCTCTGGTTTATGAGCTTATCCTGCTGACCCTAGGGACGCCTTTGTTTCTTACAGTTCATTAGTAACTTATTTCATCATCCGAAGCGGCATGTCTCTCACGTGACAGTGGTCCAATATTCCGTTAATAATGATCACCCACGAGTGACTAGCGATTGTATTTCAGTAATTTACAATTCGCAGGGGTCAAAGGCCCTGCAAAGTATCACAGTTTACTATGCTAATGTATGGGTGCTGTATGAACTTACTTTTATAGTAATACCGCAGAATTATATTAAATATATGCAATGACGTCATATGTTCGTCTACCCTAATTTGCTTTCCGATACTGGAGCGGACGAGGATTTAGGCCAGCCTATTGCCATAAGGCAACCAATAAACATTGTCCCAACATTGAGAAAAAGGTTATTTCAATAGAACGTTCTAGACAGCACAACCTTCTTCTACAGTTCTACTGGCCGGGCCGCATCCGCGCCCTTCCGCAACCATGATCCATGAGGCTTGTTGAAGATCCACCTCACCGGAGTTAACTGAGGTTACGACGACTATGAAATTTAAGTTGAAAGTTGCAGACATTTCTCATGGGCATCCATTAATTACCCGTTTACCGTAGCAAACTACATCATGGTTTGGTCATTATCCCTTTGAAGACATGTAGCTGATACTAAATCCTACCCTAAGCATAATCTCTATTGTCTCGAGTAGATGTCATTTGTATGTCAGTCTCTCATTGCTCCAATGAAAACACGCAAAAGCTGGTCTTCATACCTTCTCCCGGCAGGCATACGTAAACGACTAGGGTGAACGTAGACCCAGTACCGCCGCAGTCGAGCATAAATATGCCCTTCTTCTCATGAAATGGCGAAATTTCTTCCTTCACTCACGTCAACTTTGACAATATCGCTTCAAATACATTTCCTAATTACGGTCAAGCTTCATCACAGTGGTGCAGTAACTCTATAATCCTGCAAAATGAAGTTCTCCACTGTTTTTCTGGCAACCTCCGTTGTTCTGTCTGGAGCAACCGCTAGTACACTTTGGTCAGATTTCGACTTTACCAATCAGCTTTGTTGGCAGGCCTGTTTTCCCAGTAAGCCTAGATGTCCAAATGGATGGGTAAGGGCATAATTATCTTCATTCTTCTTGGAATATTGCTAACACTTAAGCCAACAGCATGATCAGAGACATGGGGTGAGGATCAAACTCATTAACAGCATATTGCATTGTATCCCCGAGAAATCAGCTAACATAGTATCCTAGCACTGCTGGACTTGCTGCAGGACATACGACGCCAACGATGGTGATGACAACTTATCTGAGTGGCTCTAGTGGCCTGTTTTCAATCTCGCGGGTGTGATTGAGCGCCAGGAACAAAATATTGAAACAATCCTGTTTTGAAGGAGGATTGAATCTCGGTTCCAGAAAGCAGCTTGCATCTTAGTTGGTACTAGTATAAATTAATTATCCTGTGCGGAACAGTGAGCTGAGCTGTTTTCTTATAAATGTCTCTTTTCGTAACAATGCCGGAAACATTGTTTCAACCTGTCTTTCTCTAAATTTCCTCATAGCAGGTTAGTAGGCATAAATCATGACCATACTGTAACCCAGCCTTGGAGCGACATCCTGAATGTGAATTAAGCTCGTTCTTAATCAACATTCTATCCAATCCTTGTAGCACTAATGCTAAAGAAACTACTCCATCTGATCACCTAACAAATGATTCTTAGAATGAACATAAGTTAACTTTCTTGTACGAGAATCCCTTTGTGTAAAAAAGGACATGAGTAGATAGCGGCGGCACGATTGACAAAGGCAATCACTACGGTTCTGGTCAAGATATCTTTTTTGTAGGAATCTGTGATGGTATATACTTGACTGTACCAAAACCCATTTCCCGAATAGGATAGCTGGCATCATGTGACAGATTTATTTGTTTACTTCATCGCACAAACACCTGACCTCCTCTCACTCTTCCTATTTCTGCTCTCTGTTCTTAAGAGAAGCACTGTGTACTGAAAAACCAAGGACTCAGATACTCGACAAATTGAATCTCTTATAAGCCTAACGACAACTTGCACCTACCGAGGCAAGCAATGGATGAATACAAGCAACAAGACAACTTCAGTCTGGCCTAAACAGCAACAATGGCAAGCTCTCGATCAAGGTTACGAAAGAGTTCGCAAAAGGAATCTCGTGTAGCAAAGTCATCAACAAGGCAGTTAATACCGATCGAAGACGGCGTGTCTCCCAAGCCAAAGTCCAATAAACTACTCCAAACACAACCTGCGACTTTAACAAAGTTTGGTAGTTAATGGCCAGCACGAATTAATTCTCCAAGTCAATAAAAACGCCACGGGTGCAGGCGTGAAGGCAGCAAAACAGAGGACAGTCACAAGATATGCCTAATGAGCTCTGTGAGTATGCAGCAACCATACGCGGATTTCTTCCGGTACACTAGTGGCCGCTGGCTCTGGGATGAAGCGCAACACATTTGCGATCGATCTTCACTCCAGAGAGTTGCTGCAGGCAGCATTAGAGCGACCAAATATGCTGCAATCGCGAAACTGGCGGAAGGCACCTTTAAAACTTTCAGGCTTACAATGGAGTGTATACGTCAACAATCCTGTCAAATGCCATACAGCAAATAAGTAATGGATCTGAAGGGAGCTCGTCCAACAGATGAAACACCATTCATCCTTTATGAAGAGAGTCGAAGCAAGAGCCAGAGATGGACGCCCAGGGAAGTTCAAGAATAAAATGCTTCTATTTTCTACAGGCACCCTTCCATGATCTTTTACTAAATATGGGGGTTGGTGAACAGTCTGCAATGGCGCCTTCTTCCTTTTCTTCCAGCATTGACCCGGGGGGTTGAGTGTGGGGTGTAGGAGGGCTATGAATCTTATGATGGAATTGGCGGGGCCCTGGCAATATTAAAGTGCTCGAGATTCGAATACTCTGATTGTCAGGTACATTTAAACAACCTCCGGATCCTAAAGAAGCAAACCAACAGATCACCATATACTGTTAATATTTTTTTGTTGTAAAAGTCTTATTCTAACTTGGCCAAAACAGCCTGAAGATATCTCGCTTTGTAATACGGTTGAAACCTTGTTATTATAAACAGCTCCAATTCGTTGTAATACTTTAGAAAGCGGGCCAAAAAGATCAGCTGACATCAAGAGGACGCAAACAATGTGTTGAATAAAGCAGATAAAATTTTCTCTAAAGAAACCAGATCTTTCATTATTTCGACCCTCTTTTCCAGAGAAAGGTCCCTCCATATATCTTCCAATTTCACTCCAAAGGTTTCATCCATAATTATGAATTCCTTCCTGAATCTATATTCTTTTAGCAGGCAATTTAGCTATTCTCGTACGAGCGTACATATATCTGTCGCCTAAATCCTCCCCTTTCTATCTGGCTACGGCACGGTTTTTAGGATCCGCATTTATAGCTTTTATTACATGAATATAAACTTCAACACTGTACTGAATGAAGATTGTTGCTCCCCTTTTCCTGCGCCCTTGGACACAGCGAAAGATGCGACTCCTTAGGCAGTTCATTTTTAAGGCTGCCATCACGCGGCTCTTTTGTATCCCGTTCTTTTCTTCTCACCATTTGATTAGTGCCGCTTGGGAAGACTCTTAAGCCAAAATTTGCTATACTTATGAATCCCTGCATACACTTGTCGCATAGTCAAGCATGTCCCGATTCTCCTACCCTCTCTGTCACTCTGGCATACACGTTGCCGATCAGGCTTATTATTGGATGCTTTTCATAGAGGCAATGTGCTCGCATGGTGACGAGTATTGTAATGGCTATGATGATCCGAAATCCAACGAGGGGAGACACAAATTCAGAGACTGTGAGAGTATTTGTGCAGTGTCTACAAGCCTGCTGGCTAGTGCACTGGCGTCTTCCGCCCTCATGAGTCCACTGGAAGTTAGGATTTCGACTGTCAACTGGTCCTTCGTCGTAATGGAGCGGACCAATACTTGATGGGACAGGTTAATTTTCGCAGTCCACGATGAATCGGCACATAGAGCTCCGTTCAGTGAGAGGGGAATAGGCTTCTTATTTCCATCGAGATGGTTTATTATAAAACCGAGTTTCGTCCTCTGCGGCCAGTCCGTGCTGTTGGCGATAATGTCGGGAAGATCCAAGTAGCCATGGCGAGCCACTTGAGCGTATTGATCGTGTAGAGATTGACAGAGGTTTGACAAAGTTTCCGTTCGTAGCAGGCGTACCCGAAAAGGGTTGATATTGATGCAGGGTCCGAGCATTGTCTGGACGCCTTGTAAAGGAATGTCGCGAGTGTTCATAACCACACCAAACACAACATCATCCTTCTGCGCTAACTGTGCCAAGACAATGCTCAGGGTTGCGTTCATTAAAGTCGCCACTGTGAGGTCCTGGGGGGGAGCGGGCAGATTCCCACTAGCTGATTGCCTGATATCCACGGGAATGCGGTCATTACAGCTAGAGAATAAAGGAGCTGGCGACGTCATGGATGAGCCTTGGAGGTTTCCTCGCCAGAATTGGAATCCTTCCTCAGTTCTTTGTCGATTACAGGCGTATACGTATTCCGCGAATGGTGTGGCGTGTGGAAAAGTGGGTGTCGTCTTATAGCTGTTGTTATAGTAGGCAGAGATGGCTTGGAAAAGGACAGGAGAGGAGTAGCCATCATACTGGGCGTGGGAGAGACGGACCATCAACGCATGCTCTAAATCTGAGCTGGAGATCAGTGTGAACTGGACAAGAGGCTTTCCTGACAGAGGCGATGCGCTCAGGTCAATATCTAACATTGACTGGCAGAATGATTCCAAGTTTCCCTTAGTTCGAATATAATCGAAGGCGTCATCAATCTCTTTCAACACGATCTGGAAGAAGCTATCACCGAGCTTTGTGAACACGGTCCGCAAACTAGTGTGTTGGGATACCACAGCCCGGCAAGCAGCGCGAAGTCGGTATCTGTCAATTTCTCCATGCAACATAAAGCGAAATGATGAAAGCGTCCATTGAGTAAGGAAAAAAACTTGGGATTCCGTCGCAGGGATGATGTCAGCTATCATATTCTTCGATCTAGCCTTGTCCAACTCGACCGGAAGTTTGGCCATAAAACTTTCTGCGTCCACGAGGGAAAAAGGTCTACAGTTAACCGCGACGTTAATTAGCGGTCTTTTGGAAACGACATGGGCCAAATGACTCAGTTTTTGGTATTCCAGTATATCTGCCAGCGACAAGTCAAGTCCCTCAGACCGAGCGAGGGCGGCAACTCTCATCGCACTGATCGAATCACCACCCAATTGAAAGAAACCATCACCTGCTGCAATGGAGTCAGATTGCATTCCAAGTACGGATGCCCATATATGCTGTAATCGCCTTCCCGTCTCGCAGTTTGGTCCTCGTTTGCCCTCTGGCAGCTGCACTTTTCCCAGCATGTCTAGAGTCAGCGTACCACAAATATCTCGTAATTGTCGTCTGTTCTTTTTTCCGGTAGTTGTCATCGGGATCTGGTCTATTGGGACGAAAGCGCTTGGAATCATATAAGTCGGTATTCTATTGCCGAGTTCCTTTTTCAATTCAGGAAGAATCCTTTTCAGGGTAGCCTTTATATCTCCGTCCGCACGTCTGGTGCATTTTCTGGGAGCGAGAAAGGCCACGAGCAAAGGACTATGGAGTCCCTTTGGTGTAATGTCATCGACAACAATGGACATCTCAGTGTCGTGGCCCAAACTTCGCTCAATATGGTGTTCCACTTCGCCAAGCTCTACGCGCTGCCCACGAATCTTAACTTGCGCATCTTTGCGGCCAATAAAACAAATACTTCCATCGGATTCATATCGACCTAAGTCCCCTGTTTTATAGATCTGCTCCGGTGGAGTATTACTGCGAAGCTGTTGAAGCCAAAGGGGTGCGGGAATGAAAGATGCGGTTGTTTCCGTTGGGTTATTAATGTATCCTCTACCAATACTTGGGCTCTCGATCACCAACTCACCGACCGCACCCACGGGAGCCAACTTGTTATGATCGTATTGATCCACAATCCAGATGACAGATCCACTTCCATGGCCTATATTCGTATGACTGGAGAATGCGCCCATGCAATTCCGCACCGAGGATACTGTAACAGTTTCACAGGGGCCATAGGCATTAATGAGATTCACACGGTCTGCCCAAGTGGCGATGTGGAGCGGTGTCGGTGACTCGCCGCTAAGCACCAAGTGTTGAAGATAAGGGACATCACTCGGTTTCAACAGGCTGGCCACTGATGGAGTCAGACTGGCCCAATTGACCTGTTTCTGGGCCATAAACTCCACGAGGCTATTGTGGCGGTCAAATTCGGACGGTATACAGATACAGCCACCAAAAATCAAGGTATATAAAATATCGCGGTTACTGATATCAAAGACATAATTGGCAAATTGCAATACTCTTGACCGGTGATCCAACGACAGCGGTAGTCGATTTGCCATCGCCCTCAAGTAGAAGGCACCATGTTCAATGGCCACGCCCTTTGGTTTGCCTGTCGACCCAGATGTGAATGCAACGTAGACTAGATTGTTCACCCTTGCGGACGAACCAATACTTTGCTGCTCAGACCTATCGGGGTTGGAGCTAAACTCTTTTTCTGACAACGTTACTGTCCGCAGGCCCAGCTTTGCTCCTATTGCGGAAGAATTGACTGAGCAGACAATCACGTTTACATGCATATCTTCACACATGCTGGCCATTCGAGATAGCGGGTAGGAAGGATCCAAGAAAGCATAGGCTCCTCCGGCTCGAAGAACTCCAAGAAGAGCAACTACGGCGAATTTGGACTTTTCAAAGCATAATGGCACGACGGACCCTGGACCGACTCCCACTGCATGAAGACGTACAGCAAACTGAGATGACATCCAGTTCAACTCGCAGTATGACAGGATACCATCCCAGGAGTCAATGGCTGGTCTATTTGGAGCTCGAAGACATTGTTCGATTATGGCGTCATGGACACAGACCGAGTCGCGGTAAGGCAAGGCCACATTCCACTTGCTTAATTGATCGATATCATGGGCACTGCAAAGATTAAAATCACCCACTGGAGCATGAGGCTCGGCGTGAAGTAGATTCACCGCAAGTCTGAAGGTTTCGACCAAACTCAAGGCCTGCTCTTTACATATAAGAGAAGTATCGAAGTCTAGGGCTGTTATATACTCCAAATTCCCTACCTCCTCAACCTGCAAAACCATACCGATGTCCTAGAATCTGGCATTAGCGGGGACTTCGCTATAATCTATTCAGCCCCGGAGCAGAACTCTAAATTAGAACAAACCTTAAAACGCGAAGTAGATTGCGCGGCACTTTCCAGAGCAGCCAGATTCTGTACTAACGCAGTGTTGCACCTTGTGCCGTGCCTGTCCTTCAGACGACGCCAATCATCCCACAAATTTCCTTGGATCCGGGAACCACAAGTGGCATGGTTGACCATGCTTGCAAGTGATGTGGCATTGGTCAATTCGAAATCACACACACATGTTTCCACCCCGCTGTCATCGGTCTTAGCGTAAAGGAAAATAACATTCTCAGAGACAGTATATAGTCTGAGAACCATGGCCCATGCCAGCTGAAATAACAGGGACAAATCTTCCGACTGCCGAGACAGTGCAACTCCCAAATTCGAAACATAGAGCTGTCGTTCCGGGGTGATTGGCGCAGAATTCAGACGTGGGAAGAGGCAGTATCTGCCCAAATGGCCATCTTCTTCTCCATTGATCGTCATGGCACCGGTTGGGAAATAGATGGAAAGGAACGCTGACTCTAGGCAAGTTGTAACCGGGGCGATGCTGTCATCATGCTAGTATGTCATTGAGCGTTCCCTACGTCGGACGGGTGGACAGGCTCCTCTTGACCTGAAGAAGGACATAATGTGAGGTATGTTGTTCCTCCTGCTGAGGAGACAGTGGGCTACGGATGCATACGGACGAACGCATGCGGACAAACGCATGTGGACGGTATGCCTGTAGGGAGAGCCCTGACGTGTAATTCTATGTCTTAGAAAATTATTTGGGCTCCAGTTACAGCAGCATTCCCCTACCATATTGACCGAATGCGGCGCTTTTATTGCAGCAAGTACTGCGATACCACGTTCGATGAAACGGGGTCAAAATCTGCACGCTACGGTAGCCCCTGGACAGATCGGTCCAACCCACATTCCTGGCATACAAGGGCGTTCATAGCCAATTAGTCAACTGGCTGGAAAACACCAGTGAGTGACAGAAGCAAGGGGGGTGGTTATAGCAAACCACATTCAGGTCCTCTATCGTCTCTACTTATTGTAATTCAAATTATGGGTGACGGGGTCGTACAACTGAGTCTGTCTCATTAGCATCGCATCGTCCTACTCTATAACCGTACGATGGAAAGCTTCACGTCTATCCCTGTCATCGATTTCTCACTGTCCTCCTCGCCAGCGACTAAGCCGCAGTTCATCGAAAGTCTGCGAAATGCTGTTGTCAAAGTGGGGTTTTTCTACCTCAAAGGACATCCCGTTTCCGACGCCATCCAACAGGTATTACTTTACCGATCCATGGAGTTCTTTGATTTACCTCAAGAGAAAAAACTGGATCTGGCTATGGTGAATAGCAAACATTTTCTTGGCTATGTGGGCGAGACTGCCACAACGGCAGGGAAGACAGACCATCGGGAGACACTAACAGTATGTTGATAAACAAGGTCCGATTCCTGCGACTCGGTCTGATAATAACCGACTTATCTTCTACAGCTAGGCATGGACCATCCCCCTCCTCGGTCGGACGAGCCTATATATCGCAACATGCGTGGCCCGAACTTGGTATGTCTCCAATTGTTTTGAGGTATGTACGGATTTATTTAACGTACAATCTAGTGGCCCGATAATACCGAGCTCCCTGGCTTTCGGCCAGCAATCAGGAGATACATTAACGAGCTCGAGCAGCTAGCAGACACTTTCAAGATTCTAATTGCCGAAGCGCTGGACTTAGAACCAACCACCTTCACCAGGCTTTTTGACGAACAGTCCAACAGTCGGTTGATGCTAGCGAGATATACTCTTCCTTCGACCTCCCCTGACGATGACAGATTACGCTTCCAAGGCATCGGGCCACACAAGGACAGCGGCTTTCTAACCTTCCTTTTTCAAGGGACCACGCATTCGGGTCTCGAAGCACAGAATAAAACTGGCAATTGGGTTCCCATTTGCCCTCTGCCCGGGCACCTAGTTGTCAACGTCGGTCGGCAGTTGGAAGCGTTGACTAAGGGTGTTTGTCAGGCGACCACGCATCGCGTCAGTCTTCAGCGGCGACATTTCCTGGACAGCGATGGCAAAGCATTGGGGCCCCGATATTCATTTCCCTTCTTCCAGATTCTGGGACTGGATCTGAATCCCGGAGCCGCTTCGATCACAATCCCGCCTCACATTGCAGATCTTGTCAAGGATGAAAAAGTCAGATCCGATGCTGCGGCATATTTCCAGAGGTACTTCAAAGATGGGATTGGGAATGGGGTCTTTGCGATGCGGATACTCAGGCATCCCGCTGTTGCGCATAAGTGGTATCCTGGTATATTAGAATCTCTCCAGGAACAGCAGAGCCAATAAATTCCGTATTGCTGGGGTTCAATTCTAGCTTTTAGACACCTTCGCCAATTTATTTAAAAAAAAAAAAAAAATTAAAAATAGAAAGAAAGAAAGAATAATTGAAAAGGACAAAGTAATGGCAACACCATAGCAAATCAACAATTTTTAGTCTACATGTGTTGTGATTGCTGGGTGGACATAAATGAGGGTCCAAAAAGCGGCTCACGGTATACATTCCTTACCTTTTAACGGCACGCATAATTTGTTGTAAAGGTGGGGAAGGGGTTGCGTTGATAAAAGCCATCCTGATTCCAGTATTTCCCTTTTTTTACTATTTTTTTCGTCTCCTTTTGATCTCGTGTCTAGGGATAATTTATGGCTGGTTGCAGCTTTCCATCATACTGTTCAGGTTCCTTCTACATGAATATTCCCGTACACAACCCAAGATGGCTGCAACTGAACTATTAGACCTCGAGAGCAACTCGGCTGCAAGAGAGCCTGAAAGTGGTGAGCAGATTTCTGAGGGCTCTTTTGCCCCGAATCGGCCTGTCATTCTGACTGTCTTCGCAACGTTCCTGGGTAATAACTATGCCTTCCCGCAAGGAGCCCAACAGGCTACTAACACGTGGAAACAGGAGAGCTTCTTGCCAGTGCCGATGAATCGCTCATGACTGCTATGTATACTGCTATTGCCTCTGAATTTTGTAGTCTCTCGCAAGGGTCATGGCTGCTAGTCGCATACAACTTTGGATCCTGTGTCTCGTCTCCGGTGGTTAGTCGTGGTTGTCATGGTCTACTAGCACTTGGAGAGGAGGCCACTAGTTTACTAACCTATATCTGTTGTTGATCAGTGTGGCCTGCTCGGAGATCTCTTTGGACGCAAAAATGTTGTCATCTGGTCTTCCTGCTTCTTTTTGCTAGGATGTATCGCCTGGTGAGGTCTTTGTGGCATTGTCGGGCCAGAAGTGCCTGCTAACACGTTGACAGTGGAGCTAGTACATCAATGAGCCGATTAATTGCGGCAAGGGCTCTGGCTGGACTCAGCGGCGCAGGCATGGTTTCGTTAGTTTCCGTCATAATCGCTGGTAAGCGTTCTGCTGGAGGCTTCTGGATCATTCGATACACTAACATTATTACATACCTTGTTCCTCCTAGTGAAGTTGCGGTCTATCGGAGTTATACGAATGTGGTCAGCACTGTCGGACGCAGCCTGGGAGGGCCTGTTGGAGGCTTTCTGACCCAGACTGTAGGTTGGAGATGGTAAGCGTTCCTATAAGAAGGGGATAGGCCACGCAGGTTCTGGGTTTCTGACTTGCTATACATCGTGCAGGTCATTCTACGGTCAAGTGCCGTTTGTCCTCGTCTCTATTCTCATCACGGTTCGTCAAATGCCGTGTTCACTTAACCGAACCAGAGAAGGTCTTGATTCCACCAGCTCAAAATTCAAGCAGATTGATTTCCTTGGGATTGTCAGCTTCACTGCTACGATCTACTTATTCCTGGTTATGCTTCAAAATTTTGGCTCGAACGAAAGCCAACAATCTCACCAGCTCTACGTTCTTGGAGGCGCTTTGTTTGGATCTGCTACTGTCTTCTTTTCGGTGGAAGTCTTCTGGGCCACGACACCGTTGATACCATTGAATCTAATGAAAACGAGGTTTGGGAGCTACTGCATCTCGCAGCTACTGCTGACCACGGGTCGCAGTGCGGTAATGCTCCCTGCTGCCGACCAAGGAGATCGACTTCTGGGCTGACCTAATAATATAGTTCATCCCTACCACTGTTCCTTATTTTATTCGAGTATATAATGCGAGCGACCTTACCGCATCCCTAGTTAATCTAACCGCTATGGTGGGCGTACCTATTGGAGCCTACCTGGCAGGTGTCTGGATTAAGCGGTAAGTTTTTCTTCTACAGCGCCTGGTCGGATAGTGACAATTGCACATCAATGTCTCACGGTCGTTCTAACTCACACGACACTGTGTATTACAGCACTAGCCGGTACAGAACGATAGACCTCATCGCCGCTTGCGTAGTAGCATTGGTATATCTGCTCATTTTCTTCCGATGGCGGAATAGTTGTAGCACGTGGGAGGTCTTTTATCTCCTCCCATATGGCTTTGCAATGGGAGTCCTTTTTTCAACCCAATTCATAGGCATGAGTTCAGTAGCACCGACGGAGCGTGTGGGACAATGCATCGGAACATACTATCTTTTCCAGCAAATTGGCCGCATTTTAGGCCCTGTCTTCGGCCTCTCCTTGATCCAACAGGTTTTCAAAGATAGTCTGTGGAAAAGCCTGGGCTCTGTTCCCGAGAAGCAGCAGGTGAGCTTGAGATCATCCTTATAACAAACGCTAGGAACGTAGATTCTAAATATTGGCTGCAGCTCATCCAAAGCATTTTGGACAATGCGCGATTCGCTATTATGCTCCCCAAGCTGACTCAGGAGGTGGTGCGCTCGAGTTACCTGACCGGATTTCAGTTTGTCCCTCGTATGTCTAATTCTGATGTCTTTTTGCGGCAATGTGCTAATGTTCTCTGCAGTCTTTGGTCTATTGTGTACATTTATATCCCTGCCGGCGATGATACTTTATCGGGGGCGCAACTCGTAGCCCCGTGACTTAGTATTTATTAAGATTTTTATAGTAATTTATTCACATATATATCAATATACAAAAGATTGATCATTCCCCCCATATCACGAGAGGCATTGCGATGTCGGAAACGTCAATACAACAGAGCGAACACTGAAAGTCTATGCACCTGGATGCACAAATTGTGGTACTGTACCACACTAGCGGTATCTGAGGATCCCACAGAGGAAGCAGCGCTTAAGGGCACGATTTCTAGTTTCGGTGGCCAGTGAGGCCAGTGATTCAGTGCCAAAAACGCCTGCACCATACGTAGACAAACTAAAACATAATATGATGTGTAACATTCGTTGATTACCGACCTGGTGCAAGCTTGGCACTTGTTTGCGGATATTGGTGGATGAAAACGTCTACCCGGATTGATCCCAAGGAACATCATCGGCTACCGTCGTACCCCTCAAAGAGCCGTAAATTCTCCGGCTTTCCTCAGCTTATTTTATCCAATATTTACATATAATTTTTCCAGGGTGGCCAGAAAAAAAAAATAAAAATAGAGGCAGATAATGACTCACGGACAGTCCGTTCTCCTCGACTATACTTTAGAGGACCTATATTCACAAGATGGGGATGCTTCGAATCTCGTACTGGTCTTCGCCTGTCCTACTCCACATAGCCAGGGCACAGAATCAGACCCACTGTCGAAGAAATTCACATACCAATCACCTCTGGCCCCTTCCACCAACAAAGATGCTGTAGCAAGACGACGTCTACACAATATCCCGTTGAAATACGCTTTCATGGCTGGGAAATTGCCACTGGTACTTCTAGATTTGAAACCTTATGAGCATTGTCACAACCAGGGCAGATTAAGTCCACATCATCTCGATACGTTTGAGGTGCTGGGGCAACTGCACCCGTCCCAACGCCCAAACGTGACATTTGTCCGTCGTTTCGAGGATATCAGGCTGCATCCTGGCTCGAAGATTGTTGTTCTTAATCCCTTAGACCGTGTGGCACATCTACCGCATCTTGTTGACCCAGAGGTTCACTACGAGTTGCTCTCGAAGAGAGGTTTAGCTTACAGTGGACTACCGACTCCCAAAACATTCGTGATAGATACTGTGCTGGGGTCGAAGGGTGACAACAGTACCGAGATCTTAAACTGCCCCACAAAGTTGAGTGAAGAGGTCGAATGTATGATCCACCTGCTTCGTCAGCGAGAGCTACCATATATTGTCAAAGTCCCACAATCTGTGGGAGGGCTGGGGACATTGATAGTTCGAACCGAATCAGACAGACAGATGGCTGAGACAGTGTTGCGGGCTGAGTTACTCAACATGTTGCAGGATGTCAACCCATTCAACCGCCATATGTACCCATGCAGTCTAGTGGTCCAGGAGTTCGTGCCTGGAGATACTGTGGGCGTGTCCCTGTTCGTGACACAGCAGGGCCGGGCCATCTTCATCGGATGCTCAACGCAGAATCTAGATAGTTCTGGGAGATGGGCGGGAGGCCTGATGTCGTACCCCGACCAGCCGCGGCTGGAGAAGGAATATGCGGACGTCATTAGGCAGATTGCGACATATTTGCATAGTAAGGGCTACTATGGACCCGTGGGGGCTGATATCATGAAGGACCCAGCTACTGGTCGCCATTTAGTCATAGATCTGAATGTCCGTGTCACTGGGTCGTATGCTCTTGGCTGCTTGAAGAATCACTTCGGAAAACGAGGCTTGTCGCAGGGTTATATTTGTCAGTTTGGTGTCCATTGCAGTCGGCAAATGTATCTGGAGCATTTTCGAAAAGAGGTAGAGGAAGGAAGCTTGGTTCTGGCCTCGTGGACACCACATCTTCCTGATGGCTCTAGCCTGGCTGTTATATGTATAGCAGCGCCTGATCTGCTTCATCTCAAGCAGTTCGTTTCTAGAGTGGAAGCGTTCGTATTGTTGGTAAAGCCAGACGGAAACGTATCAAGCAACTAGACAATATCAAATTGAACAGCAAGCAAAGTCTCTCTGAGTCTTCTTTTCCCTTTGTGGCAAAATGTCACGATTCACGAAGTCCTCCAAATTATCTATATTCAGGAGATACAGTAGAGAGGGCTCACTTGTAACTGTACGGGAGTTATCACTAACACCTTTCAACTAATACAGGGCCAATATTGTGTGCTAGCTATACGGGAATGCAGCTGCGAAACTAGAAGAGATCCTAGGTCGTGGAGATTAAATGCTTAGCAGCAATAAAGGACAGTAATAAAAGTTAAGCTTTTAGAGATGTGGGTGTTAATAAAGAGTAATAAGCATGGAGGGGATAAGAATCTAGAACTGGTAGGCTTTGCACGAGTATTGAGCAGCGAAAATTGATATGGACATATGTACCTGAGCCCCCTGAATTTAAGAGGTTTGTGCTTCGCCAAAAAAGCCCGCACAAGGTGGGGCACTGAGTTCATAATTATTCCAAATTTTAGGCAGATAAATCACTTATCAGATATTGTTATTGAACAGAATAGACAATGGATTGTCTGATATGCACAGTATCTGAGCCGAGCTCTAACTTGGATACTTTCTCATATTCCACGTGTTATGCTGCATGTATTCAGGTAACTTTTCCAAATGGAGTTCCACCATTATTATTATAATAGACGATTTGTAAAAATGCGTATTTGTCGTCATAATGCCCCATCCAACGACATTTACCAATGCACACACTATTTCGTGACATATGTCAGGCTGCTGGACCCACCGAGCACGAATTGCCGAAAGGATAATTCCGATAGTTACTGGGGCTGGCAACCAATCAGAACACCTCATTTTAGGCACATGGTGCCAGAACACGGACACTATGTGGCTGCCTGGTACGTAAGGCGAATATTGAGTTTGCCTAGATTAATTCCCGTTGCTTGTCTGAGTCTTGGCCAATCCCGAATTGGACTATGCGCACGTGTAGATGCGATAAGCACGAGCGGACTATGCAAAGTACGAGATAAGCAAGCCGTGGAGGCTATATAAGCGGGCAGTTTCCGTGAACCGGTTTCTAAGAGTTCTAACTTATGGTCCCCAGCATTTGTCTCAACTATCATGAAGGGAGCTGCTGCATTGCTTGTCGCTCTATCCACGAGTGTGGTGAACGGTCACCCAGTCGTCGACAATCGCTACCCATATACGGGTCCTGCAGTCCCTGTGGGTGATTGGGTTGACCCAACCGTCAATGGCAACGGGAAGGGATTCCCTCGTCTAGTGGAGCCTCCGGCAGTCAAACCCGCGTCGACAAACCCGAAAAATAATGTCAATGTAATTTCGTTGTCGTATGTCCCGAACGGAATTCACATCCACTACCAAACGCCGTTTGGATTGGGCGAGGCCCCCTCGGTCAAATGGGGGAAGTACCCTAATGAGCTGCATCATATTGTCTATGGGTTCACCCACACGTATGTCGGTCTAAATCCTATTAATCAACAGCCTATTTATTTTATTTTATTTTATTTTATTTTTGGCAGGAATGCTGACCAACGTTCAGGTACGATCGGACTCCGTCTTGCGCTGAGGTCAAAGCCGTTACACAGTGCAGCCAATTCTTCCACGAGGTCCAGCTGAATCACCTGAAGCCTGGAACGACATACTACTATCAAATTCCCCCTGCCAACGGAACAACTGCGTCCGATGTTTTGAGTTTCACAACGGCCCAGGCTGCCGGTGACAAGTCCCAATTCAATGTCGCCGTGTTAAACGACATGGGATATACTAATGCTGGAGGCACGTACAAGCAGTTGGTCAAGGCTGTCAGCGAGGGAACCGCTTTCGCCTGGCACGGTGGTGACATGAGCTACGCCGATGACTGGTATTCTGGTATCCTCCCTTGTGCGGACGACTGGCCGCTTTGTTACAACGGCACCGGCACGACGCTCCCTGGCGGAGGACCGATTCCAGATGATTACAAGACACCTCTACCAGCTGGGGAAATCCCTAATCAGGGGTCACCCCGGGGCGGGGATATGAGTGTTTTGTATGAATCGAACTGGGATCTCTGGCAACAGTGGCTTGGCAATATTACCACCAAGATCCCGTATATGGTCCTGCCTGGAAACCATGAGGCTGCCTGCGCAGAGTTTGATGGAGCTGGAAACGTATTGTCTGCATACCTAGACGAAGGCATCTTAAATGGTACTCTTCCAAAGACAAATCTTACCTACTACAGTTGCCCGCCCTCCCAGAGGTAAGAACATCATCCTACCACTGCTTTAAAAAAAAGAAAAAAAAAAAAAGACCCCCCTCAATCTAATTCTATCCACAGAAACTTCACTGGTTACCAACACCGCTTCCATATGCCCGGCCATGAAACCGGCGGCGTTAGCAACTTCTGGTACTCCTTCGACTACGGGCTAGCCCACTTCGTCTCCATCGACGGCGAGACCGACTTCGCTAAGAGCCCCGAGTCCCCCTTCCAAACGAAAGTCAAAGGCGACGAAAAGCTCCCCACCGCGTCAGAAACATACATTACCAACAGTGGTCCATTCGGTGAAGTCGATGGCAGCTTCAACGAAACAAAGTCCTACGCCCAGTTCAAATGGTTAAAGAAGGACCTGGCCAAGGTCGACCGCAAAAAGACCCCCTGGGTATTTGTTATGAGTCACCGGCCCATGTACAGCTCGGCGTATTCTTCGTATCAGAAACATGTGCGCGAGGCCTTTGAAAGTGTAATGCTTGAATATGGGGTCGATGCCTATTTCTCTGGGTAAATAAATCTACTGAACCCCCTCCTTCTCTTTCTCTTCTTATCCCCATTTCCAATTCCTAAGAATTTGTCCAATGACTGATATATGGTATGGATACAGCCACATTCACTGGTACGAACGTCTCTTCCCTCTTGGTGCAAACGGGACTATCGACTCCCCATCCATTATCAACAGCCATACCTACCGCACTAATGCAGGTAAATCCATGACACACATTGTAAACGGCATGGCAGGTAACATCGAAAGCCACGCGGAGTTTAGCAAAGGCCAGCATCTCACGAATATTACGGCCGTTCTGGACAAAACCCACTACGGATTCAGTAAGCTCACTGTTGTTAATGAAACGGCCGTCAAGTGGGAGTTTATCCGTGGCGATGATGGGTCAGTGGGGGATCATCTTTTGTTGCTCAAGGGGTCTGGCTCCAGACCTGGATCTGAAGGTGGAAGGGGGGGAAGAGTATATGCAGTCTAGAGGGGTAGAAGTTTCTTCGTATGTATGTTGTATGAAGTGTGTAAATACAGTTATTTGCTGTACAGTTTAGACGGATACAATGGGCGGATCCATGACTCTGCCTTATTGAGCCACTTTGTGGGCCTCATATGATTGATATTGCATGCAAAGATTATGAGCACAAGTTACATTATCAGTGTGTCCATTGTGCAAGAATGAATTATATGTAGATGAGTGAAAGATTGACATCTGACTGGTAATATCCTGGATCCGGATTGCAGACGTGTCTTTGTGCTGGGGCATGCTTGACCCCGTTTTAGAATGTGCGGCCGTATCGATATCTAATTTTGGCCTGGTAATCATAGAACTTCTCGGGAGACGCAAAACTACGGTAGGTACGGCGAATTGGCTTATAGTTGGCTTGATGCTGGGCACTAATGGCCTTTATTTCGTCTATCGACCATCCGCCATCGAACTCCCGCTAATAGTGTATCCTTAGCAGGCCGATGCAATTCTTCGATCTCTCCGTTTTGCTCGTTCGGGAAAAATAGCAAACTCATGCCACGGTGACGTTGATGCTAGAGAACCGCAACCCTCTCATCGGATATAGGTGGACCATCGTTTCTATCCATCTTCGGTTTTAGGGATTATCGACCAATTCTTTAGCGCGATATCACATAGTTCATATCCTTCCACTATTCTATCCTTCTCCCATTTCCGCAGCGGCGTCCAGCGCCATAACAATCATTCTGGCTTCTGGATAAATCATTCTTCCCTGTATCCTTTGGACCCTGATGCAGGGACTCTTCGATACGCGCAGGAAGTTTCCCCAGATCGGACAGAATTTATTTTCATCATTGTCCTTGATACCTGGTAGATCCTTGCGGGGAGAACTGTTGAACCGGTAGTTGTACGACAAGAATTGTTCATGCCAGTATCTGTTATGTGATTCCAGGGGAAGGATACCGGGTCCACAAGGCCATTCTTGTCGGTTGGCCGCTCACCTGCCATATTACCTGCTGCAACCGATGGCTTGTGGCCTCTTTGGTAGAGGATCCCCACACTTTCCAGCAAAGTATAGGCTGCACCCTTACCACGGGACATAACTCGCAGTGCTGAACCGTAGGGCATTATGAGGGCCAATCCCCACGAGAGCTCTGATCTATGACCATTCTCTAGGTTGGCGTAGGTCATGTCTCTGAGAGTGATTTAAAATAACCTGCAGTGCTTCGGAGAATTTCACCCTGCTAAGAAGGTTCGTGATTTAGCAATCTGGTCCTAAATGGTCATTGTTCATTATTTGGCTAGGTACACTAGAGAACATGACGGGGGAATCCTCGCTGGCAGGGAACAGACTCTAGTGACTCTCGATACAGCCGATGGATGTCCTACATATGGTGGAGTGATATGCAACATTAACCAAGTCTTCGGACAAATATTCCCTGCCGTTCGAAAAAGATTTCCACGTCAACGACTGTTCCTAGATTACCCAAAAATGTAATACTCTGCGGGCTGCTTACGCAAGCTATGATGATGCGGCTGCTGGAGATGTTTAGAGGTACTCAGCAGCGTCGATTTCACCGACACCGGGCCGCAAGCATGCAGTCTCGGAGCTCTGGCATGGGCGAGACAGCGAAGCGGACACGCGTCCAGGATGCGGTAGCCCACGCATCCTTTTGTGTAATTGCTCCCTTAGCATATGCTGCTGCAATTTCGCCACTGGAATAGCCAACCACCGCTACAGGTCGAATATTAAGGGGTTTAAGGAGATCTACCATAGCTATTTAAAGGGCTGTGCACAACGGTTGTCTAAGGTCAGTTTTATTAACAGGAGATAACTTTCCATTGTTGCACAGAGCTTGAATAAGCGACCATGGGCATCCAAGGGAGATCAGATACTTGTCAGCTAAGTGGATAATTTCGGAGTACGGACGGCACGCCATGAATTCTAGACGAATTTGTGCGTACTGAGTACCTTGCCCTGTGAAAACAAAGCTGTTTTTGGCTGCTTGTGTGGATCGCACAGATTGGTTCTTCGAAGATGGTCTCGAACAGGCGAAAGAGCTTGACGAGACAAGGGTGGCAAATTGAAAGAACCATTTCACGGAATTCCTGTCACTTTAAAGCTGCAGAAAGTGTAGAATAAACTTCATTTTGCCGGGAAGATGCTGATGGAGTGGCCAAACAGCATTTTGATGAAGTAGGGGGCTATGGCGTAACATTGGGTTACGTTGCAAGGAGGAATAATATATCTAAGCAGGATTCTACCCTTGTAGCGGCGTTGTGTGCCTCAGGTGCTGTCTTCTTCTGCAAGACAACATGTACTTCTGTATAGTGCTTGTTTATGTGAAAAAGGGGTATAAAAGTTTACTCGATGGTGGGTAACGGCCGATCTTATTTCTAGGCCATGACATGTTTTCGTCGGCTTGGAAAATCCTCCGCAAGTTTATGTGAAACTACTTCCCGATAAAGCAGACCCGGTATGACCCTGTACAAATAAGTGCAAATCTGGTCGTTCCACTATATACCGCACTAGAACGCTCGAGAAGGTCTACAGTATGTCTGGAATCATTGTATGCCTTCTGGAGAGCCCATTCGTGACGATCGTTCATTGTGGAGCCTGAGACCAGTAGTCCGGTTCCTGATGCGGCTCGTCTACAAGACTGTTTCGAGAAAACTAGTGTTTCCCACAGGGAAATATGGTTCCACTTCAACGATGTTTCATCATAAGACTCAATTCAGTAGATCTTACGATGCCGTCGTGTTTGAGAAGTATCCGAATTATTTCCTACCGAATCGGAACATCGTGAGAATGCCAAGATACGCAATTTCCGAACATAAATAAAATCAGACCAGCCCGAGCCTACCCTCCGCTGTATACCCGCCACAAGCTGTACTTCAAATATGTTGCCTCGTGCCTTTGGTTTGGGTCTCCTGCTGACTCCATTCGCCGCAGCACAAGGCCTTGTCTCTGTCGGATGGGAAGTGTCCAACCCCGCTTCCTCCGGCCTGGAGGAGATTACCTTCCCCATGCGCATTAAAGCAGCCACTCATGAGGCTGGATATTATTTTTCTCAACAGTTTGGATTCGAAGGCCATTCGGACATTGGGTATACTGGGCTTCAGCCGCGTCCCGATGATGGAGGAAGAAGCGTGCTCCACGCCGTGTTCTCCAGCTTCATCCCCGAAACTACTTCCAACGACACCAACTGCCATGACGGTGCCGACGGAGGGCCGGGTGTGAGCTGCGCAGTGGACGTCTTTGGCGACTACTCGCATACCTACCACCTGCGGGTGCAGAAGGCGCATGACACCACCTGGGTGGGCACGTTGATCGACACCGTCACCAAGGAGGAAACACATATCGGGTCCTACACACTCCCCAAGAGTGTTAAGGGCATTCAGAGCAGCTATACCGGGTTCGTCGAGTGGTATGTGTGGAACTCGATGTCCGTGCATAACTGCAGCACATTGGGTGAGGTGGTGGTGGAGTTTGGTGCCCCTTTGACTTCCGCCGCTGGCCAGGGAAGGATTCACAGCGTCCACGAATATGGCGATTGCCATGGACAGCAAAACTTCCATTACAAGGACCTGGATGATGGTGTCGAGGTCACAGTTGGCTTCAAGCAACCCCCTCCGCCATTGTCCGACATCGCATTCACCATCCCATGGACCATGCCTAATATCCCATCCTCCGGCCTCGCAGACGTAACATTCCCTATCACCGTCCGCGAGGCCGATCCGGAGGGGCGATATCTGTTCAGCCAGTACTTCAACTTTGGAGATCTGTCGTACGGTGGGGCCTTGGAGTTCCAGCCTTCCTCGGCCAGCAGTCAGCTAAATTATCTTCACGCTGCATTCTACGGCTTAGTTCCCGGGACTACGACCAACGATACGAATTGCAAGCCTGACCAGTGGGGACTGGCCACTCGCTGCTCGGTTCTGTTCCGAGGAGACTATTCACACACCTACCACATGAAAGTCCATAACAGTGAAGGCAACACATGGGTCGGCACGATCGTCGACACGAAATCCGGTAAAAAGATCCACATAGGGGCCTACGATATCCCTGCTGGTGCTGGTGCTATTACTGGATCTCAGCCGGGAACGGTGCGATTGGACACTGAGAATTTTCCAGTCATCCGTAATTGCAGCGCACTAGCCCAGATCTCCGCTGTATTCGGGCTGCCATTTACCTCCGTTCGTGAGGCTGGTGCGGCGGAATTCGGATACGTACGCGCTTCAGAAGACTGTGCTGAATACAGGAGCGAGAAGAATGGCGATGGCGTGGAGGTATATGTCCGGTCCGAGGGTAAGTCGGAGGAACCGAAGGTGAGTCACTGAACACTGTCCTGCCTTAATAGAGGTATGTATGGAGCTTTGCTGGGCTACTCGCTAACTATTCGCAGGATAATACACAAGCCATTCCGAGCCCTACTCTTTCTGCACCGACTCAGACTGTTGCTACTGCCGTCAAAACAACCTCTACACAGAAAACGTCCGACCAAATGCCAGCCTGGGATGGACCGTCCCCCGACCGGAAATGGGACGGCCCTCTGCCAAATCCTGCGTGGGATGGACCTTCTTCAAACCCCAAGTGGGACGGACCCAAATATCGCGGGAATTAATCAAGTAATATATGTATGTGTGGCATGCTAAAGTTACTTTACAGCCAGGTGCATATTCTCCGACTTGCACATGGGCATCTTACCGATCAACATAATGAGATTCTCTCCGACAGCTGACATTTTGTTTTGTATTATATTATTCTACCAATGTTTCGTAATTATAGAACGAATAAAATATACTTCTTTAGGGTCTCTCTTAAACTTATATCGGCATTTTGGGAGATGCAAGGAGATGTAACGGAACGCTCTTGTTGATCTGCACGTAGTTATATCAAATAGCATACGATTGAGCCAGCCATATTTGGTGGATCAAGTCTAGACCTGGGATCTGCATGGACTCTTGCGAACCATGGGTACGTTTCTCGTGAAATAATATTATGACTAGGTTTGATTTGCTACTTCTCCGTCACTCTAACTGGTTGCTTGCTCTCCAAAATATCTTGAATCTGATGTATAAAAGCAAAGAAAGGATATTTCACCTGCCCCTTAATCTGTCCCTTATCCTCGCTCACCATGCTCAGGTATATTAGTTGCTGGCCAGACAACTCCAGATTTTGTCAGTGGTTGCTGTTCATATTTATTTCTTGCCCAGATTTATGTGTCTTGTATACTGTGCCACATGCTTAGAACGCTAAATAACATCCGCTATCTTCCTTTATATTACAGACCTATCATTGCTTCCTATCTTGGATGACACATGTCTTGTGTATCTTCCAGTTCACCTTCTAATGCTCAGTCCCGCAGTAATCTACGGACTTGCATCACACGCATTTTTCTATCTCCACCGCTGCGCGCGAGGTCGCGCGTCACCAGTTAAGCTAGAAATGGCGAGAAACTAAGCCAGATATAGTAAGACACAGAAGAATGAATCGGCATCGTGTGTGGCCGAAAAAGCTTGAGTTATTTGCAGCGTTTCTCGCTGGTAAGCGTCGCAGGGGTGGTTCTGTTCCCTTGCTCTCACTTTGTTCATTTCGGGGCATGTTGAAACCTCCATATGATTATCTACATTGGCTTCACTAGAGTCCGGGATTTTAGTTGGCTGAATGATTTGTCTATCACCACCCTTTCTATGGTGACAAGTGGTAATCGGAATACCACATACATGTGGTCCGCAATTAAGATAACTCCCTACACAGATGGCCAGTCCCTAAATCTTATATGGGATATTCCATCCCACCAGTGCTCTTATGAGTTATCTGGATGGTTTATTCCATGATAGATCGGTTTATCTCCCTACGTATCTAGTGGATACCTTTAGCTATACTCCAAAAAACCTAAAGATGTGGATGAACTCTCTTCACGGATGGTGACTTGCTTGGAGTCTCTGCTGATTCCCATTATTTATAATTAGTATATCCTCGTCTAAGACAACTGGCAAAGGTATTATTACCTCAAATTGAAGTATCACCAACCAAACCTCTCAGCTCTTCTCAAAAACCTTCAAAAACAATCTCTCCAAATACGTCCAAATCATCTCGAAACTTCTCTCGAAACTCAACATTGCGGACAATAGAGAGGACAATGGGACGAACGCTCAGGCCGGCTTTAGGGATATTGTTTATATGTTCCGGCTTCCTCCTGCGGATTGTGAATTTTTCCTCGAGTTTTCTATCGGTTCAATAACCTCCGAATTGGACATTCCATGAATGGTTTCCATCACCTTGCGAAGCAGATAGTGACTGCTCTGAAACAGTTTCTCACTAGCATTTGCTGTGATAGGGCTTCATCTTCGACCGTCTGGACGATCAGGAACTTCTCGTCTGTACAATGAATTCAGTCTTCTACAGTCGGAAAATCAGCCACATGCCGTGGAGCTTAACGACGCGAATTTTATATTCGTGTTTGGAATGAGGAACAGGCTCGCCCGCGCCATGAATATAAGCAGCTTGTCAATGCTGCTGCCCAGCTTTCTGCTTCGAATTTTATATGTGGTAGTCTGCGCCGTGAAGATGAGCGCATTCATCGTGGTGAGTATATCTCCTGTATATCGGCGGGGCTTACATTGGGAGACGTCGAGGAAGAGAAGGGAAAAAAAAGCAAAATTGAAAATAGTAAAATCATCTAATGAATTGTTCTCGCTGACCGACAAATATTATAGAAAGGTCAAAAAAAAGGGAGCAAAAAATCGAAGAAAATTAAGAAAACAGGTAAGGAAAGGGAAGGATTGGCAATTTTCTTTGTTGGCGCCTGTGTTTTATCTAGCAGCCCTGTCATATAGCCAAAAAAAACATCAGCTGGTGAGATATAAATATCTTCTTCTCTTCTAAGCTTGTAGAACTCATCGATAACTCGAAAGGATCGTAGATTTCATAGCTGGAGGTCCCCTGATAATAAGCTTCGGCAAGTAGAAGAGCCCTAGCTGGTCGGTATCGAGTTCGATTGCATATGGTTTGTATATAACGCCTTGATGCCCTTGTAAGCGACAGCTGCTGATCTTTGATGATTATAACAATGGCTGGTTAGAATAAATTTCTGCATTGACGTTAACAGAAATATTTGAAAATTGGCTGCATACAACGGATTGTTATGTTTGTTGAATCTCTAACACCCTTGCCACCAAAGCAGGTATTTGATATGGTTAAATCCATGTCAATATAATGCCGAGAACCTCAAATCCGGGAACAGTTGAGATAGAACAGTATCAGCTATGCGTGGACATGATGGTTCAGGGTCACTCGCAATGGAAATCAAACAAAATCTACTCCTAGCACGTACAATGAGTAGATATTTTGTGTTATTTAGTAGAAAGACCTATCAAAGGTATGTACAACTCCGTTATACACATCCATCAGAGTGTCGATATACTCCGTACATAATGTACTCTCGTTTATAATCAAAGCAGGTTTTGTAATAATAGGATAATCTCTGCAGGTCGTCTGCATGCTTTAGCAATCGGAAAAATATCCAGTTTGGGTTTGATGAATGGACCCTGATACTTTCTTGGCGGAACTGTGAGTTATAGACTGGATAATACATGAGATCCATCAAACTAGTAGAGAAATCCTAGATTTAAGTCGTAATATATAGTCTACAGAAATAATATTGGACCTAATCGGATAATCCATTGTTTTCAAGCTATACTAATGTAGAATACTATAGTTCAACTGCAGGATCCGAATATGTATATCTTGCTTTTCGTAATAAACTGCAATTCTCCGTATTAGATATACTGTTTGACTGGACTATATCCTGTCAAATTGATGTAGAAGTGGAAAATTGTCCTGTGATCTCAAATTAATGACATACTGCGGAATCCACAATTCCAAGGTGCAGTGCTTAATCATATCAAGCACACTGCGACGTCCAATGGGAATGCAGGGGCCACTGAGTGGACATCGGTCACGTCATAGGTGTTAGTGCAGGTTACCTGAGTTGGTCATTCTTCCATCTTGGAGATGTTATTTAACTTTGTGGATTGGCCATGGAAATGAGCCGAATATTTCCCTGGACGGGAAATAGCCAAAGTGGAAAAGAAACCGAGAGCATGATTGGATTGGGAAATTATCCGGGCGGATAAATGCGCCGACAGGTGGCTGATGTAAGCATTTACGCGGAAGGGGCCGCCGGGCATCGGAGGAATGTCGGCCGACATGACATCATCGATCGCACCAGTCAGGGGCACCATACCAGGTCCTGGAATGCATGGAAGGATCGAAGGTGACAGTAGAAGGCGTGAGATTCTCTGGTCAAGGGACGCACGGGATGGTGGCATCCGTTGGACACATAGAATGGCACCTCAACAACAACAACCGATAGGAAAGTCTGATCAGACTCGACAGGCCATCCCACGCACTGCCCCCACGGAGGGGTACCTGGCGGGGTCAAGCACTGGGAGTAAGTGGAGGAAGCCCAGAAGGGAATTACTGGCACGCAATGCAAGATTGCCTCATTAGGACCCCGCCGAAGAAATTAGGTTCAGACAGTCATTTATTGTCTGCCTTTCTCTCGTTTTCGTCTTCCTTTTCCTCGTCCTCTTCACTTCTTCTCTCATTCCACCCCCATTTACCTTCTTACCCACTCTACCACCTTAACCATGTCTCTCGGAAAGAAGTTCACCCTCAACACTGGTGCTCAGATCCCGTAAGTTCCAGGTTTCCGCAGCCCAAGTTCCCCACTCACTGACTCGAAACAGCCAGCTGGGATTTGGCACCTGGCAGTCTGCCCCCGGTGAAGTTGGCGAGGCTGTCTACCATGCCCTGAAGGCCGGTTACCGTCATTTGGTAGGTTAACCTATGTTCACGCGACGATGCATCGCTAATGAATTTCAGGATCTGGCTACCATGTAGGTTCGCGCATTTTTCCGACGACCGCAATACTGATTTCCGATAGCTACCAGAACCAGCGCGAGGTTGCCGAAGGTATCAAGCGCGCCTTCAAGGACATTCCCGGTCTTAAGCGCGAGGACCTGTTCATCGTATGCCACCTTGACCCAGCTTGAAGGACGCGCACTCACCTCGCCACAGACATCCAAGCTGTGGAACAGCCAGCACCACCCCGACGTTGTTGAGAAGTCTCTGGATAAGTGCCTTGCTGAGTTAGAGTTGGACTATCTCGATGTACGTGCCCGCTCCCTTTGGATCCTCGCGGCTTCTCTGACACCAACAGCTCTACCTCGTCCACTGGCCCGTTTCGTTCAAGACTGGCGACAACTATTTCCCTCGTATCGAGGCCAGCACCGTTGAGGGCGGTGATGTCCAGATTGAGGACAATATCAGCATCGTTGACACCTGGAAGGCCATGACTAAGCTTCCCAAGTCGAAGGCTCGCGCCGTCGGTGTCTCCAACCACAACATCGACCATGTGCGTATCTGCAGACATATACGAGGTTCAAAAGACGTACTAACCGCAACAGATTGAGGCTCTTATCAACGCAACCGGTGTTGTCCCTGCTGCCAACCAGATTGAGCGTCACCCAGTGCTTCAGAGCAATGATTTGGTGGAGTACTGCCAGAAGAAGGGCATTCACGTGACTGCCTACTCTGTATGCCTCCTATTGCGTCCACGCATTGGCGTCCCTAACAGATGATACAGGCCTTCGGTAACAATGGATACGGTGTTCCCCTGCTGATCAACCGCCCCGAGATCAAGGAGGTGGCCGACTCTGCCGCCAAGAGACTGGGTACCCCCGTGAGCGGCGCGCATGTCATCCTGGCGTGGTCCCAGGTTGGCGGCCACAGTGTCATCCCCAAGTCGATCACTCCTTCCCGTATTGCCGACAACTTCAAGGAGATCGAGCTTACTGCGGAGGAAGTGGAGAAGGTGTCTGCTCTGGGCAAGGAGCGTCGACGTTACAACACACCGTACGTGGCTAACAAGCCTCGTTGGGATATTAACATCTTCGGCGAGGAGGAGGAGAAGCCTGCTACTCACAAGGTTATTCTGTAGTAGTGCTGGTCACTGAATTGATGTTCATAGTTGGTAGAGCGGTAAACAAAATATATGATAATGAACTAGTTCTTATGTCAGACTAAAGCATTCCCCCTCACTAGCAGGGGTGAATTCTCAGCTATGGGGCGGTACAAGTACATCTTATAAATCAAGAATCCTTCTTGCTTAGAAATGCAAATAGTTATATTAAACTTCACTATCTGCAATGCCTTACCCAGATCCAAGACAGATCCTAGAACAAATACATACCACAAAATACAGAATATCAAAATGCCCACCCTAACCCACCAATGGATCCTCAACTCCAAGCCACTCGGTCTCCCCATCCTCCCCAACAAAGACATAACCGACAACTCCCCAACTCAAACCTTCAAACTAACAACCACGTTTCTCCCATCACCATCTCCCACCCAAGTCCTGATCAAAACCATCTACCTATCCAACGATCCTGCCCAACGCGGCTGGATCTCCGCAGCGGCCGACCCAGCTCGTCTATACGTCCTGCCCCTCAACGAGGGCGACACAATGGGCTCCTACGGCATCGCGGAGGTGATTTCCTCAGGGGACGTAACGCGTCTCACTGCGGGGACTCTAGTCCTCACAAAGACTAATTGGACAGAGTACTCGATCCAGGACATCGATGACTGTCATACAATTCAAACGGTGGATGGTCTCAGCCCCACACATTTTCTAGGCTCGTTTGGTCTCACAGGCGTGACGGCTTACTATGGTCTCGTGGAGGTGGTCAAGGCCACGAAGGATGATAGTGTTGTTATTAGTGGTGCGGCGGGTGCGACGGGCAGTATGGCTGTGCAGATTGCGAAGTGGATTTTGGGGTGTCGGAGGGTGAGTCTTATCCTCCTTGTACCCTTGCTTTATACGTAGACAGGATGAGTAGTGTTAATGGGTATGGTATCATATAGGTAATTGGCATCGCCGGATCTGAGGAAAAATGCCGCTGGGTGGAGTCCATCGGTGCAGATGTCTGTATAAATTATCGGAAGGAGTCATTCGAGGATGACCTAAGAAGGGAGACGGAAGGGTTTGTGGATGTTTTTTACGGTTGGTTTATTTTTCCCAATGTATGCGGAGCTGATACTAATTGCCACTTTTGTATAGATAATATTGGAGGCCGTATTCTAGACTTGATGCTGCTACGTGTGAAGAGACACGGCAGGATCGCTGCTTGGTACGTCATCTTGCCTCTATTGCTGGGAGAGGAACTAATGATGTAGCGGGACGATATCAAATTATAATAAAGATGCGGATCCAATAGGGTTGAGGAATTTCTATGTAGGTTATTACGGTTATTATACTCTGTGGTGAGTGTTGTGTTGTGCTAATATATATAGGAAATTATCTCCAACCGGATTACCGTTCATGGATTCCTGATCCTTGATTACTACCATAAAATACCCGAGACGACTGAATTGCTCGTGCAAGCATGGAAAGATGGCAAAATCAAAGTCAACGATGCAACAGAAACCGTGGTGGACGCCAAGTTTGAGGATATACCATCTGTGTGGATGAAGTTATTTGAGGGGGGGAATACGGGGAAATTGATCACGCGGATTATTTAACTCTTTAGTCACAGATTTAGGGTTAAATGAATGTGACAAGGCCGAGATTAAACACAATCAAGACCGTACTGAATGACTGGCTACAAATAATTCTCACAAAGGTTGTCAAAATCCAATTCTCCCGTAGTATTGCTCTCTCCGCGTCTGCCTTGCTTTTTCATAGTATCCCAGTTGAACACACCATTCCGGACCGACTCCAGAAGTACTCTTATAGGCTTCGAACTGCTCGTCTATTTTTGTCTGAGCGCTCTGCAGCGAAGGCATCCACTGATTTGTCCTTTAAATTTTTATGCGCCTCATTCAAGGACTGTCACTCACAGCATACCCAACACGCGTCAACCACAGCGCCTGGCATCTCTACTAGTTTATATATCAAGATGTATTGTCCTCTAGCCTTCCTATAAACATTAGACTGACTTAGACGGTGTTCTGATACATTGATAGACCAAGTAAAAGAATTGAGCATGCCGCGCCTTGCGTCTTTTATATATATTTCAATAGCTGTGCTTTGCCAAAAGATTCGAAATCCAGTATTGCACTGTACTATTTTATACCACTATATTAAAACATCATTTAAATTAGCTGAGAATCTAATAGGCAACACTTATATTCTACTCTAATGTGCCAATAGATTTACAGTCTCTCTGTATCTAACCTGGTTGAGATATTACTGATTTAAAAGTGCTATGTTGTATATATACAGTGGTGTGTCCATTTTCTGTTTATACACCGGGTAGTACTCTAGGGATCATTATAGCTGGCAGTAGCTGCATCGATTCCCACTTCAATCTTTTTATTGGTTAACTTCGTCTGTGACCTGGCTAGTCAATTCCAATGCCCCTCCTCTTATTCTGTAATTAGATATCTACTTATTTCGTTTCATCCCTTTGATTATAATGCACTAAACCTCGTTATCGCGAGATAATCAGAGAGGCCTAAATATCTCGTAATATTGAGGCCCTCGTTATATTAATCGTTTGTTATTGGTTGCTAACACGCTTGTATGTATGGAATTAAATCTTTTACTAACCTGCTATAGTTGTAAGGGCAAATCATAAACGAGAAATTATAGGACAAAGCCATCGCTACAACGACATTTTGCACGGGGAAAATAAGAAGACTCGCAATAGCGAGGGATCTCACTGAATTACATGAGAAAATAATTGGGGAAGCAAAAATCCTTTCTATATTGAGGATCTCGCAAGGCTCACTATAGCGAGATATCACTACTTCTCCACTGCCTGAAGGCTCTAAATCCAGCCGGAAGCAAGTTCTATTCTGGTTGTATTAACTCAATGTGTATTCACTCCTTCCTGTTTTACAATTCTGAGTATCCTTACAGAAATCTGCATGGCTATGGGGTAGAGCAAAGTTGCGAATGCTTATCTTCCATAGCGTACATCCCATTTGTAAATAAAATATATTTATGGACTGGGGTTTGTTTATAAATTGCTTCATCATAGATATAATCGCAGCGTTGTCTTGATTAACAGTGCTCTTAACAGGGATGGTACATGACCTTAGAGCTACTTATAACGACACTCTATCCTAAGTTCAAAATATAGGTTTCTGATAGGAAGCACACTGTAAACCAGAGGTGACAGCCGCAAAATGAATGGTAAAAATAACATAAAGAAACCTCACATAGTAATACTATTCCAAAGCTATAAAGAGGCAACTCATTCACCCTTTTCCCAAGGCAATATCAATCCTGTCAGCAGCGGTTGTTTCAAAGCGCTAGTATAAGACCAGTTCATACCGATGTAAGTACCAAGATATAATCCCTTCAAGAAACGGCAGAGACTGTTAGGAGCGCTCAGAAGCGCGATAGCCAGATCCTTAGCTAAGATGCTTAGTCAGGTGCGAAGTTTTATATCAGCATCCTCCGGCCTGAACTCTTGAAGGCCAGCGATTAGTTCTGCAATATACGTGGTTCTATCTTCCTCCCGTATAGATACTCCTATTCGCACCATAGCGTACCATTCAGCTCGTTACGGACCCCACACATAACAGAAGACACTGTACTTAGAACGAATATCTGGGGCAACTATATGATACAAATTTAACAATTACAACTCCCCATACCATATCCACAAGGCCAACCCACTGTCCAAATCTCGCTTAGGGGGGTTGCATCTGTGATTATTACTATTACTCTACTGGCCGAAATATTGGATACCTCGTCCAAGGAAGTGGAGGGTCGACTAGAGGCAGAAGATTCCAACATAAGAGAGATACTTCAGTCCTCAGAGCAATTCCGCCCGCTGTTGCGAAAGTAATCTATTCCAGTTCACTAAACTCTAAGTAAAAAGCTGTGAAATAATCAGGCAATATTTTTAAGAAATCGATATGACTAACAACAAAACAACAAAATACAGAATTTGCTAACAACCACATTATATGTGCTCCACAACATAGCACCCAAACCAGACACCATATATACAAACCAGGTACCTAACTTCCAGGCATCACAGATATCACCGTATAGTGAAGCCACCATCCACCCGAATATCCGCACCATTAATCATACCACTTGAGTCCTATTTTCGGTCAGAATCGACTTCAGGCTCCTAGAATTGGATGTCCTACCTGACAAAGAAAAACCACAGCTTCGGCAACCTCCTCAGGCAGCGCAAACTTCCCAGTTGGGACATTCTTCAAGAAAGCCTCTCTGACGGAGTCTTCTCCCCACGCCTTCTTCCCCAATGCAGTCCAAGCGATCGTGGGTGACACACTGTTCGCCGTAATGCCGCGACCGCCCCATTCGGAAGCCATACTGCGTGTTAAGCCCAGCAATGCAGCCTTGGAAGCACAGTATGCACCATGGCGGTGCAGTGCTACATGTGCCGCCTGGGACGCGACGTTAACGATTCTCGCTGGAGGTGGAGAACTCGTCGAGAATTCTGCAGCCTTTGATGCCGCAAAGTATAGTCGAGCGAATGCTTGCGAACAGAGCATTGGTCCGAGGACATTCGTGGTCAGATGCTTCACTGTCTCTTCTGGAGGTGTTTCCTCCATATCACTTAGGGATACGTATCCAGCGGTGTTGATAAGGATACTCGGGAAGACTCTCTCAGCTGGAGATGTGGACGACGGCGATGCCATTTCCTTTTCCATTGTGTTGAAAGCTATCTGGACGGAGTCTGGCGAGGTAATGTCACATTCATAGGCGCGGATTCCATCCTTGTTGAGAATACCTCCATACCCGGCTTCCAGCAATTCATCCCTTCGGACGGCCTCGAATGGGGCATACAAAATGGCTAGGCGAGCGCCCTGTTGGCTGAGCTTCTTGCCGATGCTTGATCCAAGGCCACCTGATCAAGGTTAGCGTTGTCAATTTGACAATTTGGGTAAACCCTTAAGCTGGATATATACCTAGGCCACCGGGGATAATAGCCAATCTGCGAGCAAGCATCTTTGTTATTGAGTGTGTTGAAGGAAGGACGGTGTCTCGTCTATTTAGTTCTTTGTTGGCGCTAAGATGACGTCAGCTTTTCCCCTCATTACTTGTTGTCAGAATAAAGCTAGTCCATATTGGGACATGATGTGAAGTAATAAAGTGACGTGGCTATAACTATAAGCCGTGGCTCCAAAAGAATAGGGGTAATCACAACACATTTTTTTTTTTGAACACAGAGAATGTTCAAGCTCTCATAGAATCATCCATATATTTCTGACAGTCTCCCATGATTGTGCCACATAAACTGTTTGGCCGTCAGGTAATGTTTCGTCTGCACTGCCTCTAAGCGGGTACGAGAGCGCTCCATATCTCAAGCTCATTATTACTCATGTCCCTCCATACGTGACTCCATTTCCGACATCAGAAGAGTAAGTCCTGAACCGTCTTCCCCTCACCGTCATTTTCCCCACACCCAGTTATTCAATCATACGCAGCTGTACAGTACTAACAGCGCTGCTTAGGGCCTCAGGTTGTCGTAGAGAAACCTTGTAGTAGTAGTAATAATCAATTTTGTATAACCCTCCATTATATAATCTTGACGTATAGCTAAATTGATTGGATAGGAAAATAATGAATTAATGGCGAGCATCGACTGCCATTAATTAGTGCTCACCTATTTACGAAGATTTGCAGCTAAGGCAACCATTTCTAAGTTGGCCCATTGGGCCTATATTAAACTCTAACCTTATTAAAATATCTTAATCATTTCCAACTAAAACCAATAATACCTCTACCGAGCTATCTTTGTAATACAACATAAGCACCTAAGTGGTAGAGCTGGAATGACTTATCACCTGGAGTTGGTGTTATCAGCATGTAGTCCTATAGAGGATTAAGCTCAAAAGTTTCACTAACAGGAACAAGTGAAAATACTGCCCTATACTAGCAACCCACGGGCATGAAATTGGTTGCAACCAGTACACGTGGCGGTCCGCCGCCGAAGGTGCAGAGATGTCCATGAGACGATGATAACTTGATGTTGTGAAATTGCAACCGTGGGCAACGGACAGACTAGCATCTGTAGCAGTTTGAGACGAGGCTCCAGTGTAAGGCTTTTTTCAGAAATCCGACACCGCATGATTACTAGCACGGTAGGAGCTGATAGGCGCGGGCAAGGTATTAGTCCCCAAGGAATGACTCACAGACTATATGTTGACGAATTGAACATCAGTAATAGTAAGTAGCTTCTAGGTAATCAGATGGGATCGGTCTAAAGCTTACATATTTGCTAATGACCTTCGTTAGGGCAGGGTTGAGAGCTTTCCACGGGAAGACTTTCACTTCCCTCATTAGGCTTCGTGGCTTTGGCGTTGGAAACCCCATGATTACCTCAAAAAAGTAATTGCTACTAGCTCTCGAGACTGTGAGAGGCTTGAAGCTTTCCAGGTTCCTCCGAATACGATTCTTCTCCTGCAATGTGAACCGAAAAGCAACAAGTGCTTGAAGTAGATGTATGATGTCAACACCTGTAACAAAATATTCCTTCTTATCATCCCAGTAAATGCAACTGATGCAAAAGCTATTCTGGGCATACTCTTTAAAAGCCACAGCTCTAAAATCCACGTGGATCATGTTGCCGGTTTGTGCACGGGTGAACTGAACCAAACGCCGTTTAGATTTGCATTCATCTTTGGTCCATTTCTCTGCCATTGTGTCTAAGTCCCCTTGTATATTCAAAATTACCTTTGATGTGCATGTGCATATTAAATTGACGTGGTCTGGTCCAGCCCTATTCGACCGTTGCAGGGTGGATGTTTGGAGAAGAGTGGGCAAGGGTGATGTTTGTTGGGGGCGACGATGAGCGAATGCAAACTGGGAAGATGGAGCTTCGATAGACAACTGCGTCATTGATGACATGGCTATGTATTGAGTTGAATTAGCCCTGGGCGAGGATGCCACATCATATTGTGCTGTATGCCCACCTTTGTTGGTAATGCACTGCAAATATGGCGAGGTGGTCACAGAATACAGACATGACTGGTTTATGTCCTGAGTTGGCTGGAGAGCCGACCAGTCCCTTCGCTCTAGCTCATCTGAATAGGAATGTAGTATGCTCCATGACCCGTCTGGCGGTGATGAATCGGAAGTATCTTCATATGTATAGACGCCCACTTGAATCATAGTAGGACACCCGCCTTGACTTTGCCCCACTGCTAGCTGCAAAGTCACAGTGGATAAGGGAGAGCCTGTACAGACAAATGGAGGCGCTTCCACTGAGAGTCCATACTGAAATGCAGAGCCTTGCAACTGGAAGAATTCTGGGATGCACACACACCTCATCGAGCCAAAGGCTAGATAAAAAATTGAATATGTTGGCGTGTGCAGACTATATGGGGACTGGATTTGTGCAAATACTCGCGTCCCTTCAGGTCCTTTTTGGGGGAAATATACCGTAACCTCTGGGAGCATTTGAATATTTTCGCGCAATATGGGTGCCTCTGTCTCAGTATGAAGACGGTGACACTCTGCAGCCTCTATGTAGGGAGCACCATCAGATATTTGACCTGTATGATGGGCTATACGACTGGATACTGTCGGCCCGGTCACATATGGGACCGAATTGTGACCCGCACAGAGTGCCCCGTCATCAATGTGCTGGGTTGAATTGCTATCTTTGTATAACCTCAGCAAGATTGGTTTATTGGCGGGAATGTTTATTCGACATGGCAGTCAATGGCTGACCGACTTACCGATATAGGCCATTGGTGCAGACTTCTGATAACTAGAGTTAGGCATTCCAGTTCTAACTAGTCAGGCAGATATCGAGGGCAGTGTATCGTGCGAACCTTGAGGTGACAAAATGCTATAGGATATTAATAGCAATGCCCTTGGTCGGAAGTAGGAGACGGAATGGTTGACTGGAAAGGGATATGTGAGAGGAAAATTGCCTGCGCAAGGCATTGCCAATCCGAGAAAATGTGTGATGGAGAGATAGGGCTATCGACTGCAATAGAAAAGATACAACAGAGTTCGAGTTCAGCCCGAAAGGACCAAGGTTTGACCCAGACGTCTACCGACGGCTAGATGTAACCCACGATAATCAATGCTAGGAATATCCCACCAGGTGCGGGGCTCACCTGACCGTATACGTAGAACTCAAATTGCCAACAGCTTTGGGAAAGAAACATTATTATCAGTACCTACAGGATAAGCCCTAGAGTACGTGAACGTCGGTGATCCACGCAAGAATTTCGAGCAAAATAAGTCCTGGAGATACCTGTGCAATTAAAGCTACAAAATCTGGGACTGAAAAGACAGTGGACCATCTTAGAAATATAAGCCCTTTGATGATCTGGACTACCTGTACAATGCGTGAACCGAGAGATCTATTCAAAAGGAGCCTGAATGGATTGACCAAGGGCCAGATGAAGCACCCGCGGCGAACCATCCCCGAGTCGCCAGCTGAAAGCCCTTGAGACATAGCCAGTTATTTTGGCTTCTCGAAAGTGGCGAGCATGGGCCATTGTCAACCTGACAAGTACCGCTAATCTATATTTGGTTATCTAGAATGCAAGCTTGAGTATTCCTAACTGTAGGGCCGAGATTTTATGTGCTGATGCAATTACTCATTCAGCAGATGCGACTCCTTCCCAGCAAGGGTTGTTCTGGTACAGTGGCTCTTACCCAACTAAACCCAGAGATACCGTACCACTGCTAGCTCGTTTTAACTCGCTTGTAGAGTCAGTATAATCGAACGCCCATCCGGTCCCAGACCAGATCACACCAACAGAGAGCAAACTCAAAAAGAAAGATAGAGACATGTAACCATAGTTTCTCCACCGAACTAATTCTCTTGAATTCGAAGGTTTAGCATACATATATCATAAGATTTGGGCTGATTGTAAATTGATCCGGCCGTAGTCCGCACGATCAGGAACAGTTGCAACTTCTTGGCAACGGTCTGACCAGAGTTTGATATCCACTTTGCAACAATTAAAGTTTTGTTAGTTTTCTGGGCAGTACAGTATCCAAAAAAGAAAAGTAATATTGTATTTCATCTACATAGGATACTGTCTGTAACCATTTAAGAATTGAATTTATGCATCGTTATTACTAGCTTTCTTTCTTTTGTTTCCCCCGTCATATAAAATACAGTGGCTATAGTAGTGAAGGTCTCATCAGGAGGAAAACATGGTAAGATGAGGACTACGAGGAATGTGAAAGTTCAAGGTAGTAGTAGCCTTGGCAGAATTTGGAAGGCGGTGATATTATCGTAATAAATAGCGATTTTAACAGGTAAGATATACGGCAATAGAGGTGGTGGAATACCTGGTTGCAGAGTTCATCTCATTGGCCCGCGAAAGGTTGCACTCAGATACGCTGCTCATTAGACGAAGCAGCGGCAGAAGTCCGAAAAGCGCGGCCCCACTTTCTGGTCATTGCCAAGCGGAGCTTGTCGCGGATCCATGGACCTGACTCTGAAGGCTTCATAATTTAAGCCGGCATAGCATTTAATCTAATACACACAGAAGGTCAAGGCAGCGTGGGCCCTCTTGCATCATTCATGGCTAGTGCAAACTGTACCACAGCCAAGAGCTCGATGATTAGTTTAAGCCCGGAACGGGGCCTGTTTGTGCTATTTTGAGACATGTCAAATGCTCTTTTTCACGTCTTTCGGAGGCTGTGAGCTGGAGGTCCTCTTGTTGGAGCGTGATATTATTTGTTGAATAGAAAGGCACAGTTGTATTGAGATTGATTGTTCTGGGTCACCCGAGACAGTAAGACCTAGTTCTATACGGTACGGATCTAGCCCTAATGTAGCAGTAGTGCGGTCAGGATGAAAAACAGTCAATGATAAGTACATGGCTGAGATGCTCTACTACAATGCTGGACTGGACTGGACAGGGTACCCAGTCCACAGCCCACCCAAGTGCATCCATTTTACCCTAGGAATATCAAGAGATATGACGACTAATTCGCAGCCCTTGTCGCCAACCTCTATGTCATCACCCATGTAGCATCTGGTAAGAGAAACATATCGCAGAAGTTATAACACAGAAAATAAACTTCCTTTACGAACAGCCCAGGAAATATATTCAGTGTCACAGTAACGAGGTGTAGGCTAGTGTAAGGCAGTCCCACACACTGGGAAGGATTTTGCCCTCGACAATGTTTGTTGAATTAAAATGTCCCCATGTTGACCGACAGACAGAGACAATGAATGCAAACCAGATAAGGCCAGTTGAATACTAGCACGACGGACCTACCTGCGCGGTAATGAACTACAATAGGCTTTGAGTGCGAAGGCCTAGCTGCATGGAAAGCTTGTATGCATCTCGCCTTAGAGTAAGTGAATAATCTTGCGGACCCAATTTCCATTGTCATGGAGCCATAATTTCTCTCACGTAATGAGACGCCTCTGCAAGGGTCGCTTACAGGCTTGTTTTTGTGACCAACATTTGACTCTATGCAGTAAGTTCTGGGAAGGTTTGTCGGTAAGGAACTTCTTGTACCATAATCCAAATAGACTGACTACTGTAAGTGCCTTATCGATAAAGGGTCATGGGTTCAATTCACCGTAAACAACGCCAGAATTGTCCTAGTCATTGAAAAGTATGGTACTAATATATTTTAATTTCAACTTTCTTCACACTCAAAGCTGACGCGTGGTCGTTAGGACCAACGGAAGGCTGTTTGAGAGAATTGATGACTATGCTAGGTTACTTGCAAAACTTGGAAGTATTGACAACTAGAACGGCCTAATCCATTGGCCCAAGTGCAGCAGCCATGCACCAAATTGTCCACTTTTAATGGTGACAACCTGCGGCTTCAATGGGCTATTACGTTATGTTATCATATCTGCATTGTGAATCACAAGCCTGGCCAAATTCATGGCGCTGCAAACTGAGATAAATCAATTGATCGAGGCCATAAGGAATTTGATCGACGAACACGATCTAAATCAGATCTCTTTTCTAGCAGAGCGTTTGCAGCCATATAGGATTGAGAATTATGAAGTGCCCACTAGTGACCATGTTATGGACAGAATAAGTTCTAGTTCTTGAAGGTTAGAAGCGAGAGCCATATTAAAGTCATATAGATTTAACCCACTTTGAGATGTAATCCACGGGCCGAAAATCAGGCATCGGAAACCTGCGAGAATACAAATGCCGGATCCTCCAATGTCACACTCTGCACTGGAGTATGGGATATTCCACCAGACCTAACGAAGCTAGCCGGTACCCGTCACCTCTGACCCACACCGCCTTCGCGGTATGGGTCATCCCGGGCTCAACGGTATTATGGGCTCAATGACACTTTTTACCACTACACCAATTTCTTTATCAATTTTCTCACTACCACCATGCCTGAAAACTATTCAGAAGTTGAAAATCGAATCACTAATGCTCTCAGCGCGTATTCCGATCGTGACAAGCCCCAAATCAAAGCATTGGCGCGGGAATTTGATGTTCCTTATAGACGGCTGCTTCGACGTGTTCATGGCCATAAATCTCGTTCGACACGCCCTGCTTCCAATAAAGTTCTAGATAATGCACAAGAACAGGCATTAATTAGATGGATATCTCTTCTTGATGATGCATGTGCTGCACCAACACCTGCAATGATTGAGAGGTGTGCAAATGAGATATTGGCGCGCAATGGTAAAGATCGACGTGTTGGTAAAAACTGGGTCTACAGCTTTATTAAACGCCTTCCAGAACCCTATAAATTTACCAAGCAAAAACCAAAGGAGAAGAAAAGAATAGCAGCAGAGAATATCTGTACTATTTCAATCTGGTTTGACAGGCTGGAAATACTGTTTAAACGCCATAATATTGGGCCTGGAAATATCTACAATTTTGACGAATCTGGCTTCCAGCTTGGCCAGGGAAAGTCCCAGAAAGTTGTTACAAAAAACAAGCATACTGCAGCATATGTCGGAACTGGAGGAGTAGGAGAATCAGTTACAGCAATTGAGTGTATTGCTGCAGATGGTTGGATAATGCCCCCATTCTTTCTCTTCAAGGGCCAGTACCACATGGAGCATTGGTATAGGAACCAGCCAAATCTTCCAGATAATTATTATATTGCTCCAGCTGCAAATGGCTGGACAAATAATATTATTGCTTATCAATGGCTTCAATTTTTTCATGAACAGACAAAGCATCGTGTTCAACGTGGATCTTACCGCCTGATCCTAATGGACGGCCACAAGTCCCATCTTACAGAGGATTTTGCTCGATTTTGCCACCAGAATTATATTATTCCTTGGTGCTTTCCGCCAGATCTTACACATCTTCTCCAGCCTCTGGATGGTCATCCATTTCAGGCGTATAAGCATTATTATCGGAGGGCTAATAATGCTACTGTACAGTGGGGTGGCTCTGTTAAAGAAAAGTCGGATTTTCTGCGTGATATTCATGCTATTCGAATGCAGACTTTTAAGGGTTCTACTATACGGCATGCATTTAGAAACTGCGGGATTTATCTATTAAAGCCTGATGTTATTCTCCAGCCGCTTCAAGACGCAGAATCCCCTGTTCCTGATCTGGTTGTTTATGATGGTAATGAGACAACAGAACTACCAATCTGGGGTCAAGAAGCTCAAGTAAAAGACTCAAGAAGAAGCTCAATTAGAAGCTCAACTAGAGGCTGAGCTAGAACCTCAACCAGAAACTCCACCACCTTCAAGCTCTACAACCAACTCTCCACCAACAACAATTACCAAGATGCGGCGGAGTATTGCCAAGGCACAGAAAGATCTTGCTGCACTTCAAGCACAAGCTGATGCAGCTGCAGAATCTAGCAATTTAGTTAGTATAAATACTGATAAAATTGCTGCTCGTTTTGAGCGCATTTGGCAGGGTAGTCTTACCAACACAGAACTTGGTGAACAGCGTGAAGCAGACATGACCCGTATTCTTGCCAACCAGGAGCATCACCAGGCTCGAAAAACTCGTCGCCAGGTTCGAGCAGGAGGTCCTTTATCTGTCAAAGATGCAAATAGCCTTATTCTGTCCCGTGAAATAAAAGAGGCAGAGAAAGAAAGACAACGGTGGAAGCGGAGGGCTAAGAATGCCGCGGATAAACTAGCACAGAGGGCCACAAAAGAGGGATTAGGGGATGAAAATAGGGATGAAAATAATGGCTGGGTGGCTGGAGATGATGGTCAGCCTCTATATTGTATTGATTATGGCCCAGGGAGGGAATAAATAGCTTCGACGTGGCCATGAAGGGTAAAAAGTGTCATTGAGCCCATAATACCGTTGAGCCCGGGATGACCCATACCGCGAAGGCGGTGTGGGTCAGAGGTGACGGGTATTCTGGAAGCCAGACTCGCGCGATTCCAATCTCCGATACAACAATTTTAACCAAGAAGGTCGAGGATCAGTTGTGATATTCCCACCAACAAGCCCCATTGGCTTGTGTATTACTGGCACAGAGTTCTGTCATTCACGATTAGGGAGTTCTGGCATGTCTGCAAATGGCAGCGCATATATGAACATTGCTGAAACAGTCAGGGAGCCTTGGGTGGGAAAGCTAACCGCTATATCTCAGACTGAAATATCATGGGCAGTTCGAGAGAAAATCCAGTATATGCTGTGCTTCACATCCTACCCTGTTTGAGCTGTACGTATCTAGTTCTTATTATTTCTCTATCAAACCGTAATTCATACTGATGCTTCAAACTTTCTCTGTTCCTCTCAATTTACCTCCCAAATTGATGCATTACAATGCGGAAATTTTTCCATCGGTCGACATGGCAGAAACTGGAGCTGAAAATATGCCCGAGTCTGAGCATGTTAATGGTGGCGATGCTGGTAAAATAATTGCTGTACTACCTTCTATGGAATCGCCTCCGGAAGTGAGCAGAAACGCTGCTGCGCTGATTTGGACTTCAGAAACGGATAACCGGCTTTCTACTCCAAGCACGACAGCGGACTTACAAACAGCAAGCTTATCGTTCCAACGGCGTCTAGGACTCAATTACACACCCCAGCGGGACATTCAGCAGCTGTCAATTGGCCCTAATGGCAGTTGAATGCATAACGGAATTAGCGAGCGATCGATGGCGGACACAGGAGACCTACCGGAGGCTCTGGCGGCGGGGGACTGTATCTGAGAAGACTATATCGAGTTATTGGAATCCAATTTACTGTCATGGAAAATATATGGCCTGTGGCACAAAAACCCTATCACATATGCTGGGGGAGCCGGCGTTGACAACAAGTGGCTGGAAAATATCTACTCTTGCATCTGTCAGCTTGAGATCCGAGTGTGCAATGATCCAGTGAGGAAGCGTATGGCATTGGATCTTCTACGTCTACAATACGAGGATATGTTTCGAAACTTGAAAGTAACGGACTAATGTACGCGCGGGACCTTGGCCGGTGTGGTGAAGCAAGTCGGATTATCGACTAAATTCTTAAGTGAATTCATCCTGAGTGGGATCGTTGCGACACTAAGAAAAGATTGGAATTGTGAGCAAACTTTCGCAGCAGAAAACGATATAGCAAGAGATGGGAAGTCCTGGTATCAGGTCTGGGTGCTGCTATATTAGCTATCTGCTACCTAAACTTGTCACTATGGTGTAAGGATGCCCCATATTTATTTACAAGCGGAATCTAACAATTATCGGAAGGTAGAATACTAGCATCTCCGTCCAGCAGCTTGAAGATTTCTGCTGCGTGTTCAGACAAATATACACCATATAATTCCTACCCTAAGGCTGACAGCCCCAATCGTGCTGTCTTTTCCAGGATGACGCATATGGCAAATATGATACGGAATTTTATCCTTGAGAAGCTACAATGTCTCAAATCGAAAAGCTCACTTAACGACATAGAATGGATCCATGACTGGATGAGTGAGAACATTATCTTTGGTATTGGAAGAGAGCGGAATGGCAGATTCTTGAACATAAATATGCCTGGCTAGGAAATGCACAGAGGAATTAACCCATACAGCGGAGGGGAATTCCCTTGGTGAGAGCAGGACAAGGTTAAAGTCCTTCTTGGCTGCTTCATCTTTAAGCGTTTCTTTCTTGGACACTTGTTGCGGAATGGGCTCAATTGGGTCTGAGACATGGGAGTAACGCCCTAGTTGTGTGAATCGCTTACTTGCCATATATTCTGGCATGGGCTGAACTTGCTTACCAGCCTTTAGGTCAGAACAAGTATTCCGCTAGCTTTGGGCAGTAATAGATTCCCATACAGATAAGGATGGCTAGGAATACATCCAGTTCTTTGGCGTCTACTTTCTTCAATATTCACCCCCTTTCTCAATTGCATAGAGATTTATATGCTTGACTAGAAGGGAACTATCAGACTATCAGTAAAGTGTTGCAGCCTTCTATGTAGTAGGACTACTTTTGCAGGTCTAGGTGGTGTTATTTCTAAAGGTTGAAACACGACATCTTCTGGACGTGGGATGTTGGAGTACTCAGACTATGACTGCTTCTTAGTACATTTTGCAGCACTTTTCCAAATTTCACAATGCGATATGTTACAGATTCCGTGGCAGGGATGCTATCTGAAAGAGACAAGAGGTATTTTGAGCAGTACTATTTTGCCTAGAGAGTTATAAAAAAGGTGAGGCTTTGGGGGATGAAAACTCCGCATGGTTGCCAAGACGCTAGCTGCACATTATACCTTCATAATATATCTATAATATATCAAAACAAGAACACAAGAATTGGCTGTTCGATTTCTACAAGATTGTTGAATTTCTGATACGTGCTGATATTGTTGGGGTGGTTTTCTGCAGGTCAAATCGTGACTGACTAATCAGATCGCATAGTGTGCAGCATACGCATTAAACTTAAATACACGTTACGTAGATGCTAGCGCGGTAATTAAAGGGATAGTCCTGTCCCTCGCGGCGACTATTGTTTTTTTGTCTCATCGCTCTACGCCAGATCCTTATTTCTCCATGCCATTCGCCAAGACAGACCGCAGCCTCAGTAAAAATAGCATTTCTAACCGTCAAGAGCCCAATTGTTATGAGTAACGTAGAAATTTAACCGCTTCTTCCTCTCCTCAGTAAGATCAGGCTTCATATTAGGTTTAACAGAATGAAAATCTTCTTGCCGTAGAATACACCACACAGATGTAGTAGATACCAAGAATTCAAATGCAAGGATCTCACAATATTTCTCACGTCCGTTCTGGTCCTTCCTGAATGCCTCACTGGGGGCATTTTCAGTTGGTTCAGCAACCTTTGGCCAGCTAGATTGCTGACCATTCTCAACATATTCAATAAGAATTCAGGCAACCATAGGGTTACATAAATCCTCGCTCCTTTACCTTCCTATTCCAGTATTGAATAGCATGGTAAGACATCTAGTGCTGACCTTAATTTGATCCACACTAACAACACCAGAATGTAACTAGGCAAGCGCTGGGACGCGGAACCCAGTACAATGACACTTCCCCTGCATCGTAGGCAGGCAGGTAGGGACACAATGTGAGATTGAAGCTTAACACTACCATCTGCAGGTTCAACGCTGTATATTTAAAAAGAAGTCAAAACTGGAGCTCTGAATATCTCCACGTTGCTTTTGTTAGATATTGGCCTGTCAACGTATCCAAATTAGTAGAGCGAGCTCCCCATAGAAATTAGTATGGTAATAACCTTACATGGATGTACAACCAAAACGCCACATTTAACTTTGCGCATTTGCATGAATTTAGAAACGCACCTCTGTAGTGTCCCGCTTTATTCTTGACCTAGGAAGAAAAAGGTAAAGCCCGCCCATACAACACAGTGAATGGTCACACCGGTGCTCACGGCGATTCCGGCGTCTTTGGGTATACTATCTGTATACAAAGTGGGTAACTAGGCACTAGCCGACCCACCTATATCCTCTCAGCACGACCAACCTATCATGAGACCACTAATAACCCAGAATTCCCACATCTACCTTGCTGCTTATATGGTTAGGACATGATTCACTCAGGAGTCTGGTAGGATTCATTTGACAATTTCAGTTTGTATGGAAATCTCACCCCCGATGATACCTGGAAGAGTGACCAGACATTTCAGTTGTATGCACGGAGTATTGTAATCTTGTTTTAGGTATATCTGTTTCATTTGGAGTATAATATGTAACTTACGGCCGCCCGGAAAGATTTTGGAAAGATTTATAGAACCCACCATCTATCTCAGTTCACACCCCACAGCCGCTGAACACCATGTCTAAGACAAATGCAATGACGCTAAGTGTAACAAATAGAGTTGAGGAAGTCTATTCACCAACAATAATTGGGCTGTCGTGCCGGTTAGTGGGGAATATCCTATTTTGGATCACATCACTAAGATGGATTAGCGTAACTAACGTTCTGCACTGCCTAGATGGCTGTTCCAACAACAGGACTGGAACTATATTCAGTGAGACCCACCTGCGGACTTTGGTAGGTGCGGTCTGCATACAAAAAAAATCAGTTGACCTCCATACTAACGGAGCAGATCATTCAGCTTTTGCCAGCTTATCTGACAATCATGCGCTTCATGGTTCCTTCTCTTGGCGGCGGTACTGCCCTCGTTAGCAGCGCTGTTCAAGCAACCGCTGCCAACTGGCTCTACACCAGCGATCTAGATGCAGACGGGCAAGTCACATCGCCCTGGCATTACACGAGTTCAGACACTCTATAGCTGGAGGTTACCAAGGCCCCAAGTCTCTACCATTTACCACGATATAAACCTTACCCATTGAAAGGTAAACAGCTCTGGATCCAGTTACAAGACCGGTCATTTAGTCCTATCAAAAACCCCGTTCCCAAGTACCTCCGTCGCCCAAACTACAACACGATGACTGCGACAGCATCTTTGTTGCAGGCGGATGGGTGGCAATGCATTGGAACCCGCATGTCCTTGCCGGTTTCCAGTATCTGTTCAATGCTCTTACGAAAGCTTTTGGCGGCAAGGTCTATGGCCTCAACCTGCGAGAAACCGTGACCGAGGTCCAAAATGAATGAAACCCAGGCCAAACTTCACCTGTCATGTTACTTCAGGGTGAGCTAGATAATGCCCGACATGCGACTAGCGTCTTCCGTAAACCTTCGTGGTACAATACGTGAACTTTTAACCCTGTAGATGGGCAAATGAGAATAACTACCTGTCTGACTCAATTTAATTCTTCGTAAACAATGGCATTGAATTTGGTAGTCAAGACAATATCCCATACAAGACAACCATAGAGAGCAACGCATACCAATACATGTCTGAGTATCGCAATAAGGTTCAAATCTCTATAGTTGCAGTACAAGTGCCGGATTAGGCTGCCATCAACATAAATACTAGCAAACCCTTCACAAAGGAGGAATTGGCAGATTTTGCGAATAATCGGCTAGGAGTAGATATTATTTTTGGTCACTGTCTACTCCTTGGCTCCATCAGTGAGTTTGGCTGGAGAAGGAAATGTCTATGGATATATTTTAGAATTGTGGGAAGGCTTGAAAGTAGAAAAGGAGGGTATATTACTATTAAGATCAAATGTATGGACGCTATCTCCTTCTTGGGTTGTTTTGTATTCTACGATTTATGGAATAGAAAGTTTTTGTATATTCCCTGATCAAAGGATGAGCTACCTAACCACAGAGAATATACGTATGCTCTCTCTATAGGAGTGGTCTCCATACTGATAATGGTATCAAGTAAACAAGATGATAAGGAGTGCTCAGGTTTTCTGGCTCCCGTGTATTAGCAATGACATGATTGAACGTACGCACCTGAATATTGCACAGACAGTCGGAGTCCTTGATGTGAAACCCACAGAGCTCAAAGAACAGATCAAATCTCACCTCATCTCCGAGCGTGCTGGCAAGTGGCTTCTAATTTTCGATAATGCAGATGGTATGAACATGCGGCTATTAGCTGGTGACGCAACCCTGGCTCTCCAGAACTTTCTACCTCAGAGCGAACAAGGCCACATTCTGTTCAACACCCGGAACACAGAAATTGCGGTGGAGCTATTATTATCCAATATCATTCCTATTCCAGAGTAGATAAAAAAGCTGTATTGAAATATCTGGAAAGTCATTGGAACAAGATAGTTTACAAGTAATATAACTAGTTGGTGCAACTGTCCGGAATGCAACGTCTGAGGGCAAGTTTCAATCCATGCTATATGCCTATTCACAGGACACGTAGGGTTCTTGCAATAAAGATATGGGCGGAAGAAGATCTACGGTCTTGAGTTGATGATCTTGATTTTTTAGACGCTGGGTGTCATCATGGCCTCGAACGGCGTGCATAATATGAATGTGCATGCGTAGCTTATTTGGTAGAAAATCGTGGTTGGTATGGGGGTCGGTGCGATTGCCCGCTAAGTGTATCATTACCTCAGTAGTTGCTGTTTGCTACTGTAATCTGTTCTTGCTCCTCCCTCTATATCCTGGGTTGATTTACCGCAAAGGATTATATATAGCAAGTACTGTAGAAGCTACTCTTAGAAGCTACTCTATGATCCGAGCAGATCACGCTACCGTGTTATGTTCAAACAGCGAAGGAAACATTATCTGGATCAGGCGTTGTCGCAGAGACATACCAAATAAATATACGACCATCTACATATGAAACTCTTCTATTTACTAGATCGAGTTTCGATTCATAACAATTCTCATTTGAAAGGTAGGCGAGGTCTCACGTTCCAAATCCGAGAAGGCTAATCAGGTACCAGTCCGCAACCTTGGGATATGTATTCAGTAATAACAGTAGTGGTGATATAACCACCCAGCTGTCCTATTCAAACGTTTAATTACTGATAGCTCATGATAGAGGGAACCATTCGTTGAAACGGCCATGTGGGTCCATCTGAGCCTTAAGATTTCTCAGCCGTTGGACATTCTCGCCGTACACCACGGACAACTCTTCGTCTCCATATGCGCCATTGATATAACTTGGTGAGATTAGCTTTCTCTTTACCCAAAAGTATTGTGCGACAACTCACGTGCAATTTTTAGTCAAGCCCGATGTTGATCGTAGCAAGTCGCGGGACTTCAACCCCCATTCCCTGGCTACTGCATCGAGGCGCGAGTCTACAACTGACGGTTCTACCCAGGTATTGAATTTAATCGTGCTGCGGAAAGGATAGGCGTAGTCAAGAACGTCCGTCGATTCCCGGATGGGATTACCGTTCATAATGACTACGCTCTTTACCGCTCCGGTTTGCTTGACAAATGTCTTGTATTCCTGGAACAGTTCGCGCCAGGTGGCAGGCACCATTCGTGCAAGACCAGCACCATACCGCTGCTTGCGTTGGCCTTTTGCGCAGCCCCCATCTTGAGGATCATTCCAATGATCATAGGATAGCACCCCGGCATCATCGGTCTCAGGTCCAGCCGCATAAATGGTTGAAAAGGCTTCCCTGCCTGCGCTATCTGTACCGTAATAGAAAAGGTTCGCCGTAATAGAGAAAGAAATATTGTCGCCGGACTCCGATGCTGAAAAAATCAAATTGATGGCCATCTCTGGACGGAGAATGAGAGTGTCCATTGCCTGGACGAGATCCTCAATTTTCTTCTCAGAAAATGTTAGAGTAGCCAACCAAGCACTCAAACCGGACTTGTCAACAGGGTAAGCTCGCATTGTAGCAGAGGTAACAATCCCAAAGTTTTGACCGGCACCCCGAATCGCAAACCAGAGTTCGGAATTGCTCTCGCGGCTGACCTCCAAGCGGTCTCCGGCCGGTGTAACGATATTTACGGAAATCAAATTATCAATGATAAGGCCGTAAGCTCCTACCAAATTTCCGTAGCCAGCACCTAATCCTGCGCCAAGCTGCCCGATGCAGTTACAAGTTGGCGTGGGAACAATGGTATTCCTTGCGAACGCAGCGGCCACCACATCACTGACCAATGCACCTCCTTCCAACCAGAGTTCTGTTCCCGCAGCGTTCACGCGAACATGATTCAGTTGTTCCAAATTGATGATAACTCCGCTCTTGTCCAAAGTGAAGGTAATTGAGGATCCATGGCCTCCATTTTGCGCAAGGAAGGGAATGTTTTGCTCAATGCAATATCGAACCTGGGCGAAGACAAGGAAAATTACATTTGTCCCACAGAGCGGAGTAGGAAGATGGCATATGATTACACACTGTCACAAGCACATCATCCTCCGTGGCAGGATTTACCACAGCCCCCGCGTCGGGTGCTGGAAATTCGCTCCATCGTGGAGCTCCAAGAGTGTCATAGGCGATGGACGCATCTGGAGATAATAACCCACGTAATCCTGAGAGATCTGGGCCATAACACAGGACATTACTGATAGTGAAGAAGTATAAAACAAGTACGGCCCAAGCGCTCATCTTGGTGGGCGGAGATAGTCTGGCTGGGTGGGTTTCAGATGGGGTCGTTTAGTTGTGGTGTGCAGAACGTGTGTTAGGTACAGTGTCCCCAGAGGTAAAAGTCCTGTCAGGTAGAGTATATAACAGAAATTCAACGCTCTCGGAGAAAATCCGTAAAATGATCTGAGTTATGTTGCAATAACACAGTACTGTATTACGCTTTGCGCCAAACGAATCTGCCAAGTATAATAGCTTGGGATCTAGGTTCGACGATGGTGGAGAACAATTGGCACGCGTCCATGGAGAGACAGAGTTTATACCAAACGAGGAGGAGAGAACGTTTGCACGCGAAACTCAATTTGAAGACCCAACTGGATGAGTCTAGACGAATTGCATATTCATATAGTTCACTTTAAAAACCTTGATTGGCTAGCTGCCAGATGTTGCCACCTCGCTGAGACAAATAATTATATTACATCCGGATCCACGTCATGACGTGATTAATACTGTACTCCAGGCCAGCCAGCTTATAGTTAGGATACATTCTTTTCGCTTTCATGTAATTCTTTACGATCTTCTTACTGTTTACATCTTCTCATTCACTAGAAACATCTTTACTAGATCTGCCACAAGTCTTTTGTCAAATCCTTCGGAAGGCTAAACTCGAAATCTCCAGGTTTCTATATACAACGCATCAATAATCTGGAAACCATGTTGCTGAAACATCGAATGGCACTAGTACTCGCAGTCACTGCAGCGCTTCTATCTGTCACTGCCGTTGAGGTCTCCGTAGGTGGCGAGAGCCGGAAGAGTGGAACGACACCTGAACCTGTTATCGAGGAGCTTGCTGAAGGAAGACAAGCAGAACCTATAAGTGTCCACGTCGATGGAAGCGGAAATCAGGTCCAGCTCAACTTCCGCAAGATTACAATTCCACCGAAGGGCAGCACCGGCCCACACTGTCATTACGGACAGCTCCTCGGCGTGGTGCAGAAGGGAACACTTACGCTCTACGCCCCTATTTTTTCCGAAGGAGTTCACAAATACAAGGCTGGTGAATCTGTGACGGAGGGAAGAGGATACGTGCATGAAGGACATAATGAGAGTGACACTGAGGATGTTGTGCTCTGGGTAACCTATATCACTCCTGAGGGGAAGCCTCTCGCGGAGGCTGATCTTTCCAAGTGCAACTAGAACTGCATTTAGCAAGTTAAGAATATACTTATAGCGATTGTATGAAGTTGGAAAAATACTGTATAAGGATCATGAGCTGACATGGCGCCTGTGATACGGCCACACAACGCGGGTCACGTAGCTCATTAGCTGATGATATGACCTATAACGGCTTTATGTGAATAATTGCTTTTTTCTCTACTGTTGATGTTTTCATCAAACGAGATGCTACGTTTGCGCCTCTGAAGTCGCGTGTCACAACGGATTTGAAGTTGAGGTTGTGTAAAAGTAATCAAGTAAGGGTGGAGAAAAAATAGAATACTACCCTACAGCATACGTAGGGCGCATGTCATACTACATTTAGAGCCGATCGAAGTCTTTTCACAATACCTGTCTTCTGTACATTCCTTGCAGCCACTTGATGTCAGCATTTTTAGTCCTTTATCTACAGCCTGCGGCAATGAATTGGAGCAATTTCTATGACTACCAAAGCATGAGAAATATTACTAAGCAAGACTTTTCATGTTTTGGCCTGCGTGGAATAAAGCTTTATCATGGCAGGATATTGAAAGTGCATGGAGATCTGTTGGCCTATATCCTTAGAATCGGAAAGTGGAGAATAGAACATCGTCTGGTGAGTCCTCCTATCTATTTTAAAAGCAGAATGCTGGCGGCGCATTGAAAAGCTTCCCCGGCAAGTTGGCTTTGACGTATATGATCAAAAACAAAAAATTGAATGACACTGTCATATATCTACAGAAAATATTATTCTTAAACTGTACTGTACAGGCGTTGAAAATGCCCTACAAAACGAACAGAACAAGGGCTAGTGTAGAAAACCCCTTCAGTTCAAATTGTGTACTCCAGAGCATAGTAATGCAGTCTTTTACTCTGGTATGAAGATTTAACAAGCTCGCTCGAGCCAAAAGGAAAGTGCTAATATGGCTTGCCAACACCGCTAAATAAAAAGAAAAGCTTTGCCGACAACAGGAAACGGAAGAGAAAAGACAATTAATTGAAGAACGAAAGAGGAGGGGTTTTAATAACGAGACAAGTGAGCTGGAAGCTGAGCAAAAGAGGCATCAAAAGGAGGATAAGAGATTAGCTAAGAGGCAGATCTACAGGTTCGGAATGAGTTTAAACAGATCATAAGAGGCAAGAAGGGGGCCTCTGCACCTACTGCAAGAAATCAGAAAGATACTGGTGATCAAGATTGATAGAAAAATATTCGGGATTCGGGATCCGATCATTCCTTGCGCCTTGGTGAGCGCTACTGAATCGGCATCAGGTGAAGAATGGAACCGGCTCAACACATCCCTTGATGGCAATCTTGTGCGGCTGAATCCCATGGGACATGTCTGTCATGACCCGACATTTGACCAGACAGCTTGTGATGAACTATTGTCTTTTACACGGAATAGTGGTTGGAGGTCTTCTCGGCCAGATCAGTTCCGTTCCAAATGCCAGACTCTCGTAACTCAAAACCACTTAGATAGATCCGATATAGAAGCCTTACAAGATTGGGTGTGGGAAACCAGGTCATTTGTGAATGAGACCTTTCGTCGGAAGATCACACGAAGCACTATGCAACCAAGGTCATGTTTCTCAGTCCTCAGCCACTGTGCGATCTCCTCAGTATGTTCAACAGGCCGTCCTGTTCGCCAGAAAACACAATCTGCATTTGGTGATCAAGAACACCTCTCATGACAGCGCCAGTCGTTCGGCGGCGCAGACTCGTTCCTGGTTCATACCCATTTACTCAGGAGGATTCAGTATCGCTCGGTATTCGTAGCCAAAGGTGCGACCACCACACCACCTTAGGACCTGCAGTCACTACTGGGGCTGGTGCAATGCACTGGGGGCTGTAAGAAAGAAGCCCTCAGGAGGGCTACATTGTATTGGGTGGAGAATATCCCACTGTGGGCGCTGCTGGTGGCTTTCTCCAAGGAGGAGGCGTTTCCAGCTTTCTCAGCCATCAGAGGGCACTGGCCGTCGATAATGTGCTGGAATTTCAGCTTGTGATGGCTAATATATGACTGCCAACTTCTACTGCCTCCCGGGTTGTCACCCGGCCATGCTCCGAGTACACCCTAATAATCCTATTGTGGTGTCAATTGTGTCCATTTCTGCACCTCGCACGGACAAGACCTTCTGGGAAAAAGGAGTCTCAGGCCTTTTTAAAATGTTACAGACATGTAACCACGGGAATGTCTCAGGGCAATTCATCCTTGATCCTCCGCCATCCCTTCACTGGAAGCAACCCTCACACTGTACTTCATGAACAACACCGAGGTGTCCACAGTGGGGAAGCGTATTCACAGAAATCTTCACCCCTTGTATAGCAATGGACTATCCTACAAGTTATTATTCAAATTCCTGCCCATGGTGAGCTCCGACCTTCGAATGGCACCTGACATGTATGCCGACAACTGCGGGATTCTCCAAGCATCTGTACTCGTACCCAACCAGCTCTTCACTCCCTTGAAGGACCAGTACGGATAGCTGAAACCTTCTCCAAACTCCCTCTGGGCTCCAAAGATATCCTTTTTACTAGCAACCTCGGAAGCCACGTTAATGTAGAGAGTGACACTACTTTCATGCACCCGGCGTAGCGTTCTTCGGTACAACTCGTAAATTATGTACGTGGCGTTGAACCGACCATCGATGGAAAGCGGAGGGCTTTGGACGAATTACATAGAAATGCCTATTCTGCACTTACTAGAACCGGGATTTAATTTCTCACATCTCAGTCTGGATTAAGAAGCATGTAGATAAGGGTGGACTATTCATTACTCGGTTTGGGGTGGGGAGTGAAGAGTGGGATAATGAAGGAATGTGCAGGAAGAGAGCAATGGGCTGGGTATCTCGTGGCTGGAAAGGTCACCTCCCTGGACAGTCATGAGTATAGGCTATAGTATTATGCGCAGTAGTAGAGCTTAATGCACGAAAAGCAGAGCAATTTACTAATATGAACATAGTGTATTCAGACCCATATTATAGATCTAGAGCACGTATCTATAAATACTAGAGTAAATTCCCCCTACTCTTCCTCCCCCTCCGACCGTTCATGAAGAGAAGAGAAAGGCCATTCCAAGTTCGAGGGTTCAATTCACCAGCAAGCCATCGATGGCTTGACCAAGCAACCCAAGACCCTTCCGGCTCTCCTTTTTTACAGCATCGAGGGACTGCAGCGTTGGACCCATCACTCCCATAATCTCGAGTTCTATCCCAGATGCGAAGAAATCCGAATTTTGAAAGAAAAAGCGCACCATATGGCATCCACGATTGCCCACAACAGAGTGAGTGTGGATAGGGGAAGCGCGTGAGTTGTCCACCGAAGAATTTACAAAGTACTTCCACATGGAAGCCCATCCGCTGATGCATGAACAACCATATGTCCGTCCTACAGAAGCCTTAACAAAGTCGTCCACCTGCACGCCCTGGAGGCCTAACAAAGTATGTCACCTACTATGCCCTCGATCGTAGCGCCGTCGAGCTGGCATCGACCTTACAAGCCATCCCAATCGAGGGTTTCCACCACATTCGTGTTGTCGCCCTTCACGAGACTAACGATGGATCCATTGGCTTAAGGAGACTCCAGAGATCTGTGAATTGCCGCACTGCATGCTTCTCTTCGGTCTCACGATCAGCAATTACTCCAGAGAGAATCCCGCGGCTTTCTTACGCCGGATTGCGGATCATGCTCTGACAGGGAGCGCGATCCAGAGCTCCTCCATCTTCTACTATCGATCGCTGTAAGCTTCCTACGAATGTTTTACGCGTCTATACCTGTAACGGGGTGGTGCTGTTTGCACTCCAGGCGTTAAGGTATGGCAATCGACTTCTGAGGAAAGGACACAGAGGAGGAAGGACTACAAGTCCTGGATGGGGAGGAAATTGTATCCCGATGAATGGTGCTTTCACAGTGAGAGGAACTACATCCTTGGCCGTCATGAGGCATCGTTGATTCCGCGCGGGAAGGATATCGAACTCGGGCCCCCTCTGGAGGGAGTGGTGGTCTGGCGGGAGGAGAAAGGTCGATTTGGTTGTAGCTACAAATACGACCAACAGGAATGAGAGGCGCTTTTTTCTGATGTATGTGTTTTATTGGAGAGGCAGCTACGGCCGACCGGAAGCATGACTATGATAGACATACATGTGAACAGGGGTATCAATTCAAAGTATCCTTTTAGAACCCTTTCGTAATGCAATGTAGCTAAGAGGATTCTTAGGCTAGCCGTTATTAACACGCCAGGGGAGTGCAGTACAAATACTGCTTGTATTTACTAAAGAGAAAGTTAGGAAGGTATTTTTCCTCCCAAGCGGCCGAATTAATTCTAGTATACACTCTATCTATCGTAGGACAGGCAGTGACTTCACAATATATGTAATTATACGAGTTGAAGATCTTCAAGAAGGATCACAACCACCGTCCTTTCTCAAGGCTCTCAAACAGGGAGAAGACAAGAGCGCTGCCGGAGGGTAGAGGAAGAAAAAGCAAGAATATTCAGACCAAGAAAGAGTACTGACCGAAAGGTGTACACTATCCTGTGACACTCAGCTGACATAACGATATATTAGATTATCAGAGTGACATTGCAATACCAGTCTGAGCGACTGGTATAAATTGAGACTTTACGACTCCCAAGATGTAAGAGATACTGGGATAAGGACTTATTCTCTAAGAATTCTTCAAATTGACTTTTATAGATACTACGGGCGTAGAGAAGGTTTTAAAATATCATATCGATAGTGAGGCATAGTGTACACATCTGCGCGGACAAGGGCATGTACTATAGGAACAACTAATCAGGAGCGGAAGTCGAAATACGTGCTCGTTGATAGAGCAGCCATAATTCATTACAAGATCAACCCGACCGATTCAGAAAGTACAACGAAAGGTCGGTTCGTCTATAATAAAGAAATATCATTCAGGCGTCTATGTTTTAGTCTAACTAGGATCGATTGCTCAATTAGTAGCATGCTAAGTTCGTAGAACAGAAAAGCCGGAGAAGGATTTATATAAGAGTGTAACCACCGTCCACTCTGAGGTCAGCGCCTGTGACATATTTGGAAGCATCACTGAGCAAGAAGGTCACAGGCCCCATAAGATCCTCGGGGCTTCCCATCTTGCCGGTCGGAATCAACGACGTCCATTTCTCCTTCATCTCTGGCTTTTCATCGAGGATTTTGCGTGTTCTGAGAGTATATTAACATCCACCCAATCAGTCGTTGGTCAGAGACAAGGACTCACAGTGCAGTCAGCATGTAACCTGGGCTAATACAGTTCACTCGGATGTTGTAAGGAGCCCATTCGACGGCCAGAGAGGCGGCGAGCTGGCGCACTGCTGCCTTGGCAGCGTTATAGGGAGCTTGGGGCTGAGGAACATTGACAATTGCACCGGACATACTGCCAATCATGACAATACTTCCAGGGCTCTGGCGTTCAATCAAGTGCTTTGCGACGCCAACTGCGAACAGATACGTTCCATCCACGTTAACCGCCCAGCATTTCTGCATACGGTCATACGGGTAGTGGATAGCATCGAAGTTCTCGGTAAAACCGGCAGAGGTGACCAAATTGTCAATTTTGCCGTGCTTTTCCAGCACCTCGGCGATAGCCGCATTTACTGAGTCGGGGTTGGATGCATCTGCATAGTGTGCAGTAATCGTGGGGAGCCTAGGAGTTATTAGAGTCAGATTCAACACTCCATATTCAGATTACACACTGTTCCAAGCCATTATTCTCCTGCTTGAATTGCCTCAAGAGATTCTCTGCCTGATATTCTCCTTCCTCCTCTGGCAAAACTTAGTTCCTCGTCGAATAGCTGCTATTTTCCGACCTACTATTAAGATCCACTATGGCCACGTTCGAGCCGGACATCACCAACGCCTGGGCCATTACCAGGCCCAGACCCCGAGCACCGCCTGTGATCACGCTCACGGTGTTCTCCAAGGAAAATTGAGCGAGGGTCCGCTTATAGTGCATGCCCTGCACAAACGGGGAGTGAGGCATTTTGTTCTCGACTGGAGGTTGAAACATCATATTCTCGTCGGTGCTTCTATAGTTGCCTTGCGCCCCCGGTGTCGTGGGCTCTGGGATGGCCTCGTCGGCGTGGGGAGACATAGTTGCGAGTGACAGGACGAGGGGCAGAGAGAGAGCAGAATAAGGCAGAACAAGAAAGTAAATATAGCTAAAGTGGAAGTAGACGGGACGTATGCTTCCAGGATCACTGGGGGCACCTTCTCTTCCTAAAAAGGTCTCCCGCTAGACTAATCTTTTCTTGCATCCTCCATACCCCCTTCGTCACTGGCCCAAAACGACATCGTTCCTCATCGGTTCTCTAGCAGACGGTTTGTCAGCTCTGTTATGCGAAGGTGGGGGGATTCAATTTCTACGGGTATATTACAAGGACAAGTTCCACAGAATAATACATAGTAGAGGTTAGAATTGTGGATGGGGTAAGAATAGCGAAAAAAGAAAAAAGGAAAAGAAAAAGATATGTTGATTCGAAAACGGAGTGAAAGCCGAGAAACTCCGTCGACCTCGACGGGATGGGGCAGTCGGATTGACTAAAAAGCGCCGATATTTATTGACACCAGCTGGGGGACCAGAGGATGGCAGAAATTCTTGTTAGCATGTACCCTTCCCCAGGCCGACTAATAAGGACTGCTATTCACCATTATTTTCTCCACTTATTCCATACTACAACCACATACACTGGGCCGGGTCTCGAATCCACTCTCAGAGCCCACACTCTCTCCACGGGCCTTTCGTATCGGCACTACTGTAACTTGTCTCACATGGGTCCTGTATTACCACCACAACAGCTGGATCTGTGATAGTACAGATCGAAGAGATTCCCCAATTCAGTTGCTGCGTTAGAGGAATTATGCTAATAGCTGTTAAGGATGACAAGGAAGTTTTTATTGTACTAAACCCTTTGGAGCTGCCAGGTGTCCCTTAGCTCGCTGACCACAGCTTTTCTGGTGGAGGGCAAAGTATCCTTAGAAAGGCTTCAGGGTTCCGACCACAACTTAGCCCTGTGTAAGGCCCTCTGGGTAATATGCATGACTCTAAATCCTTTAGTTTAAGCTCGCTCAAGATAGAAACAAGTGTATTTAAACCACCTTGGGCAGCACTTCGTCAGGGAATCAAATCATCTAAATGGCAACCTGGTACAATGCATCCGAGAGCCTATACCATACCATGGATGAGCCTCGTAAGCATCGATTCCGACGGCGCTTTGCATTATTCGGTCCCTCTGGCCGGGATGACGGCGACAACGACTGAGACTGGCACAAATACAATGTTCAGAGTACGGCAACCAGTACAGCCGAATCACCAGGCGGGTTCAACATGTTACGTTTTCTTGGACAGGGCTTATTTCTCTCTGGGGAAGGCCCCGCTGGTGTAATCATCAGCTGTGGGACTCCATACAATTTTCTTAAGACGTTTACTTCTAAGCTCTCATCTCTGGGGTAATTGCACGGCTATGCTGTCCGCAGTTCCCTCAGTCTGCGGTTGATTTGGACATACCCTGTCTAAGACATTAATGACATCTCTTCCACCGCTTCTCTGCTATCTGAGGCACATCACGCTCCCTTCCCTTCATTGTGGTATCCGTTGTGTTGCTTTTTGAGCTCGTCCAGTGTTTTGTGCCGTAATAGCGGGCTCGAAGAATTCGACCTTTCACCGGCTTAGTCTGGTGATCATCTGCACAACAAGTTCTTTACAATGAAGGAACAAGCGCATGTGACCGAGTCCTCGACAGGAATCCAAGCGGATGCCATTACGGAAGAGCAAGTGAACAACCCTCCCACTGACCGGAAGCAGCGTCAGTGGACCGATGACTCTCCCAGGGCGACCCTGGGAGAGTCAGATTCAGGCGAAAAAATCATTTTGACCGAAGAGGAATGTTACGAAGAGCTGGGATTTTGTTTCCCCAGGTGGAAGAAATGGATGATCATCTCTGTGATTTTCCTGGTCCAGACATCCATGAACTTCAACACCAGCTTGTATTCCAATGCCATCACCGGCATCTCGGAAGAGTTTAGCGTCAGTATGCAGGCAGCTCAGTGCGGTGCAATGATATACTTAGTGACCTATGCATTCGGCTGCGAGCTCTGGGCCCCCTGGAGCGAGGAACTCGGTCGTAAACCCATCCTGCAACTGAGTATGTTCCTGGTGAATATCTGGCAGTTGCCTGTTGCTCTCGCCCCGAATTTCGCTACCATCATGGTCGGTCGTGCGTTCGGAGGGCTAAGTTTAGCGGGTGGGTCGGTCACCTTGGGCATGGTAGCCGATCTGTGGGAGGCTGATACTCATCAGTATGCTGTCGCTTGTGTCGTGTTCTCCTCTGTGGGTGGCTCCGTCATTGGGCCTGTAGTAGGTGGATTTGTCGAGAAGTACCTGCAATGGCGATGGGCCATGTGGATCCAGCTCATCTTCGGGGGCTTTGTCCAACTCATGCACCTGTTGCTTGTTCCGGAGACTAGAACGACAATCTTGCTTGAGGTGATTGCGAAAAAGAGACGAAGAAAGGGAGAGAATGTCTACGGGCCGTACGAACTCATCTCCTGGAAGGAGCGCTTCTCCATGAAAGAGATCCTCATCACCTGGGTTCGCCCATTTCAAATGTTTCTGACAGAACCTATCGTGCTGACCCTGTCGCTACTGAGTGGGTTTAGTGACGCACTCATCTTCATGTTCATCCAGTCTTTTGAGCTGGTCTACAAACAGTGGAGATTCGACGCTTCTGCCCTGGGTCTCTCCTTCATTCCCATTCTCGTGGGCTATATGATTGCCTGGGTGTCTTTCATCCCCGCTATCTGGCGGAACGAGACTGAAAGGCAACGCAAGCCCGACGACGAACACGCGCAGTACGAGTCCCGGCTGTGGTGGCTGCTATATACGGTGCCCTGCCTACCTATTGGCCTGATCGGGTTTGCCTGGACCAGCGGCGGGCCTCCAGTGCACTGGATGGGCAGCATGGTCTTTTCGGCCCTGGTAGGCATTGCCAATTACAGCATCTACATGGCCACCATTGACTATATGGTTTGTGCCTACGGCCCTTTCTCTGCGTCGGCCACCGGTGGCAATGGGTTTTCTCGAGATATTCTCGCCGGTATCCTGACGATCCCTGCAAGGCCCTTTTTCGAAAGTATGTGTCCATGCAACAACAGGCTTGCTTATGCTGACTGGTGTTAATCACAGACATCGGTGGAGACCGTCATCTGGAGTACGCTTCAACCATTTTATGTAAGTGAAAAACTGCGGTCTGGCCATTGGTTTAATGCCCCTTCTAAATTAGACAGTCTGTATCTCCATCGTTCTGATGGCCTCGGTGTACGTGATATACTGGTACGGACCGAGGCTTCGCAAGCGCTCGCCATTTGCCCAGCAGCTTTCCCAGAGGCAAGCAGAGGGACACTCACAACGTCGACGGGCCTCCGCCGTGGCTCCATAGCGCCACGCCGGATATTACAACCTGCTTGAATCTCGGAGAACATACAGTGGGTACTATTATTCATCGATGTTCTTCCATAGTGCATACCAAATGGGGCCTTTTACTCAAGGCCAGCAGACAGCTTCTTTGGAATAGAAAAAAATGGATAGAAATATTTATCACTATAGAGGTTTTTTATTCCAGGTGTTACTTAGACCTCACATCAAATGTAAGGTCCGCGTGTGCCAGAAGCGTCGTACAGCCTGAATGGTAAACTCTTAAATTTCGGTCGTTCGCATTTTCTCTCTATAATGTGGATATTATCCCTCTAGTTTAAATTTCACATAATGCTTTAGACAAAACCGTGTCTACAACAGAACCAGGTGTCTTAAACCGCGGGTGCAAGCTCCTGCTGGGCTCTTGGGTAACGTCCAGCAAGGTCGATGCGGATCTCGATTGTGATCACAATTGTGGATGCCTGAGGGGGTGAAAGAATAATTAGTGGGGAAGGGTTTATTGGCAGACGCCAAGACGGCAAAATCGCCGTAAGCTCCGGCATCACTTTCCTTCTTTTGGTCCTCATGCTGGATCTACTTTTTCTTCTTGTCTTGCCTTTGTGGAGACTAAAAATACCAAGCCCGTCTTATATTTCTCCTTGTATACTGCAGACCTTTTGGTGGCCAACAGGAACAGAACGAAGATATTTATCAGTTATTTACCATAATTATATCGACACTTAAGACAGGTCTAGTATTACCATACTTGATCAACTGACGTCCAATCCCTATTAGAGACCTACTGTATTCCGTAACTATAGTCACGTAGCCTCTCTTAGGCATCCATCCAGATAGTTAGTCAGCTCGCCCGAGCCCCTTGAACTATTCCGAATGCCTATCCGACCTGTAACCTGGAGGAGAATGGATTCGCGAACAATCCAACCTGACGCCCGAGTCCGATTTTCATCTGCACACCGACCCGTTTAAATAACCACAACATCATCAATATAGACTATTTAGGACCGGATAAAAAGGTCAATTATACAAAAAAAAACATAAAATCATGGGGTTAGCTGGTCCACCCTTCAAGGCACCACGGCAGTAATTATACAGAGTTCTCTTCAAAACCAGTATAAGAATCAGCAAATTCTTAGCAACCAGCAGTTAAAGAAGCTTATTGGATAAGTTAACAAGCTTATTGTATGCGGCCTACCACTATCCTATAAAATATTGCGAAATTTCGCGAAGAAAATTGCTGAAAATAAATGTCACGGATTAAACCCAGTATGGTGCTCAGATTTAGGTCTTCGCTACTATATAGGGCACTAGATGCGACTGATCGACAGACAGTCGTCTTGGATCTTTAATATGGTCAAGTTGTTTTATCTCCACTAGTGCAGGGACAACCAAACCGTCACAATAAGCCTGGAAAACACTGGCTGGGCCGCTACTGGAAGAAATATTTTAATATATTTATTTTTGCTACGCCGGCAGGATTAATTCTACGTCCGAGGGAGCTACTTCTCCATATAAATATGTACAATATTTTGGACTTATAGCCAAGAAGATTAAGGACTACGGGATTAAGCCGTTAGATATATATAGCACGGGTGAGAAAGAAATTCTTTATTAAAGTACTACCAAAAGGTTAAAAAAAAATTTTCAGAACAATGCTCTAAGCAGGGAGGGTGTGATGGTTTGGTTGTCTCTGCGCTAGTAGAGATAAAGCCACTTGACCATATAAAAAGGTACAAGACGACTGATCGAAGGTCAGTCGCATCTAGCGCCATATATAGTATCTTACAGGTTCAACCTGTGACAGAGGGCTCAAAAAGCGTCTTTAAATAGTAATAAGAAGTGCATTACTGCAATTACCTGTATTTCGGCTGATGGGATTTTTTTTTACCTAGTCTTTACCAGGTCGTCTGCCGTCGCTTCATGAGAGTATGGAAGTCGGAACTGCGTACCTGGTTCTTGGTGCTCACCCTGCCACTCTATCTTTCCAAGCATCAACCTTCCGGCTTCATCTAGCACCATCGACTACTGAGTACTGAATGAAATTGACTTGTTCTTACCCTGAGTTTGCGTGCTTTACATATGGTAGCATGTCCTGCGATGGTTGATCCTCCGGCCTGACTACTTTTTTTCTAGCTGTTTCTTGAGTGTTGACTTGTTTAGTTCGTCTGTTTACTGCGCCATACTGTCTTTTGCTTTATCTACACTTTACTACCTGTCTACGAGCAACCTTGAGATCTCCAGCTTGGTCGTTTTTCGGCAGGAGCTTCAAAGAGCTGAACTTGGTTATCAGATAGTTGCGTTCTACAATCTTGTGTACGGGGTCCTACGTCAACGTGCTAGATATCGAGATCGTTTATCAAACTAGCCTCTGAACGAACTCGGGATTATCCATTAGTTTGGAATATTAATCGATCCACTGTCAATCGAGCAGTTCGGGAGTTTCCACGTTTAACAAACTACCTAATCGAAGGTCAGGAGTTCTGGAGATGGTTAGGTAGCCAGCCGACAATTGGGCAGAATCCTTTATGTTCTTGGGTCGCTCCAGCAGATCAAGATTATCCCGAGTGTCTTCAAGAGCGTCTCTGATTGAACCAGAAACCTCGTCGAATCAACCTCAGGCACCTCGTCAGCCCGGCCAGGCCAGTGAACCTTTAACTATACAGCGAGCTGCTACACCAGAGAAATTCCATCCGCTGCTTGTCTATTCTCAAGGATTTTTGTTTAACAAATATTTGTTTCCGAACAGCTAAATACTAGGAACACTGGAGACACCGTTTCTAAACCAACTGACGAAGTTTTACCAGTACTGTCGACCGTTGAACTTTGCGAGGATACCGAGCAAGACCTATATCAACTGGTTCCCATTCTACCGCGGCACCGTTAACTATTTGGCATGTCTCTATTATCCCCTACAGGTTACCAGCCCAGCGGCCCGGGTGGAAACTCTTTATCAAGTGCTATTATTTAGCACGATGGAGGTTCTATAAACGCTCTGTTACGTGTTCCTCCCGTAAACCCTACGCAGGATACCTTAGCCCAAATCTTTACTCGATACCCCAGATATATAACAGGTTGCAACGATTGGAAAGCCGTAACAACAACCAGCCCCAACTTCGTCAAGGACCTCCTGGCCCTATGGGAAATGGAACGCCTTGGCGGCCGTTGGAAGAGAGAAAATGGAATACTTTTGGCCAGGCCTCAAGGATGATGTTGCATCGAAACAGGTGAACAACCATGTTTACTACAAGGATATGAAGGTATTCGTGGATAGAGCTAAATACGTTATGGCATATAAAGGTGAGGATATGGTGAAAGCTAATCTTCAAGCCTGTTTTCGGTGATTGTCATTAAGCTGGCTCACTTCGAAGCTTTCGGAGTTTGAGAAGGAATCTTTACGATCCTTGCCGCTTGCAGAAGGTTAGTTAAGCCAACTTAGTAGACACTTTAAGCCAAACCCTTTAGAAGCTTCAAACAAGGTCTACGTTCTCCGGTATTCTTATAGAGACGTGACCGCAGGTAAATCCCACAAGCTTTAGGAAGTTATTTGTTTAGCCCGAGCTGCAGAGATTATCTTACCGTTTCAGCAAATAGCTATGATTTGGAACGCTTTATACCCCATTTTACGACAGCACGTCAGGCAAGCGACCCCAGATATGTCGAAAACAGAATTCCTGTAGGAACTTGAGCGCCAATATGGCAGAACCTGGCATCTCGAAGCCAGATCCCCAAAGGTCCTTTTATGGACAAAAGCTACTCCGCAGGCCCAAGCGCAGAAGCACTTCAAGAGGAGTAACTATCAAGGACCTCAAGCTAATGGTACGCGAAATCATGGAAAAAAATTAGCTAAGCTCTAATGTTTGGTCCCGTCCCGGATAGTGGTCGTACATTTGCAGCAACACGTCTGGATCACCTCAATTCCACCGATATCTCCTCGATCGCCCGGATTCTTGTCCTGATTGGCAGCAACGCGGACGAAGCGAAGCCATTTATCAAGGGTCAAAATGACACATGGAATGCCCTCCTGCCATATACAGGTAAATTCATCGATTTCGTGAAAAATAACCGCTAGGATCACCAGGGGCACGCACCGAAAACGACCGCCTTTCTCTTATCCTCACAGACCATTTGGTCCAGAGCCCGATTGCAGCCTATTCAGTGGAGTGTACCAAGGTCGGCATTCCCAGATGGAGATACGTTTTCAACCCAGGCTTTCCCAACGAGATTTTCCCAGACAGTGGGGTGATTCATGGTGAAGTTGCCTTTGTCTTTGGCACTAATAAGCAGGAGAATGCGACTGAGTTCGAGCTCAAAGTGAGCCAATAGTTCCGACTAAAAACGGCTTATAAAATTCGCATCTCTGTGCCACAAGACAATATATCAGCACTTCTCAGAGTCATTTCCGAGCGTTAATATAAATACTCTGGACCTAGATGTCTTTGGTTTCTAGTGTTTGTTTTACAAGTGAATCTCAGACAAGTGTTCTTCCGGCGCCTGTATCTGTGTCCAGCAAATTATTGGTATGTCTGTGCAAACTCGTCTAATACTTCAAGCTACAGTGTCATTCAGACGACTTCTTAGTCCCCGTCCAAATATTCAGGCCCACCTTCAGTCCATCTATAGTTGGAAGTTCAAATTGCAAATTTTGCTGAAACACTGCACTCCCAGGAACCGGCAAGGCCGTCAACGACTCTGTATTAGTGCAATTTACGAACTGGCACCAACGGGGGTCTTCATCGTCCTAGTTGCTGTAGACACCAGGAAAGTCCGTACCATAATTCTGACACGTCGTATCAATGATCCTAAAGAAAGTGGTCTCACGGCTATAGCCGAGGTTCTGTGATGTGAGGTTATGGCCCCAGTCATAATGGTACCGAATTTCCTGTCCCTCCTCGTCCTTTCTGGCTTGTAGAGTTTCAATTCGGGATAACGAAATAAAGCCTGGGAATTTAGCTGCACGTTAAGTCATGCAGAGCACATTGGATTGGCTTTGGTGAGAAATACGATTGGACTAGTTCGCACTTTGGAGGTCAAGTTGATCCATTGCTGCTTTACGCTTTGGAGCTATTATATAGTGGCTCTCTAGTTTTCGGGAAAGGCACTTAGAGAATTGCAGACCGAAGCAGGTTATAGATGTATTGTGATAGCTTACTAAACTGATACTGTACAGCATGCCTGAAGGTAATGTTTATTCAGCCTGCTTGAACATTCCTATTACTACAAAATAGTACCCAATATAGCTTCATTTAGCTCTCACCTTTGACTCTAAACACCAGCATGTTCCATTTGTAATTTTAACAAGCTCAAAAGTGAATACCACAGTCTTCCTTGATACCCTGAGAAACAAGGTAGTTGTGCACTTCGTCTATCTTATTCCCTGTGACTGCATGGATCGCCTAGGCAAGGGAGTTTCCGACTCTTTGTCTTCAGTATTGACCTTGGCACTGTGTTCGATAAGCAGCTTGACAGCATCAAACTGAACACGTTCACATCTTTATCAAAAGACAAATAAAGAGAAATAAAGGCAAACATACATGTTCTATCACCTACCTTTTTTTTTAAAAAAGAACTTAGTACCTGATAAACCTCACGATTACCGGCATTGAAATTAACTCACTTACTCCTCCAGTGAAATAAAATCCATGGAATGATGACAAGCAGGATCCGGCCAGGTACAAAGTCTTTCCCTATAGATCTTTCCCAGCACAAGGAGGCGCCGTAGAAGCCTTATGTATTATTCCTTGCCGGGTATATTGCTTCTTTGGCGATGAGCACGTAGCTACAGTGAGAAAATGATATCCAGCAGACGTGTCTGCCCTTGCTAAGAAATGACAAAATTTGAAGCAGCAGATTATGTAATATTATCTGCTTCTTTAACTATTCCATTGCCAACCACCTTTCCATGTCAAGTATTTCTGGTGATGTTGTAGGTTACTAAAATATGTCTTTAAAATGATTACTATTAGATAACTAACTAATATTAAGTACTATAAAGGTAGTTCTAGAAATAGATTAAGGAATTTTAGAATATTAGGACCGGAGGCCTTATTTTAACTATATACAATACAATAGAATAATCATAAATATAAGCAGTGTCTCAGTGGCTGAACCTGTAGAACCTATATGATAGGTTATGTACAAAAGGTATCGTTGAAGAAGAAAAGAAAGAGGAAAAGTGAGGAAAGCCACGCGAGTGCCAATGGGGCCAACGGGCTTGTAAGGCACGTAGGGGCATTAGGGCCATTAGGAGCAATAGGGATTGAAGGGACCATAGCATCAGTGGGGTCTACAGGGTCAACAGGGTCAGTTGGCCCGTGAGGCCAAATGGGCTCCATCCCTTTACACGGTGCTGTGGCCTCGGCTATGATTTACATGGCATGCTCGAGGTGGTTCAAGTGTGGGATCATATCCGTAGGTATATATAATTTTGCGAGCTAAGTTGGTTTCGTGGCATGGCGATTCCTACGTAAGTGACTCTATTCTCGTCATTTTGTCTTTCAGTGCTTCTATAACACCTGATGTCTTTGCATCATTCGATTCCTCAACGTCCGATTCTTTCAAAGCCGCCAAAAGTGATTCTCCTTGCTTGCCGCAGAGAAGCCCAGCTCTTCCGGAAACACTATCACAGTTTGGTTCCTTTGAGATACAACAGTCTTCAGGAAGGCCCAATGCAGACTCGACGGGTCTTATTTTGAGCTGCATGAGTTGTACAAATAATCGACCGAAGACATTTTTTGGAGATGGTACCACGAATCCTCCCAGTGAAACCTTTGGCGTTGAATGCAGGATGAAATCCCTCACAACTGGGTTGCTTGATGCCTGCTCGAGGACGTATGAAAAGATGCAATCATATATAAAGACGAGCTGCAAATAACAAGACATGGCAGTTAACGAATAAGAGATGTTCATTTGCTGTGGAAAGCCTGGAGTTCCCTGTTGCTCCCTGCGAGTGGTCATACTCCTTACGGTATTGAGGATATGCTCAAACTCTGAAATGGCCTCAAATGTGCTGGTGAGGGGGTTGAACTCCCGACTTCCGTCGCATGTCTGTCTTTGATAACTGCAGGGGCCGCTGTCCAATTTCATAACAGCTGTAATGTCCCATGATAACGACCGGAGGAGGAACAGTTGCTTGGAGAGTTTTTGTTGCAGACGTGATAGTTGGAATCCAGGATCAGAGTTTTGGTCTAGAAGGTGAAATGATTGGCGGCCGACACTTGAGTCACCAGAAGAACTCCATGTAAATGGGAAATCTGTCGCTGGCTCGGGATATTTGAGCAGAGGGTCCGGAAAGTCTTGAATATACATCTGGGGCGATCCCGACGAGAAGAGCGTCGCAGGGTCACTTCCGCTGCCCTCCAAAGAAAAGTCGGAAGGGACCTCAAAGAGGTCTTCAGATATGATTGACCCATTACCTGGGACAAACCCGGAATCGAGTGCCTTGCTACTATCCAAGCACATGGGTCGGGTGTCCTGATCCACCCGAGTGTAATTGTGTTGACCTGAAGGATTATTTCGCCCAGCAGGACGGCCTGGCGTCTTTCGCAGACTGATGATGCACTCCGCCTGAGCCTGCATACACCTCAAGCAGGGCTCGAAACCGTTCTCATCTCGCCGAATACACTTGAGCTTCTGGTTCCGGCATCGCTCACAAGCTAGACGTCGCTTCGACATCCGCTGTGAGGAGTCCGAGTGGTCTGTTGCCAGCATTTGGCTGGCAAGTAATAAGAAGTATTCAGTATATAAAATTTTCTATCTTAGGCTTATGATGTTGGAAAGGACTTCCGTAGAGGACTAATGGAGCCGAATGAGACGTAGATATAACCAACAGCGATTGAAGCCGCGCAAAATATAGGCATCTTTAATGCAGGTAGTCTTCAATGGTGGGCAAGGGACTGCAAGCAATGCAACACAAAGACATCACATCGTAATCGGTTACGGCTTACAGGAAGTGGCACTAGTTAAAACAGTGGCTTACGCGGTTGGTGAGCACTAACCTAAGATGGTAATGGCCATTAGGTAAAAGAGGGCGAAATTAACTCCTGCAGAATCACTTTCGCCTAGCACACTCGTACAGAATAACGACCATACCGGCAGAGGCGCAGCCAAGACATTATACGAACGGAAAAACGAAGATCAAAGCACGTCATTATTCTTCACAACTGAGCACTGATGCAGCAAGGCAAGCAAAATACAATGGCCAGATTGCTGCTAGAACTGGTAACGTACCCCTGCAATTACCAGTTAGGCGACCATGTGTTTTCTGCCATAAAGCTTTATTGGCCAAGCGGTCTCTCTCCCGTAGCATCTGAGCTCTGTTCGCTGGTGACAGTTGGCTAATTAAACTGCCACTCTCTACTAGATCCCGTTGTATCAAATATCAACTCATAGTGCACATACTGGCTGCTGGCAAGACGTATGAGCCGCGTTTGTCGAGCTGGCTGATTGTATAGTGCTGTCGGAGAGCAGGCGTATCGCTTGTAACATAGCAGTACGGCCCACGTATGATTTATTACCAAGCTGGTTAGTTAATTACCTATAGTTCCCGAGTCATCTATGAACAGGTTCCGACATCTACCGGTGGTAAATCAGTGAATCCATAAGGAAATCGAGCCTAACTTATTATTTACCCATAAAGGAGATTTGTGGCGTCTTTCTGCCGTATGTCGGAGCCCTGTGCAGGTTGTACATCGAACTAACTATGTATATTTATTATCTAATATAAGTGGCAGAATTTTAGTGCCTATAGTGGGCCTTTACGAAGGAAATCACCCGGTTAGACCGTAGTAGGCTAGAATACTAGCAGAAAAGAAATACAGTGAACGCCCGGGCCTTCGTTGATCTTTGGAGGGGCACGGCAAAACCCCAGTACCGGCAAAACCCCGGTACCGGCAGCATTTCATCTCCGAGAACCTTGATGGAACCGGTCCGTACCCCCTGAAAAGCAGCCTATTGATCAGCTGGTGTCAGCAAATAACGTTGCATTGCTGTCAAACTAATTTCGAGGTGATTATCTTGATTCCACTACAAGCCTACGGGGCAATATCCATTTATAGCAAGCAGTATTACAGATACCGATTTGGCCCCTTTCTTTGTTGATCTTGTGGAGCCACTCCCTCTCTACCTGGGCGGGGCACTGCACCCTGAATAAAATTTCAAGAATTACTAAAGTTGCCCAGAGATGTACTCCGATACTTGACACTTGATCAGCCCTTGGCAAATATTGGAATGCCTAGCCAGGAAAGAATATCATCCTTTGAAGTACTTCAAATAAAAGAACTGTGGATCAAATGTAACCCAATTATTTAGTCCGTGTTTAAGTCTACTATACCTGTCCTTAGTGCTGGCGGGTTCATCGATGGTAGCCTATCGTAGGGATGCCATACCAGATTTCGTCAGTGTAATGATTGGTGGAAGAATGGGAGGGATTGGAACTACTAACCCTGCTTGGGACTACTCCGTAAGGCTGTTAGCATTCCGATCGGCTAGACGGAGCTAATGTCATTATGCACTTGAGCTATACATTATCGCTGTCGGGGCACTGTAAAAGTAGATAAGCGAAGTCTATATTCCGGCGTGGTATTCAAAGGGGACATTATCTTATCAAGGTTACCGGAGGGAAGTGATTGAACGAAAGTGTTGCTGAATAACAAAATCGTTGTGTTGATGTTCTGGTGAGCGGGAACTATATAGCCACGGGCGGGAGACCCGATAGAGATCCTGAGCCGACTCCCGCGGACGCCGGAAGATTTCCTCCCGCTCCCGGAAACTTGCGTAGTCGGGGCCCAACGCCGGGCGCTCAATAAATTGAAGACATTGCTGGAGTCAAGAAGCTTCTCATCAACCTGAAAGGAATTATAACCCGATAAACTAGCATCATTACAGCCGCGAATGCAGGCATCCAGGAAATTAAATCCAAGCGGCAAATCTAAAAATTAAATAATCATAAATTCCTCTGAAAACTACTTACCACAGTGTTAAAAGTATACAATAGTCTCTATCAATATCATGGGCAGCCGTAGCTGCTTATAAGCTTTCCCACGACCTGCAAGAAAGCAACTTGAATATATTTAAATTAGTACACAGTGCCACAGTTGAACCCAGTATGGCGCTCATACTAAGGCCCTCGCTATTATGTAGGGCGCTAGATGCTATCGATCTTCGATCAGTCGTCTTGTACCTTATTATGGTCAAATGGTTTTACCTCTACTAGCGCAGAGACAACCTAAACTTCACACACTGGTTTCATAAGATACCTATCAATAAAAGAACCTACTGATTTCTTGCTCCGAGTGTTTGTAGGAATACCTCCGTAGAGAGTTTTTTGTTTCTTTGTCCGGCGTTACTTTTTTTGTTTCGCATTGTTACTTTTCTTTCCGTTTCTTTCTTTTTTTTTTTTTTTTTTTTTTTTTTTTGAAGGGTTTATGGCCTGCTGTGGCCCAGAGGGGCTGCATATCCTAATCCAAGATAACAAGGCTACCACCGTAACCATAAGGCTCAAAGTTTGCCTGCATGACATGGTATGGTATATTGTAAATAGACTACAAGGATAATTATAGTTGCAGTAGCCTGCATATCCCCTAGGCAGGGGTCAGGGTATATCCCTGCGAGCTCTTCGGATCAGATTATCGTACATGATGTACTACCGTATAAAATGTAACCATCTACACCCTCAGCTGCAGAGCTTGTGTTGTACAAGCATTTCAGCTAGAAATGATGCCTTCCATTGCCGGAGATCCTTAGATACGGTTTGATTGCTAGGATCTTCTCTTATTGCTGATATAAATAACGATACTGGATTGAATCATGCTTCTGATGTTTCTAGTATTTCTGGTACTATTGGAGCCGTGCGACAAGTATCTTGCTCCTTTTATTGTTGGTCTGATATATTTAATGATGACTGTGCTGCAACGTCTGCAAGATAGTTAATTAAAGTCCGATATATGGGATGTTATCTGCCTGGCTCATGGGGTTCTCGCATCCTGAGCTTCTGTTTGCAGCATACGCAGGTTCCAAATTTCTATATTCTTTATAAATTGATTGAGTTTATTCAATGGAACATGAAATTTATTCTACACAGCTGCTAGAGTAGTGCTATATTGTTAGGTGTGGGTGCGTCACCTAACATTACAGTGCGCCACTATAGAAGGTGCTCATGAATATCTGATCGGATATGGTGGACTTTTGGTCCAGTGGAATAGTTAAGATCCTGAGATTGGCTATAACATATATCTTCCGATAATTGCTGCTCTTTATCAAGTATTACATCTCTGGTCCGAACCACCTTATTCAATCTCGGCAGCCAAGTATAATACATAGACGGAATTATATCTTACTGGATATTTTATTTATGCTATTGGTCTGAATCGCTGAAGTCCTTCTTTTTCTGGGTTCTGAATGACCTGTAAATGATTTGCATCATATGTAGACTTTTACGTGAGCTTGCTAAGGCTTTCTATTATCCACAAAATCAAGTAAATTCACAAGTTATATCAGCTAACCACATGAGAAATTTTTTTTTGGGTTGAGAGGGAATCGTCTGAGTCTATATTGCCTCGACTGGCTTGGATAAGCTGCCCCCATTCGTTTCATAGCATTCCGTTAAAAAGTGGCCTGTAGCTCCTGCGCCATTCCACCAGAAAGCGTTGTCTGTTGCTTTTGGATAATATGGGGCAACTCATACGTCTCGTACTTCTTCAGGTACCAATTCTTCGCACTCGACTCGTCTCCATTGCTGTCCTCGAACTCGGTTGAGTCCGACGCCCGCAAGAAGTACGAGATGGAGTAGCGATCTTCGGTTTGGATTCCGCCCAGGGGCAGCACACGGTGGAGAGCAGAGCGAAGGCGCTTCCCCGAGAGGAACCGCAACGTGTCACCCACGTTGACAATGGCATGGCCTGGTCGCGGTTCAACGTACTCCCAAGTGGCATCTCCCGGCGAGAAGACTTGGAGACCCCATTGCGGCGCATATAAGATGGTGAGTGTGCCGATGTCAGTGTGCATGTTCTGACCAACTTTGCTGGGATCCTGACTGCCAGGAGGATAGTGAAGGAAATATAGGGTGCTCTTGGAGCGGCAGTCGTCACGGTGGTGCGTCTCAAGACGAGCCTCTCCCTTGAGATCCAATTCGTCCGAAATGCAGTCGAGCAAAAGCTTCGAGATGAAATGACAAGCGGCGGTGAACTGATCAAACAAGACCAGGTTGTCTTGCGCAACAGAAGGGAGCGCCCATCGGCCGTCCAGTTCGAATTTTCCAATCTAATCTTGTTGGAAACAGACATGGTAGTACCGGTAGAGGTTTAGGAGCATACCTTGAGGGCTTCAAAGCCGTCCTTGAGTGATTCAACGGCTCCCGACTGGTTACCTACAGCCTTGAATCTGATTTCAAATCCCGTAAGTCAATTGACAAGTCAAGATCAGTCGCATCGATATGAAGCTTACCCATGTGAGAGAGAAACGGTAGGCGTCTTCAGCTTAACATCTGTGGGCTGAGAAAACCATTCTTTGGTGATGCGGTCGATCTCGTATAGGTCTTTCCAGAATTTTTCGGCACCCTCACTCTGGAGGTCGAGGTAGAAAAACCCATCTTTCTCACAAGCCTTGATGAGCTTCTTCAGCTCCGCCTCATCTTTATCAAAAAGATTGGAGAACTGGATGGTGGAGAGGTCCGCGGTACGGACATTCTCATACTCCGGCGGACGACTGACCGTCATTGTGATGAATGGAGATAGTGAGCAATGAAAGTTTTGATGAGGGTGAATTTGGTGATTCAAGTGCTTGGGACTTGTTCATCTTTTATAGAACATATGCGCTCTTATATTCTTCGACATGTTGACTATCCAGTAGGTCGACAAAGTCCACATGCTCGTATAATTGCTTACATCACCCCGCCGGAGGAACAGATTTAGGATATTTTCCCAGTTTGCCGCAAGTCTTTTGCGAGATTTCTAGGCGAACGTGTTTCAACTATGTGGCGTTCGGACATGCAAGTCAGCCTGAAGCGGCCAAGAATCCCTGACGAGTGAAGTTTGTTTTCTTGACATCGTGGAGACGCTCGCAACCGGAGGATTTGCCTCGGCTAGGAAAACCCCTTCGGCGTCGGATTAAAGGACGGTGACTGGAATAGAAGAGCTTCCGATTTGTTTTGTCTTCCCTACTCCACTGCAGACTGCAAGTCTCACTTTATCTCCGAACCTCACCAGCCGCATAAGATAAACTTTTTCAGCTCATTAGCTTGGCTTGGCTTAGGCGATAACTCGGAGATATTTAGTGTTCTGTAGCAATCTCGTAATCTAAGGCTTCGGAGACAGCGTGGGTTCTGTCTAGGTCACGGCAGTATTGTTGCCTCTTCCATATTCATAGCCAGTCTGCCCCCGCACGTCAAATAGGAATCGGCAATCTCGAAGGGTCTCGTTCCGAAGAGCCATTCTCGAAGAGGAAGGTAGGGCCTGATTCGTACGTATGCTCGATCGTTCGTGGAATTGGATGTGGTGTACCTTGTAGGTGTCCTACTACACTCGGACTGGCCACAGCATTCATCGAGCTATCTGGCTCCAGCATGGCCTTGCTCAGCGCCTGCGCCTTATTGGGATATCCTCACCAACCTATGATGCTTGTAGAGCTCAATTTAGTCGTCATTTTGTGATAGAACGCAGTTGTGCAAATGTCTTTCGGACTCTCAGCCGCGTTCGTCGCAATGACATTTAACTAATTAAACACCGTGTAAGAAGCAGAAGTCACAGCACAAAAACAAGATCTTCTCAAGCTACGACTTGGGACGAATGTATAATGCTAGATTGGCACATACGAATTATCGAGTCTACCTTGTGCTTCTACTCAGTGCTGAGCGCCCGGGCCTTCAACCATAGCGATCGAAACTCCCTTCATACCATCAAACTCCCTGTAGTCTTTCATACCTAAATTCTTGTGAAAAAGATGCATCTTGTCCGTCGTCAGAAGCATCACGCGTCGAAGATGCGGCCAGCTCCGAAGCTTCTCATTCAAGATTTCGAGTACCCAGCGGCCGAGACCGGCTCCTTGATGCCCGTCCAGGATATACACATCGGTCAGGTAGGCGAACGTGACGTGATCCGTAATGACTCGGACGAGTCCGATCTGCTTGAAAGGGGGAGACGTATGGTCTGTGATACTCTTAGCCAGAAAAGGGGCCGATGCCTAGCAATTCACTTACTCGAAGGTTCGACTCCATTTGATGGCGAAGAAGACTCTATTCCATTTGATGTCCCTACGGCTGATTTTTGGTAGATGCCAAAGCAGAGTGAATTGTGTAGTGCCTCTCGAAGGGCATCTGCTGGCAAGTCCCCAGCCCACCACACCATATCTGAGCCTAGAGCGGCATTGACAGCCTCAACCTGGAGGAGCTCCGGATCTGTCGAGACCAGATAATCGCCACGATGCCAGCTTTCTGGTACCATACTGATGGAAAAATTTCAGTTCAGGGCTAAGCAATCCTTCGGCCAAACCGATGACTATGTGATGAGCATATAAATGATGCTAATGAGGGGGCATGAGGGGGGAAACCTGGAGATACACAGACAGACAAATCGACTCTGCCCCTGCTCTGAAATGTTTACAAGGCCAGGCCCGAGTGGGTCCGTAAGCGCGCATCGGAACAATGATACGAAGCCGATCGGCGTGTCGTCATGTTAACAATTTCTTTATGTACGTCACGGCAGTTCAAGGGCCTGGACCTTGACGATCGTTGCTACTACAGAGTCTCCGAAAATGGATCTCCCCGAGAACAATTGATTTGCTCGGCCCATTTTCTTACTCCAACAGATGGAGTCGCAATTATGCCGCATCCTCGTACTGAGGCTACAGTAGAATTCATTCGGAAGAAGAATTACGACACAAGTATCAAGTTGCGTCGTGGACCCTAAAAGCCCTGTTTCAAACATTCCCCTACCTTTGCAACCCTGGCGTAGAAAACCACGTAGTGAGACTCGCGGCCATCGGAACAATGTCGGTTAGCGGGGTGCATCTTGATGTACACTAGATCAATATATATATACATAAATTACGAGCACCACGTTTTCTGATCCGAGTGGTCGAATACGTCAGCCAGTGCATTACCATAAAAACACCCACTCCGTATTAGAGGCCAATCTTTAGGTCCTCATTCCGCACACAATGACGTTCCACAATAGCACTGAAGCTGACTCGTCTAGAGAAAAACAACTTGCAGAAGTAAGTATGCATACCCTTAATTTAGAGCGAAAAGCTAACAGTAATGATTTAGCTTGTGCAACTCGTGCAGAGTATCACGTCGCCAAAGGTCCATGTTCCTTCTGGGGCGTCGGAACCTAGCAGTTTAGATGGGCAAAGCTCAAGCAAGTCGACTGAGGAGTTTCAGCAGCTTCTCACCGGCTTTTCTAACGAGGGACTTGGTTCAGAGGGATTCGGCAATGCAGTCTCATTACTCAGCCAACATTCAGTCAATAACTCGTCGCCCGGCTTCTTAGGAAAATTGGTCTCTGCGCCTTCGCCGCCAGGAACTGCTGCTGATCTGTTTTTGTCTATTTTCAACAACAACGGACATGTGTGGCGTGCGTCACCGGCCCTCACAGCTGTCGAAAAGCATGTCAGCGGAGAGTTGGCCAGACTGTTCGGCCTTCGGGGCCCACACGCTGGAGGTGTCACGGTGCCAGGCGGAGCTGCCAGCAACATGCTCGCTATGTTGGTTGCTCGCAATATCCTGTCACCCGAGTCCAAGCAGCAGGGCGTCACACCTGGGAAATATGCTGTCTTCGTCTCGGACGCAGCTCATTACTCAGTGTCCAACGCGGCACAGACCGTGGGGTTGGGTAACGACTCTGTTATTAGTGTGCCTGCCTTGGATGATGGGACAATGGACGTTGACGCCCTCGAAGCTGCGGTGGATGCTGCCATTCAAAGTGGAAAAACGCCTCTATTTATTAATGCCACTGCTGGGAACACCGTGAATGGTGCCTTTGATCCCATCGATAAGATCGGCGCAATCGCAAGGAAGACGAACGCCTGGTTCCATATTGATGCCTGTTGGGGAGGAGCGGTTGCATTTTCTGGCAGTCTGAGACATCTGATCAAAGGGAGTGAACTTGCGGACAGTATTGCTTTCAACCCTCACAAGATGTTGGGTGTGCCTCTCGTGTGTGCCTTCTTGCTAACAAACGACCTGCGGACCTTTTGGCTGGCCAATAAACTCAACGCCGGATACTTGTTCCATGACAAGACGGCAGGAAAATCCGAACAATCAGCTTTGGGTCTGAATGGAGCCAAAGAAAATGACTGGAGAAACTCCAAGCTCTTGGACGATGCCCCCGAGGTGGCTGATATCCGAGACCTGGCTTCGCTGACGGTACAGTGCTCTCGGCGGTCCGACGCAACCAAGCTGTTCCTGCACTGGATCTACTATGGAACTAAGGGCATCGCCCGCGAAGTCGAGCAAGCCGTCGACAGCGCGCAGCATCTGGCCAATCTTATCAAAGCCCATCCGCGCCTAGAGTTGATCGGAGACACCGAGAAAGTTTTCGCCCAAGTTTGCTTCTATTGGATGCCGAAGGGAGAAGAAAATGGAACCTCCAGTGGAACTCGTACAGCAGCCGTCAACAGCCGCAACACTCATGTATTATACAAGCACCTTACTGAGCATGGATGGAAGATAGACTACGCGCCGGATAAGGTAAAGGGGGAGTTTATTCGAATCGCATGTAACAGATTAACGACACGACGAGGAGTTGAAGCGTTGATTTCGAGGTTGGTGCAATTGGGAGAATCCTTGGGATTGTAAATATTGTCTTTTTCTAGAAGCAGGGGCATAGAACTACTTGAATGCGACATTAGCTCAGATACACTTTTTTTGTTAATTACTCGGGTAGGGCTGTAGTAACAGTGGTCTTATATGTACTTGTTGACATGCTCCCATTTGCTACCGCGCTCCGCCCGAGTTTTTGCGAAAAGTTGCAAGTTTGCTACGTCGCATCTTGAGTGGAAAAGCCCCTTCTACCTTCCCCCTCTTCCTCCTCTCCGAAGAGGCTGTTAATGCAATCTCGCTCAACTCGAAATCCGACGGTCCCTCAGTGGATCCTCTGATGGAGTCTACGGCCAAAAATGATCCACACACTAACGTAGAACATCTGCGGGCTCTGGATGTCACTGGCGAGTAAGCTCTGTTTGTTAGTTAAAGCGCCGAGAATCAGGGGAGTCTAAGGGACCGGATGATATCTTGCATATATCACTAAGAACTCCGAAATTCCGAAATTGTGCGAGCGGCAATTCCGCCAACTAAAATAAAACCACTGGAAATTTTGGCTCACAAAGACGGTCCAATAACTATAAGTGGCCATATATTGTAATAAAAGTTCCGATTTGGGAAGTCCAAGCCACTCTCTGCTGCTCTTTCAGTTCCATGGCCCATCGGATATTGATGAGGCAAGCGGATGCGATATCACAAAGACACGAAAAGGAGGACGATTCCAATGGGGCCAGCTCCTCGGGAAATGAAGATACAATATCACCAGATTCCAAAGAATTGGACATGGGCGAGAAAGGCAATTCCGTCGCCGCGAATCCTGCTTTAAGCCACATTGTCACAAACAGCGATCGGAAACCCGCTCCACCACCGGATGGAGGCTGGAAAGCATGGCTAAGCGGTACCGTCTCTTTTCTCTATAACAAACGGTGTTGGTCTAATCGTGTGTCGTAGTACTATGCGGTCATTTTCTCTTCATGAATACCTGGGGTTTCATTAACAGCTTTGGCGTATTCCAGACGTATTACACGACACTTCTGGACAAGTCGCCTTCGGACATCTCCTGGATTGGCTCGATCCAAGTTTTCCTCAGCTTTTTTGTTGGCGCTTTCATCGGCCGCTTCATAGATGGCGGGTTTTTACGCCACGTCTTGATCAGTGGCACGGTAATAGTCACCGTCGGCATCTTCACTGCCTCGGTTTCTACCCAATATTGGCAATTGATTCTTTCTCAAGGAACATGTTGCGGCCTCGGCAGCGGCTGCCTTGTCACCCCAGCAGTATCTGTAGTCTCCACGTACTTCGAGAAGAAGCGCTCGCTAGCCATTGGTCTCGCTACGTGTGGCTCTGTAACGGGAGGGCTCGTCTTTTCTGCCATGGCAAGGCAGCTTATACCGTCTGCTGGAATTGGCTGGGCATTACGAGGCATCGGATTTGTGCAGGTGGCCACGTTACTCTCTGTCACTACCTTCATGAGACCACGATTACCACCACGCAAGGGTGACAGGCTTGTGGAGTGGGTCGCATTTAAAGAGCTGGAGTATGCATTTTTTACGGCCGGCATGTTTTTTGTATGGCCCTCGCCCTCGACACCTATTTCTCTGATTCACATGGCTGACAAAATGGCTTAGAACTTCTGGGCCGTGTTCTTCGGCTTTTACTACCTCGCTTCCTACAGCCGCGACATTATCACCCCCCACTTCTCCTACATAGACTCCCTAAACGTCCTTCTGATTCTCAACGGTGTCGGCGTAGTGGGCCGCATGATAGCAAATCACTTCGCTGACACCATGGGACCGCTAAACATGATGATACCGACTTGTCTGATAGCAGGCATTGCGCTGTTGTCGTGGATGGCCGTGCATACACCAGGCCAGCTCTACGCTTGGACAGTTGTGTACGGCATCATTGCCGGTGCCATCTTGAGCCTGTTCCCGGCCGGGCTGTCCAGCCTGACCACAGACTTGTCGAAGCGCGGCGCACGCATCGGTATGAACTTTACAGTTGTGAGTTTTGCCACGCTAACGGGAAACCCAATCGCGGGAGCGATTATTTCGGCCGATGCTGGCAAGTACATTGGGGCTCAGGTATTTATGGGCGCAAGTTTCCTACTTGGCGGGGCGTTCATCTTTGCGGCGAGATTGACCAGGCAGGGAAAGACGAAGGGCGGATGGTGGATTAAAATATAGATGGCCTCTGTCGACAGGTGATATGATGTAATTACAGAATTCTCTGGCTGTTATTTAAGAGACGTATTATTCTAGAGGTAAATTAAATATCTTCAGAATGGCCCAGTATGAAGCATCTATCCTCTATTGCTGACAGTCTATCACGAGCTCTTCTGTGCCTTCTTTCCACGACCATCAAAACTCCAGTCGATCTGAGTGGCCATCCTCACCTTCACACCTAGCTCGTTAGCAAAGGCGCGAACCAAGCCAGGGTTCTGCTGGAACCAACGTCCAGCCTGTACTGCATCAATACCAGACTGTACCACCTCCTCGGCCAGAGCCCCCGTCTTAATCCCACCAACAGCCGATACCAGTAACTTGTCGCCCACAGCTTTCTTGACTTCTTGGGCGAGATGTACCTGATAGGCAGGGCCTGCGCGAATGGCGATTGCGGATTTGGGGTGCACACCACCTGAGCTGACGTCCACCAAGTCGACACCGCAGTCAGCCAAGAGGGGCGCGAGCTGAACCGCCTGAGCAAGTGTCCAGCTCTCGGGAAATTCTTTCTTTAAGTTATCGTCGAACTCGAACCAATCCGTAGCACTAATCCGGACCAGTAGAGGCATTGTTGTCGGGATACTAGCCCGAACCACCTCACAAACTTCCAAGAGCAGTCTGACCCTGTTTTCAAAGCTCCCTCCATACTCATCCGTTCTTCGATTACTAACAGGGCTCATAAACTGGTGTAATAGATATCCATGGCCGGCGTGAATCTCGATAACATCGAAATTGGCCTTGATGGCCCTTTTCGCAGCCTCCCCGAAGTCTTTCTTCAACACCTCAATATCCTCCCTGGTCAGAGCCTTGGGAATCGTGTTGATTCCGTGCTCATGGGGGATAGCCGAAGGGCCAACGATCTCATCCGGCCATCCACCGACTTCCTTAACAGCCATAGCGTTGCCGCTCAACCAGGGAGCAACGGCACTGGCCTTTCGACCGGCGTGGGCTAATTGAACAGCTATCTTCTGACTCTGGCTGTGGGCAAACTCCGTGATGCGTTTCAATGGCTCGATATGGCCATCTTCGTAGAGACCGATATCCTGCGGTGTGATGCGGCCCACCTTCTGCACGGCGGTCGACTCCATGATTGCTAACCCCGGGCCGCGCTGGATGATTCCGCCCAAGTGCGTCAAGTGCCAATCACTGACATAGCCATCTTTGGATGAGTACTGACAGAGAGGAGCAAGGAACAGGCGGTTTGGAAACGTCACACCGCGGATGGTGATGGGGCTGAAGAGCTTCGTTGATCCCTCGATCTGCGTGCCTGCCGGAGGGTCCTGAGCTGGTGTGTAGTAGGAAATGCCTTGGGCGGCGATGTTGTCGATTATTTCCTGCGTCATGGCTGGCTTGATCTAGCGGGTGGGTTTGGCGGGAGGCTGATAGGGTTAAACAGCAGAACTACGGAAAGAGCCTTAAGTAGTCTATAGTTTTAGTTACCTAGTTATGTAACGACTGATGACAAATCGGGCATTATTAATTAACTAATTCAACTCCTAACTAGCCTACTTCACTAGCAGGTTATAGTTAGGTCTTAGGCAATTACTAATGTCTTGGAGTTAATGGAGCCACCCCTGTCGATACTCCAATACGCTCCGAGATCTACTTACTCCGATTCAAAGTCGGAGCATTAAGACATTGACCAATCGCTACAGTGTCACTTGCATATGACCCGCCTCAGTGCAGATACTGTCGCATCCGGGTTGATGTTCCTCGTCTGTCACTTATTTGCGCGATTATGCGCTCTCTCTATCTGACGTCACGTATTCGGCCGCCTGTACCCCTGAGTAAGGTTGGGTACCTCACCCTGAACACGGTCGAAAGAAAACAACCATTATCATTTCTGACCACCAAAATGTCTTGGGAAACCATAAGCGAGGAAGCTCAGGTCGCAGTGCTGGAGTCCATTCCCGCCCGTTGGCGGCTGGATCTCGACAAATACAGGTCTCTGAGGGACGTCACGAGCGTGCCCTACACAAGTGGCATCATGACTAGCGACCAGCTCAAGATTACTGAACTCTCGGCGGTCAAGATAGTAGAACGTCTTGAGTCCCGTGAGTTAAAGGCAGTGCAGGTTTTAGAGGCTTTTGCCGCCCGGGCTGCCATTGCCCATCAGCTGGCATGTCAATTGCCCTCAAAATGGTGGGGTTAGGCTAACGGACACAGGTTAACTGCCTGACCGATTGGTTCTTCGAAGATGGTCTCCAGCAGGCGAAAGAGCTCGACGAGTCTCTTGACAAGGGTGGTAGTTTGAAAGGACCATTGCACGGAGTCCCTGTCGCTTTGAAGGTACGGAAATGTAGAATATGCTTGACTTCGGCAGAATGGTGCTGATGGAGTGACCAAACAGGATTCCCATGAAGTCGCAGGCCATGCCGTGACAATGGGTTACGTTGCAAGGAGGAATAATATAGCTAAGCAGGATTCTACTCTTGTAGCAACGTTGCGTGCCGCAGGTGCTGTCTTCTTCTGCAAGACAACGATGCCTCAGTCAGGAATGGCCTTGGAGACGGTCAGCAATCTCTGGGGCCGAACTCTGAACCCATTCAATAAAGATTTGGGAGCCGGCGGTAGTTCGGGAGGGGATGCAACTTTGGTAGCCTTGAGAGGCAGTCCCATCGCCCCATCGACAGATATGGGGGGATCCATCCGTGTACCCGCCGCTTTCAACGGACTATATGGCATTCGACCTACGTCTGATCGCATACCAAAGGGTGGCATGCACAACACTAATACCGGGAATATTACGATTAAATTGTCGTGTGGACCTGTCTGCCGCTCTCTTGACGACCTTGAGTTGTTTACTAGCATCATCAATGCGCACCCGCGCAATAAATACGATGTGACCTCCGTACCAGTTCCCTGGAGAAGCCTACCTTCTCTAGACCGCAAACTCGTGATCGGAATAATGAAGTGGGATGGGGTGGTAATGCCTCATCCACCGGTACTACGGGCTCTGGAACACACCAAACAGACTCTCGAGAAGGACGGACACGAAGGCGAGTTAGCAGTTTATTCTGCAACTTAAATTGTCCCAACAAAACGCTTGTTAACCTGTTTTTTACAGTCATCGCATTCGAGCCACCTTTTGATTGCTGGGATATTAAGCAAACTACAGTAAGCATCTCGTTGAAGCAGCAAAGCTGTATCATTAATGGGGCAGCCAGTTCGATATCTACTACCAATCAGGGTCTGCTGGGTCTATGTCCACACTGGCAGCTTCTGGGGAGCCTACTATACCAGCTTTTGCTGATCTGCTCAGGGTTTTCAACACCCGGGAACACTCCGCCGCAGAAGCATTACAAGTATGTTTCTTCATTATGCCCTTGTTGACACAACCAGGCAACGAAGAGCACACTGACATACCGGACAGCTGAATCTCAAAACGAGAGCCCTCAAAGAACAGTTCGCAGATGCATGGAACGACACAGTTGGCCGCACTACCTCGGGCCGTGCCATTGATGCACTGATATTGCCCCCAGCTCCTGCAGTGGGCTACCCTCATGACTTTAATATCTACTGGGGATATACCTCGCTGTTCAACTTTCTTGATTATCCGTCTATCATCTTACCAATTGCCAACTTCAAGGTGGATCCTCAGCTAGACCGTGTAGATTCCGAATACCGACCGCTAGAAACGAATCCCTACGACAAACCCAATCATGAATTGTGTAAGTCAGCTAAGCTAGCCCCCACCCCCTACTACCGCAGTTTCTAATCAGTTGTTATTAACAGACGATCCGAATCTGTTCGCAAACCAACCGTCAACTATCCAGATCGTTGGACGACCTTTTGAGGATGAAGAAGCTATTCGAGTAGCGTCGATCCTAGATACACTTTTTAAGGCTCCATAGGTTGGATGGAGTTAGTAATGGCGGATGTGGAAATTCGCTTAATCGAGAATCACCTTTCACGTTAGGCGACACGTTTGTAGATTAAGCGTGGACTTCCCAGGTACATAGACTGTCATCTGCTTATTGATTAATCTTGTAAACATTTACCTTACCTGTAGGTGATGTGAACGTCTTGACCTCTCTTATCGACGTACTCTCAAGGTACACTGGGTGGACAAGGCAAGAGACTATCTACCTTTGTTATTGTGAGGTGGACAAGGTTTCCAACCGTCCTAGCTCGCAAGGAGCATCAATTTCTAATATTCGTGGGTCTTTTCTATAACCTATATCTAAAGTGTTTGTTCTCTTTGTCGGTCAAATCTTGATAACCTTCCCATAAGTTCTCCTGGAATGCCCCTGGAGGTACGCTTCGGTCGCGACGCTTGTTCTCTATCCAGCACCATAAAGCATAGACAGATTGGAAAAGGATGACCGCACAATAAGTTCCAAGTAGACCCTTGATGGCGGTAGGGTATCGTGGTACCTCTTCAGATAAGAACATATGAGGGCCGACGATATTTCCAACGACGAAGGAAACAAAGTAGACTCCCAGCGTTGCAGTCCGCTTTGTGTGACCTGCCACATTGACACCGGGGATTGTCCAGTTCAGTATGATGGGAGCGCCGACAAAATTCTGCATCCAACACATGGCTAAGAGGGCGTAGCGACGGTCAATAGGTATGGTTAAAAGGCCAATCAGTCCAATCATGCCAGGCAGGCAACCCAGGATAACCGAGAGGCTAAGCATGTTCTGGGACTGAGAGACATAGCCCAGTAGCAAACATCCTACTATCTCAAATGCTCCTCCTGGCGCTTGCATCAGAGACGTCCGTAGTGGGTCGAAATTCAAGCCCTTGATGATGGCCGACATGAAGTTTGTCACACCACTATTCAGAATTCCAATGCCCATTCCCGTTATGAAAAGTAGATAGCATCTACCATCGAGAAGTGCCTCTTTGATCTGATGGGTCTTGATTGCGGAATCCTTGATGCCCATCTGATTCTGTGATACTCGCCACACTGCCACGACTCGCTCATACTCGGAGAGCATCTTCGCATTGTGAGGGCCATCTGGCAGATAGGCAAGTATGACGAAACCCCACGCGATAGTCAAGATGCCAACAATCTGAAAAGAAGGAATACTTCATCAGCAATCAAGGCAATGAGCAAAATTACCCACCGAACTAACCAAGTAAATTAACTTCCAATTCGGTATTGTTAGTCCTTCAGCCATACCCGTCCCATAAGCAAGCAGAGACCCCAGAATGCTTGCAAGGCCGTTCGTGCAAAGCCAAAAAGAACTCCTCAGCGATTGTTCCTCGCGTGTCCATAACATGGAAGTGAGAAGCACCCAAGATGGCGAGATACATGCTTCAAATAAACCAAGAAAAAAGCGAATTGCAAAGAATCCACCCGCGTTGAAGACTGCAGCCTGCAACATGCAGACTGCTCCCCAGACAAACAACATTCCTCCGACCATCTTTGCAATCGGGACACGTTGCAGTAGAAAGTTCCATGGCCATGCGCCACCTGCGGTGTTTGGTTATTAGGCTTTGCCTTTCTCAAGTTGATGGATCCGTAACCTACAGAGCCAGCCGAAGTAGAGGGCACTGACAACCCAGGGATAATCATCTCCAGTCATGCGGGTATCCTTCTGAAGACCATATGCATTGGAGTAATTAAGACTAGCCCTTGTGTCAAAAATACAGTTCCTGGTAAAATTCTAGCAGTCTCACTTACGTCTGCTTGTCCAAGAACGATAGCATGTATGTTGTCATCATCTGGATGAATATCAGCATGCTGCCGCCTAGAAGTAATGTGAATTTAATCTAACCATTGGGAGAACTAAAAAATCCAGTTTTCGTCTGACTTTGACAGAATCTGCTTCTAGCTGAGCTTGGTCAAAATGCAGAGATTGCTGCAGCATATCTTGTGCCAGTTTATTGGGGCCATTTTGGGGACTCAAACGCCGGAAGAAAGATTTCTTGAGTGGTACAGTGGATGATTCTGTTCGAGTATCGCCCTTTTCGAGATTGACAGAATTGCTTTCTTTGCTATCCATGATGTTGTCGTGAGTGCTAATTAGACCCTTGGGAGAAATTATTACCGTAGGCAAAAGTTGCATGCCATCATAACACAATGCAAACTAGACAGAGACTTATAGCTAACAGCATTTTCATACAAGTGTGGGGTATTATGGCTACGATTGACAGGGCCTATTAGGCCTGACGAGTTGTAAAAGGCCAGCATAGCTGTCGGAAGATGGCCCCCGAAGTTCAAGGCCCGGCGACTTATCTCAAAGCTGTTTGAGTGATAGTTAGAAATGTATTGGCACTCTAGAAAGGACTTCCGCCGATGCACTAGCCATTGCTTCGGAGTAAACGAGAATTAGAAACGCGCCAAGTTCGGATAATCGCCCAGAAGATGAGAATCAGCAACTTATTACTCCACATTATAATCTTCCGAGTGGACTCCGAAGCACCTGACAGAAAAGCCGTCTACTTGATGCTCCAATCAACAACGCACAAGGGTCCGAGTACAAAGGACGGAAGATGGGAAATTACTTATCGATTGCTTTGAATTCAATAATCCGTGATTCGGCGCCATTTCTCTTTCATTGACGCCTGAGGGACGTTTGTATTAGTAGCCAATACTCACGTCTAAAGACCTTCGCTCACAGTTGTGCCACGAACACCTGTATCTCCCCTACCCCAGGATGGCGCTGCCAATCGACTTCATCTTTTCCCCATGGGTGGCCCTTGCTGGGCCGGCCTTCGTTCTACTGTATTACCTCGTTCCTTATTTCTGGACCTTTCGTCACTTGCGGGATATACCTGGGCCCCTCGCGGCTCAACTCTCAAACTTCTGGCTTTTGATTGTTTGTCGGGCAGGCAAGCGTTACAAATATGTTGACGAAGCCCATAAGCGATATGGTCCCATCGTCCGCATACAACCCAATCATGTCAGCATTGCTGATGAGGAGGCCATTCATACTATATACGGCCATGGGGGTGGTCTGCTAAAATCGTGAGAGAGTCCCCATTGCCTTGGCTGTACTTATGATCGCTAAGACTTCTCAGGTCCTGGTATGACGCTTCTCTCATCACTACCCGCAGTATTTTCACTTCCAGGGACCGTGCCGAACATTCCCGCAAAAGGAAAGTCGTATCCCATAGTTTTGCCCCGCAATCAATGCGAAACTTTGAACCGTTCATTCATTCGTGGTTGAAGGTCTTCCTCGAGAAGTGGGATAACATCGCGGAGAAGAACGCCGAACCTGACGGCTATGCAAATGTGGAAGGGCGCGTGTGGCTCAAGTAAGACTCACCTTGCGAAAGAGCTGGAACAGATAGTGGATTGACTTTGACAGTTACTTGGTCCTCGATATCATCGGCGATCTTGCATTTGGTGCCCCATTTGGTGTGCTTGAAGGTGCTTCAGAAGATGTCAATGTTCGCATCAGCAAAGACAAGACCATTTCTCTGCCCGTCATCACGAGCCTCACCACCCGCAGCGAAATCGCAGCGACTGTAGGGGCACTGCCTGAGCTGCGACCCTATTTGAAGTGGATTCCAGACCCTTTCTTCCATGCGGGTCTCACCGGAATGAACAACTTGCGCAGCCTAGGGAGTGCCCGCATCATTGATCGCCTGAATAACCCACCGACTGCGGACCGCCACAAGGACTTGCTTGAACGGTTGCGGGAGGGGCGAGACGACAAGGGTGAGCCTTTTGGGATGGGAGAGCTTACCGCTGAAGCTCTGACTGTGCTCATCGCGGGCACCGACACCACTAGTAGCACATTCGCCGCATTGATGTATCATGTCGTCCGAACACCTGGGGTTCTGAAAAAGCTGCAAACGGAGCTTGACTCAGCCCTTCCAGCCGACACTGTGGTGCCCTCGTATGACCAAGTTAAGACCCTTCCATATCTGGGAGCTATCATCAATGAATCTCTACGACACCACTCCTCTATCAGTCTAGGTCTTCCCCGTGAAATACCAAGAGGCAGTCAAGGTATAACCCTTAAGGGACGTTACTACCCCCCAGGTACAGTTCTGAGTGTTCCGATCTACACGGTTCACCATTTGAAGGAAGTCTGGGGTCCCGACGCAGAAGAGTTCAAGCCTGAAAGGTGGGGGAACCTCACCCCACGCCAAAAGAAGTCTTTCATCCCGTTCAGCTACGGTCCACGGGCATGCCTTGGACGTAACCTTGCGGAGATGGAATTGAGGCTGATTACGGCGACCTGGGCGAGGAGATATGATTTTGTTTTGAGAAAGGATGAAATGGAGGTGAATGAGGGATTGGCTAGGAAACCAATCGCTGTAAACGTCGGACTAAAACGGCGAGAGAGTGCAGTCTAAGTAGCCGTCCATAGAGACATCAGCATAAAAATTGTGGGATGGGGATGGAAGCCCATGGAGGCAGCACTCCTGGGGGATAGCCAACTTCTTGTGATTGCCTGGCAGACAACGCAGGGTTTTTCCCAGCTAGACAATCTTTACCAGTTTAATTGGAATTAGCCCTTCAGGAGACGTTGTAGCAACTGGACTTTACCGAGATGGATGCAGCTTGTCGTGGGCAGAAAAATATTCATCATGGGTAGTATTTTCTTGGTAAACACTCTATCCCCACCCAGATCCCAACATTACGGTGAATTGACCCGCTTCTGGATAAGACTGTTACAGATAGACGAAATTTTCCGGAGAGCGGATCGCTTATTGCATGAAGAATATATATCTAGCTGTTTCCAATATACGGACAAGTAGAATGAAAGAGAATAAATATCGCAATATAGACTAATTTATACAGACAAGGCAGGAATAAGAAGATCTAATAGATTAAGATGATGCATAAACTTATCGAACACTTAAAAGACATGATATTTCTCAATATTAGTAAAGAGTATCCTACAGTCAGCTTGAAGAAATTCACAATAACGAAGACAATTCTACTAACATGTATAAAGACTGTGATAACGTGGCTGAGGTAAAGAATATTAACAGGAATAAAGAGAACAGAATATTCTCTAACACTATATTACGAAAAAAATACAGACTTTAAAAATACAAGAAACCTTAGATACATATAACTCTCAGAGAGCGAAGAAATTCCATTATGCACGAGATGACTTATCTACAGAAAATTCTCTTTTCGTGGAGATAATCACAGATTTTTCTAAGAACTCTATAATATAAAGAAGCACGTAGCCTTATACACGTTAAAGTCGTGCGTTAATATAAATATACTATTTTTGTCTTCAAATAGAGCCATTACGTCCCCCTCCAACCTGCTTGACTCAATCATTCAATCTGTATCTGGCGGTTAACTAGCATAAGCTGGGCTGGCTTTAGATTACGTCGTAGTCTCGATCGGCAGCGCACTTCTCTTGATGCCATCTTCGATACACTATATGGCTTGGAACAATGGGTGCACATGCTGTAAAGGGTAGATGGATGGAGTCAGAGTAATCATCAGCACGTACGCGCCGCTGAACCTTCTGTTGGCATACATTCACAGTTTACATCCCTCTTAATCGGATGCAAGACCATAGCCAGGCCCTAGCTGACGGTAATTCCACAACTTTAGCCACCATGGATATAAAGACACTTCCCATACAGTGTAGAAGAGGATTCAAGACACAACCATGAATAACGCCACTCTACAATATTGGTTGCCACTGGGCTCTCCCATTTTGCCTATACTCTTCCTAATACATACAGAGGCAATTCACTGACGACCGCAAAAGCGAGCTGGATACACTGACGATATGGCAATACTCTTCTTTGGCAAACAACCCCCTGGATAACACAGCGGAAGCAGTAACATTAACTGTAGCCTTCATTGTGCGTTAGGGGCAAGACAACAGCACAACCTTCAACCTTGCGAAAACTGAGGTGAAGCAGGTTACAAGGCATAAGAATGCCGGAACTCTAATATCAAGCACCAGGACAAAGGTAATAATAATATAGCTGCGATAGTTAATTAACCATTGTTAGCACAACCAACTCAGTACCCATTGATTAGCAAGTACAGGCTCTGTTGAATTGGGGTGAGTTGGCCGGCATCATCAAACAGGTTGATAACCTCTTGAACTTGACTTGATCGCCACTCTGCCGCATGGTAAGCATATCCGATTGGTCTACCGAAGGAGGGTATTTACTACAGCATCTGGTTGTCCAAAAAGCTGTCGGCACAGGACGTCAAATATAAATCCTTCACTAGTATTATTAAAAGAAAATTTCCGGTATGATGGACTCTGGCGGTTTTCCCCATCAATTACTGTAATTTTCACTAAAACTGCGGTTAAGATGGAATTAAGCACTAGTAATTATTTATCCGATTGGGGCCCACATATCTTATTCTCCCCATTCATGACTTCATGTGCATGTATGGATTGGATAATCTCCAATTGCTCCTAGTGGGGCGCCGATATCTGTCAGAATAAAGCTAGTCCATATTTGGACATCATGTGAAATGTATATGCTCTATACCCCTAGAGGGGTTGGGCAGGACATCTTTCTGAGTACAATCAATCCAAACCTCACACTATATCGAACAATATCTCAAACGCGATCTGAGTGGGACCCGAATCCTAATTGCTCCGAGTGGAGACCTTGGCGTGTTACGTAATTGCTCCGAGAGGAACGAGGCTTCTGCAGGTTTGGAATATAACCCGCTCCATGGGAAGCTAAACACCCCCACGGGCATTGGCCAATTAGGAATTGCATCTCTGTAATTCGAGTTTAATAATCTCTCGGGAAGCGGAAATAGGGGGCGGTAGAAGTCCTACCATTTGAGTCTTGCACGTAGATTCGTTATAGTTGCCCTTGCCAAGTCGGTGTCCATGTATATTGTGTTTATATGCCAAGTCGGATTCTGGTAGCAATCGGGCCTAATGGTGTGCAATCAGTAGGGAGGTGAAATGAATTAAGCTTACACATTCATATACCTCCATTGCATACAAACGACGCATCCCCCCATACCCAACAAAGCGCTGTAGATCTCTATCCTGCAGCCTACACATTCTCTCATTGGCGTTCGTCCTGCAACAATGCGTTCTGAACCTCTCTCCATAAGCGTCCTGGGTGTCTTGCAATTGGCTACAGCTCTACTGAGTCCCTTGCCACTTGAGTTTCGGAACACGCCGGCTCAATGGGCGTACCTGTCCTACGATAACCCCTCGTTTGCCGTTATCCCAGGTCACTTTAATCGGTCTGCCTTTGTTTCGCAAACCGACAGCGTAACATCTGATCCTGAAGTAACTAAAGCGTGGGTTTTTTTTTTTTTTTTTCCAAGCTTGTTCTCTGCTTCCCTATTATCGCTCCTCGTCCTCTCTTTTTATTGTGCGAGTACTAAGAAGTCTACAGCTTACAGTATATTAACTCCACCGACTTCGTCGCGTATGACGAAAGATTCTTTGATTTAATTGGTCCCGACGCGAGGATTCGTCGGCTACATGATCTTCCCTTTCAGACCCATGAGGCGCCCTGCTATAACCCTTCGTCCAAGGAGCTCTTCTTCATTGAATGGGGACCTCCTGGGGGCGACGACGGTTCTCACGATTGGCAGTACCTCCTGAATACGGAGACTAATGAGCTACGCAAAATCACTACGAACCCCCCCCCCCATTTATAATGTTCATGGATGTGTTTTTCACAATGGAGACTATTACGTCGTTACCGACGGGAGTCATAACGAGACTGCATCGCTGAATAAGATTATTCCCGACACTCTTGAGAAGACTACCTTGCTTAACAATTTTTATGGGTTACCCTTTCAAGGGCTTAACGACCTTGATATAGACCCGGAGGGCAATTTCTGGATAACTGATGACCACTATGGCTGGGTTAGTAATGACGCTGTACACAACCAAGCTGGGATGAATACGGATACTGATATAATGTGTACAGGGAAGGGGAGTCGTAAATTTCACTCCACCCTTACTCTCGACGGTCTATTTTGTCAATGGCACTACCATGCGTCCGAGGCCATTTCACGTCACGACGTATCAGGCCAACGGTGTTGCTTTCTCCAAGGGTGGCGATGGCAAGGGTACCATTTATATTTCTAATACTGGGGCTGTGTCCCCTGATAAGAGCCATGCAGAACACCCTTACCGCCCCCGCACTATTGAAGCGTATGATGTATCATACCCAGGCGCGCTGACAAGCAGTTCTCGGCTAGTCAGTGTTCCAATCTCTTTTGTCTACGATGGTGTCAGAGCCTCTAGGAACGGGTGGATATTCGCCGGTGCGGGCAACGGGGTGGATGTGCTCGACCCTGAGACTGGGCTGGCGTTGGGGACAATTCGCGTAGGTGGAGGGAACTACGTAGCAGTCAATACAGCATTGGGAGAGAACGAGCTATGGATTGTTGGTGCAGGAGGAGTCTGGCATGTAACTGGCATTCGTGAGACGCTAGCTAGAGACTTTTAGGCTTCGGGCTGAATCTACTCACGTCCATGATTACTACTTCGACTGCCATTGCTTTCCAGAACAGGGATGGATATCTTCCCAGTAAGACCCCCTTGGATTCGATCGAACGCAGGTCGAATCCTTGCGGACCGAAATGCCACAGGGACATCAGCCTATAATATGTAATCGTCTCAATCACTAGGTTCTCACGCTTTCGTATCTAAGGTAATAAATATAATGTAGGTGTAGAGAACATCATGACTTCAGACGAGACGTCTCAGAGCACTGTAAATTATACAACGGTGGGTTCCACGCATCCCAAATGTTACCCATCCCCTTCAGCGATCCAAGTGCGTCAACTTATTGACTATCACTGAGCCATTGTATCTCTCTCCTCAGTCAGCTTCTTATTTGTGCCGTTATAAGTCCTGCGCTACTAAGCGTCCTTTCGCTCTCTGCAGACGATGATAGATTGTGAAAATATCTACCGCCATCAGAGATAGTCATGGCATATATTCCTGTCGATCTTCTACCAATTAATTGGCCTGCTCCTGTCGTGGTGACTGTTGATAACATCCTCTGCACAGTATCGAGTATATTTTATATCAGCCGTCCCCACCCCCTACTGTACTCTATTTTGTCTTCCGGCTACTACTGCGGGGGCCAGACGCTGCAAAGTACAAACCCTGGTTTATGGCGACCCAGATACGCTCCTAGCAAGTCTCTGCTCGATGGTATCTATTGAGGCCCTATTAGATGCAACAAAGATCTCGTTGTTAAATTTGCCCTGTCTATGCCTCTCCCAGACCGCCAAGCGTTTGACTTTCAAAATCTAATTGGTAACTTTTTGTCTTCTGAGAATATACTCGGGACCAAAGTTGATCGAGAAGGCGCCAATTCTTTTGCTGGGTTGAAGACAACAGTGCCAAAATATGTGCTCGTCAGACAGTTGCAGTACTTCTGCGGCTCCTTCGATCTGAGCTTGATAAAGATATTTAGTAATCTACAGGCTCTGTTATAGGGCCTGTCGTAGATGGTATCTTGGACGTTCTTCCTCTCCTTGCTAACTGGATCTTCAACTTCGCAGCACTTGCGAGCGCAGTGGTATATCGGAGAATCTACTGGTCAGCTCCTTGACATCTTGGTATGATTCCCTTGCATAATAGAGTCAATATTGAGAAGCCTAACCGTAGAGTGGTTCTCTCATAGGCGCTGTTTGTATTCTTTCTTGTCAACACTCAGTCAGCCCAACAACAAATAGTTCATATGATAAGTAAGGACTTTTGTGACAATACGACGATTGGACTGCGGAAACCCCTCTATCCATGTTCGCTGAAAGAACTACAGTGTAGTATAGTGGCATAATTGAATGGCGCCACTTTGGTTATGAAACGAGTCTAACCCAGCACATACAGACACCAGGCCTACCGTTTCAGGAATATTTTGCGGCAATCTCTATAGTAAGAGCATGTTGTAGCTCTTCTGCAGTCAATTGTCCGCCTCGCACATGTTATCTATGGCAATATCTGAATAGCCAGCTTTTGCCGATCTGGAGTCTGTCCCTGTATTCTCTCCATAGCGCCTCTATAAGCAGAGTTATACGCACTGGACCCAGTAGAAAGTTTTGATGGTGCTTCTCGAAGACGCTTCTCTTACCTCTTGCCGGTTAGAGAGTTAATATAAAGTTTGGCAAGGTATCACCTACCAATATAGACAGAGAGGTTGATTCTTGTTGACTTGATACCTAATAACCTAATCCGTATACGTCTGTCACGACTGAACAAGCGATCTGATTCTTGTAACTATCCTACTACCTGATTCTATATAACAATCTGAGTGGGCCAAAATATAGTAAGACAAAATTAATATATAAGTATTGACTGACATGATCACTAGCTCTGTAGCTTGCAATGCATCATAGCAAAATGTAGGTTAGCGGTACTCCCTGACTGACATTAATTGCGGGAGATACTACTATACTATAGGGATACGTACATCTACTCCATAGATTAGACTTGACAAAGAATATCGATTACCTGCTGGAAATAAAACATCCGCTGTTGGTCGCGGAATGCTGAATTAAGAGTTAGTAATGAGTACTTGCATTGGGCTAAGCAAGGCAATTTACGAAGAAGTGACGGCCAGGTGCCTGGTGTCAGGTTGCTTATAGGTAAAACCTGCTGAGTCAAAATAAAGCCCCTTCGTTCTCCTACCGTGCTCCTTTCATCGATATAGATAACACATCATATCCGGGCCTATCTTCCCCCTCTGAACTGTGAGATTGGACCAGAGTCGAAAATCGTTCTTGTTATCATTTCCCACCCTCCAACATCCACTGCGAAGTAACCATGGCAGCATTGAAGCATGAGAAGGGTCTATATGATGGGGAACGGTTCTACAACAAGCATTCGACCATACAGCACTCTGCTGTGGATGAATGTATCTGTTGTTACGCTCGACTTGTGACCATATAATATCCAATCCAATCTAATGCCTAACAAATGGTGCCAAACTGACCATGCCTTTAGGCAGTAGCATTACTTTAGCCGACTATGGTTGCTCCGAAGAGGCCAACTCGCAAGCGCTCACCTCTTGACAAGACGAACTTGACCAAATTGACATCATACTAGAGTGTACATCGTACAAAAGACTATGGCGCCTATCCAGCCCTGAAATCCGTCACGGTCACCTTCAACGACACCTCTTCGAACGGCTTCTCCGGCCTATGGTCCACTATCCAGTTCACTTTACTCGGACCGGGAGCAGCCTGTCTCTGTTCCCACCGCTGGTGCCCCAAAGTTTCTATAATCAGGCATTCCAGGATGAATCATTGTACATAGGTTTCTCAACCACATCCCTGCATAGGGTTCGATGTCTCCAATCGCCCGAACGGTACTGGATCTCTGAGGAGGTAATCGCTACCAACGCACACTCCGATCTGCTTGATTTTCTGGATCAACGACATCGTCAAACTTGCCCGGAGGGTCATCTGATTGTCTGTTTCTCTACTATCGGAGGGCTATCAGCAGTAGCTTCGGTCGAATCTCCCAAGGAGGGCCTGGCGGACCTCGTGGAGAAGTGCTTCGTCTCTTACGAGACAGCGACTGCATATTTACCCTGTGTAGCTGCGGAAACCGGAAGAAGTTAATCTAGCATAGAAGCAGGTGGCGCAAAATTGGATAGTTGAGTGCAGTTCCAGAAACAGATCAGACATACAACTTATGTGAAGTTTCGCGCAGTGGTGGCTAGGACATGAATTATGAGGCAGCCTTGATAGAGCTTGCTAAGGCTATCTGTGAAGCATTTCTTGCAGGTTTCCTTTGGAGGGAGGTTAACTAGAACATAATAATAAAACCATCTTGCATGGATTACTACATACGATGCTGAGAAGTCTTCTCCAGAAGCATCTGGACATCCCTTTTAGTGGTACCTTTATATTTTTCAAATTGAGGAAGATTTGACGGATAATAAAAGCAAGTTTAAACAAGAATTATATTGAATTATTGTATATTATAGTTTATACTAAATTCTGTTTAAATATCTAAGAATGCCCCAGCGACCTAGTATAATATTTTATTAAAAATATTGTTCTCTTCTAGAACTTGTTATTAAGGGAATATACTATTAATTAGATACTAAGATAAAGTCCCTTAGTTACAAGTCCATCTTCTTCGCGCTAATCAACAGAAAACAAGGCCTGTCGATCTCCTTTCACAATCCTGGTAAAAATCCAGCAGACCTCCAGGCTTTAATAATATCTCCTCCAAATCCGTGAGAGCGACGCCATTCTCAAGGAGGAAACACAGATAAGTTTAAATAGTCCGATGATGCTTACAGAGCCCTACCCCAAGCTAATAGCTAACACGAGGGCCTTCACACCTGTAGCTATTAACTAGCCAGAAATACCGTCCATTTTTATCTTGCTGCCAGCTTCCGTTATCTGCAACAGTCCAGACGGGTGCTGAACCGAGAAGATAAAATATCTATCTTGCTTCAGGGTCCTGCGGGCCTGCTTGACAAGACTATCTAGGTTCTCCAAATAGTGCATGACAAGACAGATATACACAAGATTAAAGGTACTGTCTGGAAGCTTAACATGGTCTAGACCTGCCTACTCGAACATAATGTCTTCCTGGCCTCCGTGAAGCTCCTGCGCTTTCCTCAGCATGCTTGCTGAGTTATCGATCCTGTGGACTTTGGCCGCGCCGTTATCTTTAGCCCACTGTAAGAAATGTCCGTGGCCACACCCGAGATCAAGGATTGCTTTTCCTTGGATACCGGAACTTTGCACCATTCTTCGCACTGATGGCCATTCCGGCATGAAGTCCACTCCCACGGGGGACTTTGTCATACTCGGCGGTAACTCGAGGATCATCATATAAAGCAGCCGAATTTGTCATGATGAAAAGAAGTCAGGTAGAGTATATACCCTTTGAGGAAAGTTAGGAGGAAAGAGGATACTAATGACAGACAAGAAAGACCAAAGCAAGGCATGTCAATATTGGGCCCTATAAGGACTCATTTGCCTTTATATGTAACAAAGAGGCATATTTAGAAGAAGGAATGACGGCATGACCTTCGCTCCTATATAGCGCGCTAGATGCGACTGATAGAAAGATCAGCCTTCTTGTACTTTTTATGGTGGTTTTACCTCTACTAGCGCAGAGACAACCAAACCATCGCACCTTTTTTTAATTGATAGTTGCAGTATTTGCCCTAATTTAGACACACCAATAGAGTACCTGTGTCAAGGCTGAACCCATAGGACCTATAGAATACGCTACACACAGGGGCCAATATTACTCGTTATTCAGCATCCGCACGGTCGGACTTTGTTCCTCTTTTCACCTTTTTATTCGGTTCTCCCAGATAGTTTCAGATAGGTAGAGACCTTAGAGACCTTATACTTTTCAATGCAGATCCATATTATCCTATGATCGGTGATACTAGCTCATACACGTATTCAGCTGACCGACATTTTGCCAGCTGTGGACTGTTACATGTAGGGTCCCGTAAGGGAATTAAGGATCTACGCTACAGCCTCATTAGAGAGGCTAACCGGGCCCTTAAATAATGAACAAAGAAAGTATAGGACTGAGATCAAGCAGAAAGGGCAAGCTGGGTTCTCAAAGAAGATCTTAAAAAGTGTAGGCTTATTATAAATTCTGCGATAGCAAATGAATTGCAAATTCCATGTACAAACAGTAATACAACTGCATAGCAATGAAGCACACAGAGAATATAAAATAAAACAATACAAACCAAAGGGGGGAAAAGGTAGCAAAAATAAGCCAGGCTGTCTCTCCAAGTAAATTAGAGACAAAACTAAATTACATTGCCATCGCAAATCTTCTTATCTTTAAAGTATCTTAGTCCAGAATCACTTTACAAATTAGTATGACTGGTTGAACCACTCCTCCCAGATGTGACATACCTCCAGTAAGCAAGTCCACAGCAGCATTTCTGCACCCTTCCACGAAGGTGCGCGAGACCGCCTCAGGTTTACCTTTAGTTTTTTCAGCTCATCTGCAATCGACTTCGCTCTATAATTAAAGGCTCTATCATTCAGTATGACATTCCTACGGCTGATCGATCCTAGTTCATTTTCAAGGAGCTTATCCTGCTAAATGCTAAAAAGCACTACCAACTCGGGCCTCACAGCATGCATATGCAAGGGCGGATGTGAGACATGCCCCTACACGGGAGGTAGATGCACGAGGATACAACGAATGTCAGACAGTGCATGGGAGGGTAAAACATTATTTCTCTACATGGCATGCATATGCAAGGGGAGACGTGAAATATGCCAGGCGTCGTACTTGGCAAGGAAATATAAGTACTGACAATAAACAGGGCAAGGCGACATGCTCCACCTACAACAATACAGATCAATCTCGATCTCAATCAATCGCACTGGCGGCTGACCATCAGCCACAGCCATTGAAGGATTCCATTCCTGGAAGCATCGATCCCCCTTTGGTAAACATGGCCAACGAATGGGTCGAGGCTGCTGCCCCTCTACAACCACAATCAATCCAGCTAGCACCCCTGGAGCAATATTCCCCCCGGCTATTTATTAGCGCTGTTCTGTGCTTTCACATTCCACCCTCCTCCCCCTTTTTTGCTGAAGACATCTATTCGCGGTTGCGAGTCGGCCTGAGCCGAACCCTGGTCCAGGTTCCTGTGCTGGCCGGGCGAATATACAACAGCGCCGAAGCCGATGGGAAAGCGACCATCCGAATCCACTCAAACGCGAGGGTGGAGTTTTCCTTCCGGCATTACACTAGCGGGGACCTGCTTGCGCCGTACAGCTTTGCGCGCCTGAAAGTCCAGCAGTTCCCGATTTTTAGTCCGACCTGCCTAACAATTGACCTGTTACCGGTGTCGCCAGTGGTCGCCGACGACAGCCCAGTTTTCGTGGCTCGCGCGAGTTTTATTGACGGTGGCCTCCTCCTGGCCTTCGGCGTGTCCCATGCCATCGCAGATGGGACTTCTGTCGGGATTATTCAGAAGATCTGGGCTCACCATACGCGCAATGCAAAGACGGCCATGCCCAGTGTCCTCTCTCCGTTGCCTTTTGATAAGGATCGTGCCCGGCTCTTTCACGGAAATAATCATGGTACTTTATCAGCGATGAGCCCTTGGAGAATCTGCGACCGATCCTGGAACGCGCCGCTGAGCTTAAAAACGCTCGAAACAGCCGCGGCGACACAACTGCCCCAGGATGCTAGCTGGTCCATTGGGCCCCACCGCAGCAAGGCAATCTGGTGCTTCAGTCCCGAGAAGCTGCAAGAGTTAAAGCAATGTGCATCGACCCAGGACCCTAGCCAATGGATCTCGACCTATGATGCCGTGGCGGCCTTGATCTGGCAACGAGCCGCCATCGCCCGGCGGTTGGGCAGTCGTGGGTATCTCACCGCAAGATGCTGCATCCCCGTTGATGTACGCCAGCTCCTGCACCCCCCTCTGCATTCTGAATTCGTGGGGAACGCTGTGGACACCATGTTTGCTGAGCACCCAACATCTGAGCTCAAGCGCCCAAGCCTTGACCTCTTGCCGGCGCTGGCGCAGAAGATCCATAATGCGCGACGGAACTGGCGTCTTTCCGACTGGCAGTCCCTGGTGGGAATTGTGGGCTCTCTACCGGCTCATCAAACGCTGAGCATGGACTTCTTACCCGGGGATGACCCGAGCATTGTCGTCATCGACGCGTCGAAGTTGCCCTCCTACCAGCTCGACTGGGGAGAAGGGCTGGGTTTGATCCATCATTTCCGAGCACTAGATTTAGATAGCGACGGATCCATCTCCCCGGTCTCAATCGCCTGCATACTCCCAAAGCGACCGGATGGTGGACTGGAGGTAATGACGATCTTCAGCGATGAGGTGGTGCAGACTTTGAAGGCGGACTCGAATTTCACTTCTTTTGCCGCGTACCGCTGCGGGAAGTCACCCCGTCCGATGGCGCTCTTATAAAGTTTTCTTTGATTAGGGCAACCTGTAGACGTTCTCCATATATGAGGGCTGACCATTGCATATGTCAATGTATCAGGGCTCTTTGTTCCTAGGGTATGCATTTTAGTTGTGGAAGGAGCTTCCGTCAGCCACTCCACTTTATCAGGGATTCTCTACTGGGCATGGGAAGCCATAGACAGAGAGCCAGCCATCTTACTAGCACACAGCACCGGAAGTTTCAAGGTTAAAGGGGTATCTTTCCAGTGGAGAGGGTTCTGGTTGTCTAAACCTTCCGTTGCGCGACTGACATGTGTTTGGCGAGATGCCAGTGACAGATCCTGAGTGAGAAAACCTGATATACTTCACCAGAGCTTCTAACCGGAAAATAAATATATAAACCCAGTTCACTAGTTAGGGGAGGGGGAGCGAGGTGCACTGGAGCACTTATGTAAACAGTTATATCGGAACTACTTCACATGAAGCCATTATTCTAATCCATGAAATCTAACCAAGGAAGAGCTCTATCTATACCTATTGTGATACGGGGACTATTGAATATGGTCTGAAAACAAATTGTATAATATAACTATTCTCCGCGCATTTGCTTAGTGAGATATGCTTCTCGGATGATATTTAGTACGCATTGTTAGTTCAGCTCCTAATTCACTTGGGAATAGCTCAGTGGAACAATCAGGAACATGGTTGCCCTGGTTTTTTATTGTAAAAGAGTCTCCTGCCAGATTAACTGCATCTATATTGGATATACTCTGCGAACTCCGCATCCTGTTTCAATCTCTCCGTTACTTGATCGTCAGCGGATATAAAAATCTCCAAGCCACCATCACGCAGGCGAGGGGAAATGTTAACTAGCCCATCAATCATTGGTAGCCATGGAGGACGGATTGCTCGCGGATATTCTAAATTTTTACCCCAGAAGCTGGAATAGAGGGGGACAGTTGAGATATTCGTGATTTGCAGGGCATTATGCTCAACGTGCACGCTCCGAATAACATCTCCTACACGTGGATAAGCTTGCATGGAGCATAAAAGGCTTCCTATATTATCGGGAGTCCACCAGCTAATGCTTTCCATAACAGCTGATGAGATTTGGCCAATAGCATCTGAATCGGATGAGTGGAGCTGGACAGGCGACATCAATGCCCTGCAGTCAACAATGGCGTTGCCGGGATAGTCGGGATGGAGCGGAGGGTCAAGGCGGGATCTGGCGTCACAAGTCGTGAAAAGGGCAACCTTAACGTCAAGATGCTGCGGGCACCTCGCTTTGGTATAATGGCGCCAAATAAAAGCCGAAAGAACGCTGTTTTCTGTTCCTACGGGGCTGTTTGCGCTTCTAGGCTTTGCTTTTTCCTGTAGTTCAAGGAGTTTGTTTTTGGGAATGTGCCAGCACGTTATCGTAGGAATTCCAGAGCTTTGAGAGCATCCGGGTGCTTTCACTCCATTATCCGACCCTGATGATTGAAGCATTTGCACATCTGTGAAACCTGGAAATTCACAAAGTCTGCGACGGCACCCGTGAACAGGAAACAAGGGCCAGCGCTCCAGGGCCTTGGTTGTGCATGTCTCTGACGCAGAGACGATGTGACCTTCAGAAACAGCAGTGGTTTGTCGAGACCAGATTTTCCAAAGAACAGCTACCCCGGGTCCATCGACTACCGAATGGTGGAAATTGAGTCCGAGGATCAACCCACCGCAGATGAAATTCGCTTGGACAGTGAGACAGGGAAGGCCTTGCTGAGGTAAATGTTCAAGGAGAAGAACCGACGCATCGAGCTTTGACGGGGGGAAATAGCCTCTCTCAAGTTCACTAAAATCTAAGGAGCGATTTTCAACATCTCGCAAGTTTTTGACTTGGAATGGAACGCCGGCGTCCCCTGTGATGTGTAGTTCAAGCGTGTTATGTGCGGCATTCTCCACTTCTAGGTATCCTGCGAGAAAATACATGACATCCAAAGTGTTGGCAAGACCCTGTTTTAGCTCTAATGATAGTTCTTCAACTGGAATATTTGTTTTCGTTTTGAAGAATAATAACAACGGTAGGTAGCCGCGTGGAGCGAACTGGTCGAATGGAGAGAGCTTGATAGTCTCAGGCACCAGTGGGAAGTTGGGCCGTACGTACGTTGGTTTCGTATCCATGACCGCTGAAGTAAGATGCGAAGAGACTTAGATCTGCCACCGCAGGGTTCTGTAACCCATTTCAAAGAGATATCTTTAGATGCGCAAGAAAAGAACGGGGGAAATGTTGCATGACTTGAAAGAAATGGGTAATATGCTAATCTGCGAAGGAAGTGGACACGCCGAGCGATCTCATAGGTCATCATTCGATATTAGCATTTGATCACATTGTTCCATCTTGATAAAATTTTAGCTTGATCTGCTGAAACATTCCTCAGTTGGCAATGCATTAGCATGCATGCGGATGCGTATCGAGTAATTTTTGGACGATCCAGAAATGTGGACTATTTCCCTTCCCTAACATGACCGCCCTCCTTGCGTTGGATGTTAAGCCGGAAGGTGCTTTGGTTAAACCGCCCACATTGTAGTTGGGTTTGGACTTTCACGTATCTGTTTCCTTCAGCAGGTGGCAGTTTAGAAAGACAATACTCAAGGTCAAGAGCATAAAAGCAGGCCACTTGTGTCAAACCACGTGCTAGTTGGCACCAAAGCTTCTCTACTATTTTTCTTTCCTTTACTAACAGGGTGGATTGGGAATGAATTTATCTACCATCCCAAATATATAAAGGAAGACTGGCTAGTTCCTTAATATCTTCGGGAATTCGTGGAACATGCGGCAAGAAATGCACGGCGAACGCACCGGCGGCAACAGCGATAGCTGTAGAAGTCGTTCGGAACCAATAGCAATTGTCGGCATGGGCTGTCGTTTATCAGGGATGGCAAGTAGTCCAGAAAGACTTTGGCATATGCTGATAAACGGGCTGTCCGGATGGTCCTCATCGGCTGACTCCCGGTTTGAATTGAGCTCCTTCCACCACCCGGCAACTGGGACAAGTGGTGCAGTATGTGCAGTTTTTATCAGTGAGATCTTAGCTAACTTCCGTCAGTTCAATACCAGGGGCTTGTATCTGCTCACGCAGGATGTTTCGCATTTTGATCACCAATTCTTCAAAATTAGTGCAACAGAGGCGGCTTCTATTGATCCCCAGCAAAGGCTACTGCTCGAAGTTGCGTATGAGGCATTTGAAAACGCTGGCATATCAGCGGAGGCGTTGTCTGGAACAGAGACTGGGGTATATTGCGCAATATCGAATCATGATTATGAGACTATGCAGGGTCGTGACCCTGAATTATCTCCAAGGTGAGCCACATAAACCTGTGACCGGGGCAAGATGCAGGGCAAGGTCGGGAAACCAGACACAGAGTTGACCGCGTGCAATCGAATAGGTACCGTTTCACTGGAACTGGTGCCGCCCTGGCCTCCAATCGAATCTCATATTTCTTTAATATGAATGGTCCCAGTATCACCTTTGATACGGCCTGTTCTGGAAGCCTTGTGGCGATACATGCAGCCTGCCAGGCGATTCGATATGGCGAAATCAGACAGGCGCTTGTGGGCGGCGCAAACCTGATTCTTGATCCTGAGCGCATCAGCGTGATGTCCTCAATGGAGTACGTATAATGTCGAACGTGTTGAGGTTGGCGTACAGATAAAAATTGACAATTGCATAGCGTTCTCTCCGATCACGGGCGTTGCTATGCATTTGACAGTCGCGCGGACGGCTTTGGGAGAGGTGAGGGAGTTGCTGCGATCGTCCTCAAAGTACTAGATGACGCCCTTCGGGATGGGGACACGATACATGCAGTAATCCGAGGGACTGCTGTCAATCAGGATGGTCGTACGCCAGGGATTATGGTACCATCTCACTCGGCCCAAGTCAAAATGATCTGCCGTGCCTATCAAGAGGCAGATCTCGATCCAAGATACACAACATATATTGAGGCGCATGGTATGATGTCTACGGCGGGGATTGCCCACACGGCTCTGAAATGCTGATGTCGGCGTAGGAACTGGGACGCGTATGGGCGACATGATAGAATCATCTGCAATTAACGAGGTCTTCTCTCGTGATCGCCCTGATGATTCTCCGCTGTATGTCGGCAGTGTCAAGACAAATGTCGGTCATACGGAGAGTGCAGCTGGCCTAGTAGGGCTAATTAAGACAGTCCTTGTGCTGGAAAATGGGGTTATTCCGCCAAATTTGAATTTTGGCATTGCCAATCCTGAAACTTCGCTAGATCAATTGCTCATAAAGGTTAGGATGGATGAGACTCTTTTGCCCACAGATTCCAATTTTAACTAGAAGCCAGGTACCGGAAACCTTGCATAACTGGCCGCATAATGGGGCACGGCGTGCGTCTGTCAATAGCTTCGGATATGGGGGAACGAACGCACATGCCATTCTTGAAGAAGCAGGACCTTGGAGATTTAGGGGATATGGGCAACGACAAACTTCGAATGACACGGCTGACGTCCTTAACAGTAGCACCGCCATGGGCTCAAGTAAAAGTGTGGCAGGAAGACGATTCCTTATTGCATTGACACATGCGATGGATTCCGGAATCAGCAGGTTAGCGACAAACCTGAAGAGGTATCTGTTGGGTGCTAGATCCGAACAAACAATTCTCCCAAATTTAGCCTACACTTTGGGCGAACGAAGATCCCGGTTCGATTTTCGCGTGGCTATAAGCACCGCAACGATGGACGAACTGATTAACGCCCTTGAGGATGTTATCCACGGGTCCATGCGTCCTCAGAAGGTGGTTCACGGTCTAAGAATGGCCTTTGTTTTCACTGGTGAGAGTCATGCATGACCATGATAAGGACCAAGCTAAATTAACCACGTCTAGGACAAGGAGCGCAGTGGGCTCGTATGGGCCAGAGACTCTTGGATGTTTATCCAACGTATGCTAGGGCTATTAGTAAGGCCGAGAAACATCTTAAAATGCTAGGTGCTACCTGGTCGCTTGAGTCGGAGTTGGCACGAACCTCCGCAGAGAGTCGAATAAACGAAGTCTCTATTTCACAGCCTTGTTGTACTGCGGTCCAACTGGCTCTCGTTGATTTGTTACGAGAGTGGAATATCTATCCACAGATTGTATGTGGTCACTCAAGCGGGGAAATTGCTGCTGCCTATGCTGCTGGGTTTTTGTCTTCCTTGGACGCATTACGCATCGCGTTCTACCGTGGAAGTATACTGGGTCGATTGAAGGAACAATATCCTCACATTAAAGGTGGTATGCTCGCAGTAGGTATGCCATCGGATCTGGCCCTCAAATACATATCCCAATTTGTGACGAACTCTCGTAGCGCTGAGGTTATCGTCGCTTGTATTAATAGTCCAGAGAACGTGACTTTGTCAGGGGACACGCTTGTCCTGGAAAAGATAAGAGTGAGTCTTAATCATGATGGAATATTCAACCGTCCCCTTGCTGTGGATGTTGCGTACCATTCCCATCACATGTATATGGTTCAAGAAGAGTACTTCGACGCGATAAAAGCCGTTCAGCCATTGAAGCCCAACGGCCATGTACGAATGGTTTCATCTGTGACTGGTAAAGTGTGTGAATGGTTTGAGATGGGTGGCTCGTACTGGGTTGATAACTTAACGTCGCCGGTTCGGTTTGTGGACGCTATTGAAAGCGCGCTAGCAGTGTCGTGCAATATCAAGAGCGATACTCGACATACGCTGGATATTGTTCTGGAAGTAGGTCCACATTCAACTCTCAAGGGTCCACTGCAGCAGATTTTCAAGCGGAATGCAGGTATTGCTCCTCCGCGTTACGAAACAATTCTCCTTCGGAATAGGGATGCAGTTGGAAGTGCGGTCGGAATGGCTGGACGCATTTTCACCCTCGGATGTGATGTGTGCTTTGGTAGCATTAATGATCCTTCACACAGTTCCGAAAAGAAGGTGCTAACAAAACTACCGGGGTATGACTGGGAGCATTCCAGGACTCATTGGAATGAGAGTAGGATGAGTTATCAATATCGACAACGACAGCTTCCCCGACATGATCTCCTGGGAGTACCAAGCCATGATAGCCACAGTATGGAGCAGGTGTGGCGTAATTACTTGCGATTGTCTGAAATGCCCTGGTTGTGTGGACACAAAGTTAACAATCAGATGATATTTCCTTCCAGTGCCTACATCTGTATGGTAGTGGAGGCCCTTCGTCAAACCACTATAAGGAACGGTCGTGCATGGAAAAGGGACCAGATCTGCCGCTTCAGGGAGGTCTTTGTTGAAACCGCACTTATTGTTTCCGACGCCGGCAGTGGAATTGAGATTTTGTTGACCGTGAGACCCTATATCGAGTCTGCTACTGAATTATCTCCAGACTGGAAGGAGTTCAGGGCTTTTTCGCTATCAGATACAGGGAACGCAACCTTGCATTGTCGGGGACTGGTTCTTTCACAGCCGGCGCATACCTCGAACCAGGTGGACGGCGGACGTGAGATCACTTTCCTGAGAGACGCGGACCGGAAGCAGTTTGCAGTTGAAGGACAGGGCCACCAAAGTTTTATGGGACGCGAGCAGTTCTATCGGAAACTCAGGTGTATCGGACAAGAGTATACCCCCCCGTTCGATAACCTTTTTGATATTCGCGCCGGAAAATCTGCGTCATTCTGCAAATTCAGCATCCCGGACACTAGGAAATCAATGCCTGCAGAATTCCAACAATCCCACGTCATCCATCCAGCGGTTCTGGATTCCTGCTTTCAGTTGCCTTTAGCCTCGCTTCTCTGTGCGGGAAAGGCGCATTCTGGTTTTGTGTTATCAAGCATCTCCGAAATAACTATATCTACAAACGTGAGCTCTGAACCGGGAAGCTTGCTCCGAGCCACTGCCACTGTGGAGCCATTCAGTCGCTCGAAACCACTCGCTGATGTGAAGGTCGGAAACCACGATCTAAGCAACCCCTCACTTATCAGTATTAAAGGGCTATGTTTCACGTCCGGCGGCAAATTGAACACCAAGGAGGCAAATCTTTGCTCTCGAGTCAACTGGGCTCCTGATATTACCTGTGCGCAGCCCAGAGACATTCACCAGCTCTGCTATGCAAGAGATCCAGAAGAAGTACTAATAGACCAATGGCCTCTTTACGACCGATACCTCGACATGATTATTCGTGATACTCTCCCACTGGTCTCTCCTCATGATGAAGCCTCCATGGCTCCACATTTCAGGAATTTGTTACGCTGGATGCGGTCAAGACAGTCAACATTCCCTTCTACCGCAGTCTCTAGCCTACGGGATCGAGTACAGTCGGTTCAGCCGTTCGGCACAGCAGTGGTTCAAGTTAGTGACCATTTACTAGATATTCTGCAGGGCCGTGCAGACGCACTCGACGTTCTAATGAAGAATAGCCTACTCTACCAATTTTATCAGGCGGATCACTTTCAAAGGTGTCATGCTCACCTCGCTAACTACGTATCACGGCTTCAGTTCAAGAATCCCAGTATGAGGATACTTGAAATTGGCGCCGGAACAGGCAGTGCGACGCTCTCTGTGCTAGGAGCATTAGGTCTAGGCCCTTCAGGCCATGTGGGGAACACCGTAAAAATGGACAGATTCTTCTTCACGGATATTTCGGCTGGCTTCTTTGAGAAAGCAAAGGAAGCCCTAGCTCAATGGGGCGACGCAATAGAGTTTAAAAAGCTTGACATCGAGCACTCTGTAAAGGAGCAAGGGTTCGCAGAGGGCTCATTTGACCTGGTGATCGCATCCAATGTTCTACACGCCACAAGGCGGATGTCCAACACCCTCCAAAATGTACGGAAGCTTCTGAAACCGGGTGGAAAGCTTGCCTTGGTAGAAATCACAAGCCCACATGACTTTTGGTCACTTGTTATGGGTGTCCTCCCGGGATGGTGGCTCGGCATTGACGACGGCCGAGTAGATTCTCCCCTTCTTCAATTGCCAGAGTGGCATACTCTACTCTGCGAAAATGGTTTCTCCGGTGTGGATGCTGAGATGAAAGACTATGAATCGGCATCTCATCACCAGATAAGTCTAATTGTTTCTACCGTTGTGCCCGAAACAGTTCATGTTGGTCGCATTCCTCCGATACACATCGTTTCGCGACACGAAAACAGCTCTGTGGCGGATAATTTATCAAATCTTATCAAGGTTCAGGCCCCATCATGCCAGATTCAAAAGTCTTATATAGACAATCTGGATCCTACCCCTCACAAATTATATGTGATTCTCCTCGAGATCATCACTCCTTTCCTTGCTTCTTGCACTGCACTGGACTTCCAACGACTGAAGAACCTTTTCAGTGAGGCTAGGCGAATCCTCTGGGTGACTCGAGGCGCTGCAGTAGAGGCAACTGATCCTAAAATGGCAATTATCACAGGCCTTGCACGAAGCCTCCGATCCGAGGACAAGACCCTTGAGATGATCACTCTAGATCTAGACCCATTAGCACGGTGCAGCCCTGAAGACATGGCACAGCATATCCACAGTGTCCTTGAAGGTATGTATCTTCAACCTAGTGACGAAGGTGCATCTTTGCACGAGCACGAGTACGCAATACGTAACAATAAGATTCTGATACCCCGAATTATGGAGGATGCACCCTTGGAAGAGTACGTTCGGAATCGATCGTTCAACAACGAACCACAGCGTGCGGAACTCCAGCAATTTAACCGATCCCTGCAGCTGGAGGTCGGCACCCCAGGATTGCTAGAGACACTACGCTGGGTGGAGAGCCCCACCCATAGCAGAAAACCTCTCCCGAATGAAGTCCGTGTCGAGATGGAAGTGTTTGCCCTCAACTTCAGGGACATAATGTCTGCAATGGGACAGCTGGATGCCCGGGCGGGAATGCTCTATGAAGGTGGCGGCAAGGTCGTGGAAGTTGGTGAAGGCGCCGAACAGGAGTTCCAAATTGGTGACCGAGTGTGTGTCACAAGCACCAGTAGTTTGGCAACGAGGAGCAACATAGATATTGCTTTCGTCCATCATGTGCCAGAGGGTATGTCCTTGGAAACGGCAAATGCGGTTCAGATTGCCTATGCAACCGCGCTCTATGCATTGAGAGATGTTGCGCATCTCCAAAAAGGGGAGACAATACTAATTCATTCGGCCATGGGTGCTCTTGGACAAGCCGCAATTGCCATGGCAAGATATCTCGGGGCAGGGGATATTTTTGTTACCGTTGGTAATGCTCATAAGAAGTCTTGTCTGATCCGACGTTTTGGTATACCGGAGAAGTACATTTACTCCAGTCGCGCTGTGTCTTTCAAGCATGGAATCCAGCGTCAGACCAAGGGTAGAGGGGTAGATGTGGTCCTCAATTCGCTCAGTGGTGAAGCCACCCGTGAGAGCCTGGAGTGCCTTGCCAACTTCGGGCGTTTTATCGAGGTAGGCAAGGGCCAACTGCTGTCAAACAGAAGAATGGAGCTTCAGAGCCTTGAGGGAAATAGAATCTTTGCCACAGTGGACCTCTTAAGCTGGGCAGATCACAAGCCGTCGGAAATGAAGAAACTTTGTGCAACTGTGCTCGACTTGATTCATACGCTACAGGTGCCTCTCTTAGCACCAATTACAATAAATCCAATCAGTAATCTGGTGGAAACTTTCCGATCCATGCAGACAGGGAAGCATTTGGGCAAAATTGTCTTGCAAGTAGACAGTCAGTCTCAAGGTCTAGTACGTTACTCGCATAGCGTAGACGGATATATGAGACTTCAAACTGATATTCCTCAGGTTTTACCTCCGACTCCTGTACCATGCCGGTTGAAAAGTGACTGCGCATATCTTATCGTTGGAGGACTGGGTGGCCTGGGAAGAGCAATTGTCCGACATTTCGCCAGCCTCGGTGCCAGGAATATCGTTGTCTTGTCTCGCTCTGGTGTAGCAGAAAGTGCTGAAAGGCTCCTTCTTTCCCAAGAAATGCACGAGGTCGGCATAAATCTCATGGTCCATCAAGGCAGCGTTGGCAAACTGGATGATGTCCAGAAGGTCAGAGATATTACAGGAACTATGGCTATCCGCGGCATTGTCCATGGAGCCATGCACTTACAGGTAAACTCTCCATAATTTACCTCACACTGGCTACGACTAAGGAATGTGGCATCAGGATTCCATTTTTAGAAATATGTCTCGTGCCCAATGGCAAGCGTCAATAATGCCTAAGGTCCAAGGTACCATTAATCTTGACCGAGTATTTGGAAATAGTCTCGATTTTTTTGTCATTCTCTCAAGCCTAGGGGGTATCATCGGCTCCAAGGGCCAAGCCAATTACTGCGCGGGATGCACATTCCAGGACGCTTTTGCTCGTCACCGCGCATCCCTCAGCAGACCAGTCCGTACCATTGATCTCTGCGCCATAGATTCTGAAGGCTACACCGCCGAAAATCAATTTGCCGCAGCTCATGCTATTCGCCAAGGCAGCCAGATGATGAACCTGGAGAAGCTCTTGGCGCTGCTAGACCACGCCATCTCATGGCCGCTTCCCACGGAGGCCACTACCGCACAAGTCGTTACCGGAGCTCGACTCCAAGATTCTGCGCATGTATTCGGTTCCAGTGAGGCAGATCCACGGTTTTCCCACACGTGGGAGCGTCATTCTCGCCAGAATGTCGTTAGTGATAAAGGGGATGAGGGGGATCTGTTCTCTCGCTTACAGGAGGCTTCAACCCAGCAAGACGCTCTCAACATAGTGCAACGTGCGATTATCACGAGGATATCGAAACTTCTCGACGTTCCGACGACCGATATCAACCCCAGGCAGACTGTGTCGAGCTACGGAATTGATTCCCTAGTCGCAGTGGAATTCCGAAACTGGATTCTGAAACACTTGGAGGCGAACGTACAGTCGTTTGAGCTCTTAAGTGCGTTTTCCATCCAGGAGCTGGCTCAAATAATAGTTGAGAGGTCCAAATTCGTTCCTCCTGCTATGCTTGTCGCAAAAAATTAGTCTGCTCCCCTTGGGGCCAAGCATATGCCCTAGGACCCTTTGGGTTGATTTACATTTACGGTCTGCAGGTGAATTGGTTATTTAGGGTGCAAAAACCGTAGATCGAGATCGGAGCTTGTCAGCATCCAGTAACCAGTGGAGCATTAATAACTCAACAACCAAGTACCCGGAAGAGATTTGATTTTGTCCTCCATTCCAGCGCTGATAATGTATGTTTGGTTGTCTGGAATACAAATTTGCGTTCTACAGTAACTGCAACTTACATCACTAGCGGTCGCGGTCGCGCTATGTGACCCTCATATTAGTTCTTTTGTACTGAGGCATATTGCCATATTAAAGATATTAGATGGTTAGAAGAATTAGATCGCACCGTAAGTCGTGACATGGCGTATAGCGCCAACAGGCCATTCCTACATGTATGAATTTAGTGTCAAATCAATCAAATAGAGACATCTATGGACAGATTGTTTCGCTTGGTAATTCCATGTGGAATATTGCACTGTTTGTATTATTGCCTAGTAAATAATTTGAACACGTAGAATACATACCTGGTATATTTTATATAGCCTGCATCGGCAACTTAAGAATATGCAGCATCCGTTTACTATTGCTGAAGCTACTAGTGTTCAAAGACTGGTCAGTCAGTGTAATAGTAGGTGGCCCGCGCGCCCTGCCAGCGCCAGGGGCGCAAAAAAGACGATCACGGGTAGAGTTTTCTTGGCACTTTTTCTACGGTACGGTACGGGTTTTGTCGTAGGCAGGTCCGCTCCGGAATAAGATGGTCATGGGTAGACTACTCCGGAGTAAGTCGCTTCTAACCACAATGGGCTTCTCTGTGGGGTGGACTTTATACCTATAATACACTTTACCTGTAGGGCATGTGTCTAGTAACGCTGTAGTATATAGCAAGTATAAATAATACCTTACCTGAAAAATATTATATATAAATAATGCACCCTGGTTGGTAGTTTCCTGGTCAGCCAAGATTATACACAATTATTAAATACAAATAGAAATAAAAATAAATTCTAATTAAATTACTGTGCATTACCTGTTTTACTAAAATTAAGCAAGCTACTAGTCGATGCTAAGAAAATCGTATTATGGGTACAAAAATTAATAAATATACCTCATCATGGGTGGAGAAGCCGGGTGCGGAGCTGATCATGGGTACGGAGTAGAAACATACCAGAACCATGCCGATAGTTATTCCATTCCGACCTCCACACCGATTACCAGCCCACCAGCGCCTTTGGCCGAAACGATCAGATGGAGCATGGACGATGCTACCACACTTTCACGACCCAGTTTCTTTACCACTCAACATTCCACACGCATCTCAATCGTCTTTTTTTTTTTTTTTTTTTTTTTTGGACCCATCAAAACTGAGCCCATTGCTTTTCTAGGATTCAAAATCGAAAGTTTATTTTGACTATATCATACTATCTGCGATAACTACCGCTCGGGCTGGTAAGGTAAGGACTAGTAGGAGAACTACTTAGTTTGGCAGGATACTCTGAATTAATAGATTCTACATATATGACTTCATCGAATGATACGCGATCCGGATGGAGCGACATCTTTACAGCGCATACATCCTAATCAGCGTTGCATGCCTCTGGGCAGCTCGTCCCAGTTTGGGCGAATCAGCGGCCCGCATTGCCATGCCCAAGCAGTTCGTTCCATGGATTATTGGTGTTGCGACCCTTGACACAACGATGCTTGGTATTTGGGAGATCATCCATCCTACAACGGGAGTACTGTCTTGGGTCACCACTTCTTGGCCTCTAAACGTCTTGCAGGTCTCGGCCGGTTTTGTCTACCTCTCAATCGTCGTGGCTTCGGTGTATACGGGGGCCCGATCGTTCAAAAAGACAAACTTTTTTGAAAAATAATAATAATAATAATAAAATAAAGCCCTTGCCCAGCTACTTCATGCATTAATAGTCTGAAGCTAGTTCGATGGGGGAAATCCGAGTGTCTGTATGATCACTGTTACCCAGGAAACTGCCATGCGCAACGAGGGTATATTCGAGAATCAAATAGAGGGATCCCGCACTTCAATGCATAAAGGGAAAGAAACCGAGGACATATCCAAGCCTACTACTCTGGCCACGTACCTGGTAATTTCCGATCCTTCTGCCTCGCCATTTCGCCATTATTTGTTGTCCTGTGGTGCGTGACTACTAATCAACCCTTCTCGCTGCGCAGCGAATCCTCTCCTATGGCTCGAGGGATGGCGGGATCTTTGCAATGATCGTCGGCCTAATATGTGCGGTGGGGTCTGGAATTGTACGTCGACCGGAGTCGACTCATCAGGTAGAACTTGTTAATGACCAGTTAACTCCTCGGCTAGGCTCTTCCTATTGTCAACATCATCTTTGGACGAATCGTGGGCGACTTCAATTCATATTTTACGCCCGATACGAGCTTTAATGAACATACGTTCAAATCATCTATCAACAAAAATAGGTCTGGTCTTACAATAATCGGTTTGCACACACATAAACTAAGCTCCTCGCAGTCTTTACATCGTGTACCTGTTTATCGGCAAGTTTGTGCTCACATATATTTCTATGGTTGGTGTACCACTCACTCCTCTTGAAGCATGGAGTGCCTTACATGACGGCAGATATGTTTTCGGATGATCAGTTTGCGTGCATCTGCCGCCCTACGAATAGAGTATACCAAAGCCCTATTTTCACTTCCCCTAAGCAAATTGGACGATATCTCGCTGGGTACCGTGACGACCGCGATAACAACACAGTCGAATGTCATACAACAAAGTGTCTCGGATCGACTTGCTATTCTTTTCCAGTCGGTGGCGGTGCTTATTGCATCGTATACTATCTCCTTTCGATACTCATGGGCACTGACACTTGTTGTCAGTTCAGCTATTGTCTTTCTGGCTCTCTGCTTTTGCCTGACGGTACCGTTCCTGGTTAAAAGCCAGGAATACGTAGATGAAGCCAATAATAAGCACGCTGCCATCGCGGCCGACACTTTTACCTCGATACGAACAGTGCTTTCGCTAGGCGCGGAGGGTTCGATGGTCCGAAAGCACTCCCAGTGGATTGATGAGGCCTGCAGACGCGGCTGTCGAATGTCCCTAATGAGCGGAATTTACCTTGCAGCCCTTTTCTTCACAATCCATGTTAGCTTCGTGCTGGCTTTTTGGTTCGGCTTAAGGCTTTACCGAGAAGGCCACATTGCAAGTGTTAATACTGTGATCACGTATGCTTGCCACTGCTGGACATTACCGTTGCTATTTATTTTATTTTATTTTTTCCTAACTCCAAAATAGGGTGTTATTTTCTGTCTTACTGGCAGTCACAATTATGGGAGGCATTGCGGTACCATTAATGGCTATCTCGAAAGCTGTTAGTGCCTCTGGGACGTTCTTTAGTGTGATTGACTCCGAGCGGGCCCCAATGCATGGTCTGCGCGAACCTGATGTGTCCAGTCAAGCCGATATTACTTTCAAGGATGTCACGTTTGCCTATCCTACCCGACCAAATACACCTATTCTGAAGAGGTTTAATGCACGATTCAGGTGCGGTAGAACCACCGCGATTGTCGGTCCATCGGGCTCTGGGAAGAGCACCATTATTGGATTAATTGAGAGATGGTATCTAGTTCAAGCATTTCCGGACAGTACTCTCAACCCTATACGAGGCCAGATCCTGGTAGACAACCACAATATCAACGAGCTGGAGATCAAATGGTGGCGGTCTCAAGTTAGATTAGTTCAGCAGGAGCCGTTTCTTTTCAATGACTCCATCTTTAATAATGTTGCTTTTGGACTGATAGGGTCAAAATGGGAAAATGGATCCGAGACTATGAAGATGGAGATGGTTCGCGCCGCTTGCAAGGAGGCCTTCGCTGAAGAATTCATTGAACGACTCCCCGAGGTATCTTCCCTATCTCTGGATTCTATGTCCGATCATGACGGATAGGTAGAGCTGATGTCACTTTCAAGAAATATGGTACTATAGTGGGCGAAGGGGGTATCACTCTAAGTGGTGGTCAGCGCCAAAGACTTGCCATTGCTAGAAGCATTGTCAGTCAACCGCCCATCCTAATCCTCGATGAAGCGACAAGCTCAATCGATATTCGAGGTGAAAGGATTGTACAGGCCGCTCTTAACCGCGTGTCTAAAGACCGCACCACAATCATAATAGCGCACCGTATCTCGACGGTTCTCAGAGCAGATAATATTATTGTGATGCAAGACGGTAAGTGTGTAGAATATGGTTCTCATTATGAACTCATGCACCAAGATGGGGTCTATCACAGAATGGTAAACGCGCAGCAGCTGGAGCCTCTACATGAAAATCAGGAAAGCAGATTTGATGATGTGTTCTGGTCCCAGAAGGAAGAGTTGTGGCCACAGGATTACCCAGTCGACGAGAAAAGGGAGTGCGACAATCCGGAGGTGCAGCAAACAAAAAGCAAAAGTTTCTTCCAGAGCTTAGCTGTAATCCTTTATGAGCATCGTGCTTATTGGCTTCTATTACTTATAGTCCTTATGTGCGCAGTTGGGGGTGGATGTAAGAGTCCCAGTTTATGTCACTGTCGAGTGAATTCACACTAACAGACTATACTTAGCTGGATACGCATTGCAGAGCTGGCTCTTCGCCAAGATGATACAAGTCTTCCAATTCACGGGCCAGACGCTCACAGATGCGACTAATTTCTGGGCCCTGATGTTCTTTATCCTCGCCGTCGCCATAGCTGCCATTTATTTTACTCTGGGAATCTCCTCAAATAGAATCTCTGTGGTAATCCAACCACCCTGCTCTCCCTGTTGTCATCTCGAGGCAGATAGCTAACGAAAAGGAGAATATTGGATCTACCTACGGCAAGGACTACTTTTTCAATATGTTGCAAAAGCCCGTGTCATACTATGACCGCGATGAAAACTCGTCGGGGAATCTAGCCGCCCGGCTCTCGTTAGACCCGAAACAACTGCAAGACCTGTTTGGCCCGATGGGAGTGTCTCCTATTATCTCCTTATTTAATATTATTGGATGTGTTTTCATCTCATTTTCCTTTGGATGGAAACTGGCGGCGGTTACATTTTTTTGGAGCGACACCCTTTATCCTCTTCGCTGCCTTTATGCGCATGCGCTATGAGACCCATTTTGAGTCCATGAATGCTGAAGTCTACGCTGAAAGTTCGAAGTTTGCAACGGAGGCTATCCGCGCATTTAGAACCGTTACATCCCTGACTATGGAGACTTCGATTATTAGTCGATACTCCACCTTATTGAAGGAACAAAGAAGGAAGGCATTCCGCAAGTCATGGTATGCGACATTTATTTTCGCATTATCTGACAGTATCGAGTTCGGTGCCATGGCACTTACCTTTTGGTAAGATTCTGTTTTCAGTTCTTAGACGCCGGTTTGACTGCATGAGCTCACTAGGAGCACCAAAACACAGGTATGGTGGGCAGCTTCTAGGATCAAAGGAGTATGACCCGGTTGCATTCTTCGTCGTGTACATCGCAATCATCCAAGGGGGTCAGGCAGCCGGCCAATTCCTTTCTTTTGGGCCTAACGTAGCACAGGCCAAGGCCTCCGCCAGCCGCATTCTCTCCGCTCGCCATCCAATCGAGGGACAGTTTGAGAGCCCTTCCATGGAGCGCCTGCCACATGGCCTATGTCCGTCGATTGAGTTCAGAAATGTCACCTTCCGCTACCCATCCCGCAATGTGGTGACGTTTGCCGGCCTCAACATATTCATTGAATCTGGTCAATTTGTTGCATTTGTTGGTCCTTCAGGCTGTGGCAAGTCCACGGTAATTTCCCTCCTAGAAAGATTCTATGACCCCGTCGAGGGCACTGTTCTCTTCGGTAGTCGAGACATCACCTCTATTGAACTATCATCTTACCGAAATGTCTTATCTCTTGTAGGTCAGGACCCTAAGCTCTTTGAGGGAACCATTCGGGACAATTTGCTTCTTGGTGTCCAGGACGCCAGTGACTCCCTTACTGAAGAGCGGATGATTCAGGCCTGCAGGGACGCCGAGATCCACGATTTTATCTTATCTCTTCCCGACGGCTACCAGACCAGGCTTGGTGTTAACCCGCAACACTCAATTAGTGGTGGTCAGAAGCAACGTCTCTGTATTGCCCGAGCGCTTATTCGAAACCCCCGTGTTCTTTTGCTAGACGAGGCAACGTCGAGTCTAGATTCGCAGTCCGAGAAGCTTGTACAGAAGGCCATAGAGCACTTAGCAAGTAAAAGGAGCATGACAATTATAGCTGTTTCTCACCGCCTGGCAACTATCCAAAAGGCGGATATGATTTTTGTCTTTGGTGAGGGTGTAGCCAATGAAGGGTCACGAATTCTAGAGAAAGGCTCGCATCACGAACTTCTACGCAACAAAGGCCCCTATTGGCAGATGGTATGCATAGCTACTTGCCCTGTTTGGAGGGGATGGGGGTGAAAAGAGTGCTAACCTTGTCTTAGTGTCAAGCATACGCATTGGACGCGTAATGCTTTTTAATATACGGTCGGCCATGTTCTAGTGAACTAGCCACCGTTAGTTGCTCGAGCTCTTCAGCATCTTCCACGCTGTAGTAATAAACCTTCTATAATGCTGCTTACGGAGCAATATATTATAGAGTAGAGCTCAGGGTATATCTCTATTTGGTATTAATAAACTTGACCCAATAGCCAACTGTATCTATTTACTCGAGTATTTAATCATGTTAGGTAAATAAATCCCCTACTGGGTCGAGCCTGGATTTATAACACTTCCCAGGCCCGATTCTTCTTCAAACTTTCCAACGCCACTGAATGTTAAAGTTGGAGAGCTGAAACTGCGGTTTCTAAATAGCAATAATAGGCATAAGACACTATACTATTCTCTCTTCCAATTACTACTTCAGTCACACGTTGCCCACTAGGATGCTCTATTGGAAGGATTATCGTATTATAGTCTATTCTATGATTGCAGTAAATGGCCCAACCCTTTCTAGCCCGGTTGATTTTGTTCTATATATATTCTGATCTCTTCGATTCGGCCACCCAGAAGAAAACGAAAGTTTCTTACTTGCCAATACCCACCATCCGAACTATCGCCAATTTACACCTTCAATTGGCCTTTTGGGAAATTACAAATTCAATTCTAACATAGTCTTTAGGTTAGGATGCTGTCGTCCATTCTATACCATTTTACACAATCCAGATGTCGTGGCAGCTTGGAAACAATATGTAATAGTTTACAATAACTAATTGAAACGGCTGAAATGATTTGATACTCTCTCTCCTTGCGTTACCTTCGGGTGTACGCCGAGCTACTTAAGTAGGCTTGTGACCTGTGATCCGCCGGGTCCATGTTAATGTCCAACCAGTCCGCGTACACAGATCTTCCCAGTTGGATTTCTCCCGTGGCAATGGGGTCCGTCTTCCGCACATTTTCATCCCTGAAGACGCTAACATTATATTTGGTTCCAGGTTGGAAGTTCCACCCAGAGACAATAGGGAGAATTTGTCCGTTCTTCACCACCGGCCAGTGTTATCTGGTTAGCGGTCTGTGTGGTATACAGACATCGGTGTTCGGAGAACTTACATCGGTTGCAGAGACTTCTCAGAGACGGTATCAAGAACCCCAATCACTCCCGATGATAGTTTCTGCTCAGTCAATGGAGTGACGAGCGCGGGCTTCCACATCGAGAGTGTTGATGGGATATGTTGGCTGTATTTTAGCTACACTGAGATGAGGAAGAAAAGTATATACAGGACGCGCCGTCGCGAGAAGCTGATGGGGGGCGCCAAGGCGCTAGTGCGCGAGGTGACCCCGAAGTCATGTGACTCAGCCATGTGACTTGCAGACATCAGCCATCACAGTGAGACGATTCCCAGTCAGAGCCTAAGGCCTGCGTGCCAAAGCAATGCAGCTAAAAAGAAGGTTCTCTCCTCCTCCATCCGCGTTCAACTTGATGATCCTCTTGATGCCCATGTCAAGCGCTCGCGGACTGAGAACGTCCTCGTCGTCAGCAAGACTTCCTCTCTCCAGTGGACCATTCCTCGACCCTTCAAGCTCCCAAAGCTTCCCACCGCTCTTGACAAAACTCACAAAATGCCCACCATTACGCTCAGTCGTCGGATCCGCATAGCTGTCGCCGGCCTGTTCGACCGACTTGTGAGCAAGTTCGAATGGCTCGCTGTTGTACAGCATTTCGGCGCGTTTGGTTATATCCAGCGGTATGGCGAGGCTTCGTATCGCCGCGAGATCGGAATCACGCTTGATAAAGTCGACGGCCGGACCGTTGATCAAGCTATGGAGCAGACCGATCGAGCCGCAGGCGTGGCCGATGGTCTGCTTGAACCAGATGACCGGCTCGTCAGGGCCGGAGCCAGTGTAGGGTTCTTTGTTAGCGTCTTCGGCCTTCCGACTTCGATCCCAAGCTGGTGTAAGTGGAATGATGACCAGCAGAGCCAGGGCAGGTCGAGGGATATGTGCGAGTTGTTCGGGTTCATCCAGGGAATAGACGTCGTAGAATTGGAGCTCGGACGATAGACCCAACTTCGTTGCCAATTGGTTCATTACATCGGGGTTGTTCTCTGCCATTTGCGATGAGTTTCTACTCAAAGACAAGTGGTCCATGAGGGCTTAGGTCCCTTACCAAGCATTACCCATGTCTTCTTTTCCATTTTGGGGAATCAATAGATGGAGGACGTCGAGAAGTCAGAAATGTTGGTGTGGAACGGAGAGCTTAAGGGGTATTGAAGCAACGGAGTGAGACTAAATATAGTGGGCGGTAGCTGAGGTTACGTGAGCCGCTCAGACCAACAACACCACAGTGGGCATCTCACTGACAGTTGGCAGGAAGGAGATGGTGTAGAGATTGCAGGATCTGATTCTTAGAGCTATCACAAAACAGGGCGGCTCTGCCCTAAATGGAGTCGCAGGATGAATGGTTCAGACCCACGGTTATGTGGGAAGACTTTGTAGACGCCTGAGCGCTTACAGAGACTGATCGGCCGCTCAGCTGACGCGAGTAGCAGAATGAGGGCACCAATCTCCTGTAATACCATGCGAAGGATATGCTAAAGGAAAAAAGTGGTCCTTCTGCTACTGTGTGCCATGATGATTGGTTCTTCTTGCTCTCTAGAGCCTAACAGGGTCTGACCACTTAATTACTTCTAATTACCGCATACCTTAGGGGTAATTTACTATGGAGCGTTCTTATACCGCTGGGAGCAGAAAAAAGATCGGGCACTTATTAGATCAGACCTGACAGAATTCTGCAAGAGAAAACAATATATGAAAGGATGGAGCTGCATTCCCCCCAGGCATAATTACGAATATTTTCCGCGGACAAAAGACCACGGCGCAGGAAGATGGGATGTTCTGATACATTGGCTTATTCTTATTTGGAGCCTGCTCAAGCAGCCCTCCCAACTGGAGTTGGTTGACGACCTTGAGAGCAAGCTGCAATGCTATGTTTATGACGCCGAACCTATAACAGATGACCCCACTTGCCATTTTGATGCCTTAAGTGTGCTAATCTCCTTGTATAAGATATTCTAATATAATTAGGTGCCTGCAGACATTACATTTAAACTTTTTTTTTTTTTTTTTTTTTTTTTTTTTTTTTTTGTTTTTTTTTTAAAAAAAAAAAAAATTATATATATAGTTAGTTGCTCAAAGGTTAACTTCTCTATATCTCTTTTCATGTCGAATTTGGTTGGAAGCTTCTTAAATAAAATACTAAAGCTCCTTTTACTACTATAATCTTTACTTAGATTGTACGGAACAGCTTCGCGGAATGTGGAATTTGGCCGTTTAACCCTACAATTGTTGTTCAACCCTTCTTAATGTATGTCTTAATATTACTGGCTTTGATCCTACAGGCGCAGATGCGAGTGGAGAGCTTTGAATACCCTCTCCTAGTATACTTTTTTTAAGCTTAATTAACGCACCAACCACACCCCGGAGTATACGCCGAAGCTTTGGAAAGGCTAAAGGCTATCTTCCTATGCCTACCCAGCCATCTAAGGACCCTGTAAAGCTAGAACGGCGATGTGAACGACTAACACGCTATACAGTTACTAAGTATAAAGACTCCGCACTTAAAAACACCACAATTAAGTTATTTCGAACAGTTCTGACAAAAAAAAATACTACCAAGTTAAAGCGCCAGATCTCTTCACACGGAATACTTACACTTAAGGACGCGAATCGAAAGATTTATCAACGTTCTATGGATGAGAATAGGAAGTGGGTAGCCGGCTAGATTACGGCGTGAAAATGCTAGAAAATAGCAACAAGAGCAGGAAAATGATAATTTAACACCAGAAACGTCAAAATCAGTAGCTGGAGGGGACAATAACGTTCTTTTTTTTTTTATTGATTCAGATGGGGATAGCTCTCTACGCGTGTAAATAGTCAAAATATCATGTTGGTGTTGGGACTACCTACGTACAACGCCCTTCGGCGTTGTACGTCGTCTCTGCTACAGATACGTCGTTATTCGCCTTGACCATCGATTTTGAAGTTGCAGGCGAAGGCGTTGATCATCAGACTTATTAGCAGGTTGCTATCGATGAGACAGTCGACATTAGTTTCCCATCACCAACACTGCATTGGGCTCGATATCTACAGTCCCCCAAGTGATATTTGCTCACCCAGGAAGAAATAGCCGCCGACGCCCACCAGGATCTAATTTGCTTTCTCATGCAACGGCATCGTTAGACTAGTCCCTCGGGCCATCTCATCCTCTGCTTCCCGATTGCTGGGGGGCTAGAAGCAACCGCGTCCGGCATATCTCTACGGGAGGCTCTTGCCGATCTTTCTCAGGAGGGGTTGATTTCACAAGACGCAGCGTCCGCGTTCAGGTCACCAGTAGACTTGAGAAATCCCGAGGAAGTATGTCGCGCATTGAGACAATCAGCAGACAAGTGGTCAGTGGAGCGGCACTTTGAGGCGCAAATCGAACATCCGGCATATGTGACGTTCCGAAAGCGTGCAGCCCAGAGCGATGATACTGAAGAGGCCAAGATAGTGTTTTCTCAGAGTGTGCGCGATGCATTTCTTGCCAACGTGTGTTGTGGCAGTCCTAGAGGTTGTGCGCCAGTTCCCCTTGACTGATGGTCAAGCAGTGCAGGATGACAAGTGTATCTTGGATATGCTAGGGAAGAAAATGCAGTCCCGATTCCTGCAGAAGGATCTTAGCATGCCATTCAGGAGCATGCCATTCAGGAGCACGTTTACATTTATCAGGCTGAGGAAGCTCTCGAACAGCGCTTGAGATAGCAATCACGTGGAGGCAAGTGGCATATCAGTATACCTCGCCTCCCAAAACATTAGTGAATTGTGCTCCAATAGGTGGTCATATTAGCGTCCAATGCCCCTGGTATTGCATGCCCAGTAAGTAGATTCGCAGAGCACTGCTGCGTATCCAGGGTAGAGTCCCAAGGATCTGTTGCCGTGTAGGGCCTGCATGCCCAGCTAACAGGCTCGTTATACTAGGCTCCTTCCTTTTAATGGGGAATGTAAATTTTGGCCCGTAGATCTCATGTTTCTTAGGATGACTTTGCACATTAGCAATGGAAATCTGCCTTGCTGAGCCTGTTGTCTTCCAATTACGTCGATTTCTGATCGATAAATATACAGCGAATTTCTTGGTCTTCAGCCTGCTGCTTTTGTGTCTTCTGTACAGTCCATTCACTGGTACATTTGGTAGTCCTGAAAAACTCCCAATCCCAGTTTGTAGCTGGCGCAAGACGCCTGCGCTTTAAAGAGAGAAAGCGTTACATAGCTTTGCCCATTCAGGCGACCCATAGCTAGAGGCTATGATGCCGTAAAGTCTCATTATTAGGCACATTAGTAAAATCGCCAACATCTGATTGAGGCGCTTAAAGGATGACTGGAAGGCCTGAGACTGGAAGTTATCTCCGGACAGAATGCTTTCACTATACAATGCTTCAATTCCGTTCTCGTGTATTAGATAATTGGGACGATTCCGCTCATCAGCTCAGCCACATTCGCCTAGCACAATAGGAATTGTAGCTGTATAGAGGAAGAATTAGCGATCTTTGAAGACAGTTCTGAAAGTGAGTCGGTGTCGCAGGTAAAGAGTTGCCCATCCTAGTCAAGTATATAACCAAATGTACACCAATACGCTCGGTGTCCTGTTAATCCTTGGAGGCCTCGTAGCTGAAGCACCCAATTTCGCGGGTCCCGTGGATGTGGCGCTAGGCAAAAATGATCTCGTCTTCTGTGGTGGAGATTGTAACTATCCTGAAAAACAGGCCGCGTTCGCTCAAAGGCCTTCTATTCCAAACCCCACCCGGAAGCCAGCACCACATTGCGAAGGGGGCTGGCCATGTCATTGCGACGCATAAGAGTGCATGTGACAGTTTCCAGCATATGATTCAGTTTCTGCAGTCCAGCAATATTGATTAAGAACAATATAGAATTCGACCAGGGTGAGTAGCTGATTCAGTTCTTACAGGATAAACTCAGGAGAGAATTCAGATTATCAATTCTCTCACTCTTCCTCTCAATCGATCTGCCTATCATACCTCCATTCTTGACATCACGCACTGCTCGGCATTCAGTTACTGGCCCAAAATAAACACTAAATTTATTGGCTGAACTAAAAGAAAATCCTCCACATCACAATATTGACTTACTACTATTAGTATCATCGCCAACAATCATTATACTAATAATAATATCCTCAAAATGTATACAACCAGCCGTGATTAATATGGACAGTTCTGAGCTAACCTATGCTGATCTGATCAGCAATGTATAGTCATGCCACGTTCAATCTAGTGTTTCTCACTGTGATGTCTATGATCCATCGTCTATACCTAAAATATAGGCTTCATTATGGAAAGTGGCCCATTGTGAAGACCGAGACAGAAAGTTTAGATAGCGGCCTATTCTATAAATGGGAGTATTGCAAGCCAGTACATTCCATCTAACTACGGCCAATATAGACAAGCCCGTGGTTTTGAGGGGCCAATTTTCCCACGGTACGTGTAAAGTATTAACCATAAGAAGATATAGATTAATTTTAGAAAGAGAACCAAGAACGAAAGGGCAAACAAAGAGTCCTATAACATTATATGACTAAAGGTGCGCTATGGGCAGAATGTAATCTATAGGAATATATTAGTGATTACGGGATTTAAGATGACATATCGTATTAGCATTTCAGTTGGCTGTGTTTCATATAGCCGAAGTGTGAGAAAACTAGATATAGAACAATACATGAATGGCAAAGCTATACTTTCTAGACACATTTTAAAAGAGCATGGCAAACTATTGAGCGTTATCTCCAGTCTCGTGTAATCCCTGCAACGCCTCAATTTCTCTACACAGGAAGTCCCTTTCAGACTATGAAGAAAAGAATATGGTAAGGAAAGAGCCTCTACTCCTGAGATTGTATTCCAAAAAGAGTGTAAAAAGTAAATAACAGGCCAATTAACAGGCTGTGGCTGTGCTTCCAGGCGATATATGACGGCCGCATGATGACGACACGTAAGAGACAACAGGACTCAGGGGGTTTCAATATATTATTCACTCAGCCTTGCGTTTGCTATCTGGCCACGCCACCCATGTCTGAACAAGATGTGATATACTTAGAAAGTTTCTATCCCGGGGAATTTGCCACAGATAATGACAGTAAACCGAAGAGGTCATATATACATCTCAATGTACAGTTAGGAATGAAAGAGCCTATTCATCCGTGTGAAGGATAGTTGAATAACTGTGAGAGTCTTCTAATATGAGAGTCAAAGGACTAGGTATAAAACTACAGGAACGGCGGGATGATATTCTGAAGATGAATGCTGCGTCAGAATGACTCGAGGGAGTGTGGCGTTTACTCTTGGACTCCAACAATGCCCTTGAATCTAATGTTTGACCTGTACCAGGTGAGGCGCCTGGACATGTCTACAGTCTACACGCCGTACCAATCCTTGTTTGTAGGCTCCGGTATAAATTAAAGAGCGGGGCAGATAGCTGTACAGGACTTCATTATGGAAAGGCCTTTGAGAATAGACAGAACGAGTGGGAAGGAGAGACATGACGTTCAGCACAACCCATCCCACGATGCACGTTCATTGGGCGAGTGGCATTCCTCGACTGGAGTACCGTTGGGCTCCTTTGATGCCATCACTGCCAACTTCACGCTGAGCTGGTCAACAGCAGGCGGGGCATTGAATGCCTCATAAAACTTTCCGCCCTCGAAATCGAGTAATTAGATACTCCTTATTATTCTTCTTCCATTGCCCTTTCGAGAGTCAGAAACCGAACCCCTCCTTTAGCCGCCTAGTTGCGTCAGAGGGCCATCATGTGTGCTGACGGTTGTAAGTACTAATGGACCCCGCAAAAAGCAATGAGGATAAGGCGAATTTAAAATGAAATGCTGACATCTTCCTTTGCCTACTCTGATCAAGTGACCAATGTCAGGAGGTTGATTCAGGGTCTCAGGAAGTTACCATGGCGGCTATTCCCTAAACAAAGACGCCGGCATGAAAGCAGGATTCTCGACGGCGAGCCGAAAGCCTTCGAAGAACACTCAGATCATTTCAGTGCCACAAGCATATCATACAACAAAGACACGTACACAGCAGTGAAATACTCTCCACCATCCGCGGGCTCAAGCTTCGATCCTCCATCGGTGCTCTGTCAAACGAGGACGCCGACCGACGTTTATCCAAATAGCACAGATCAAACCACTCCACTCCAAGGGGGATATGGAACAGATCCAATCAAAGAAGTCGATCCCCGTCAACGCGTGGCACTCCAAGTCTCATCGGAAGATAATGACGGCTGGGTGTTTCCCGCTTTTATAATCACGGCAGACGGCCGTAAGGAGGGAGCCCTGATGTCGTTGGACACTCAATCAGGGACAAATTTGCTAAGTGTCGAAAGGTGGAGAGATCTAGGATTAGCGCTCGAGCCATACCATGTCACTGTTCTTCCTCTGCAGAGTCGGTCCACGAACCCAGCTGGAATCGCCACCAGAGGTATTATTCGCAACGTGGATTGGCATTTCGCGGGCGGCACAGCGACGTACATGTCTGATTTCTTGGTTATTGACATGACTGAATATGATGCCATTCTCGGCCAGGTGGACATCAAGAGATATAGGCTTCTAGACCCAGGCCCTGGCCTTAGGCGCCCAGTTGAGGTTCGCGACTAGGGTTAGAGCTGCGCGACTGTGGACACTTTGTTAGTGACAGAAGAGGTCTTGATGTTGAACGCTCCAAGTCAGTATACTCTCTGGCATGTTTGGATATGTTCTCTTGCCTGCGGGAGGATTAGAACAAGGTCTTACTAGGCCTACCAATGATTGCCACAGCCTGGATGAGTATCATTTCGGCGCTCCTGGTGGTTCTGCTGCCCAGACCTATCACTGTTTCATTCACTGGTCCATATCTTATAGGGCACATGCGCCCGGTTTAATGACAATTTGCGAATCCATTGATTGACTTGGCTGCCGATCGGTTCGATCGAATATCCTCTGCATAATCCGAGTCAATAGAGCAGTCAGCCACCGCGAGGGATATCGATGATCATCTTACATGTTATGATGCATGTTATATAAAACTTCGTCGCGGCATTCCTTTGACACGTTTGTCTGTGTCTTGCGAGACATTTGGCAGGTCTTTGCACTGTCGCCTGTTACAACCGCTCTGTTGCATAAATCTGCTAGACTTTATTACTATCATACATACTAGATTCTGCATCAGATTAGATACTCCACTCTACCTCGTCTCACGTGTTTTTGCTATTTTCCACTAGGCATTTACGCAGCCGCTTCTAGGGACACAGTACAGGATAGAATGTTGTACATATTATCAATTATATTCTGTAGTTTACTGTAGGGACTCGGGGAGTCGCACTAGGTGCAACCTTCACGTCTTACAGCAGAGGTATCGCTTACTGTGTGAGTATATCGAATATCTGACTTGCCAAAGCCTCTGCTACTAGTTTCACCAACATGTCACCTTTTTTTTTTTTTTTTTTTTTGACAGTGCTGACTAGCTTTAGTTCCTGTAACACAACGGGTGTTTCCCCCATGATCTCGGACTCCCGGAATCAGATGGTTTATATGGACTAGGCATGGCAAATGGCTTGTCAAGAAAATGGTGGTATACATTGTTCGAAAATAGGTCCTAAGGGATTGAGTCGATGAAGTACTACCTGCCTGTACATGCCGTGATTTTATACACGAAGCAGTACTGGATGCTCACTTTAGTCTCGTTACGATCTACGGGTACTAACTAGCATTTCTCCCTTCAGTTATATATAAACCGCATGTTTCACGTTGACGTGCCACTTGATTCTTCCGATAATTGGAGAATCGAATTCCTTACAGGGTTGATCGAGTTGAACCGCGTGATGTCCACTTAGGGCCATATTAGGGAGGGAGGCACAAACGGAAAGTGCTTTCATGAAACCAATTTCTAATGCAGTGGTCAGCCGGGAAATTTTATGTCAGACCAACTGGTGGCGGTTGATGATCCTCTTTCTGGGTGTGACGCCATGAACTCGTCTATATGTAAAAATGCAGACGTGGAACGTCAGCACGTTTTTGGGACAGTGTTCTCCTGTAAACAGCATACTTGAAATATCCATGGTACGTACGTTATTTAATCAAGGTTCTTGCATCCATTTTTATCATGCTCTTTTTGAATGGCAAATAAGTTCTGACAGAATATCTCCAGGCAGAGCCGAGTAAAGTGGAATTATACTGTTTCGGACCGGGCGAAATCCCACTCCGTCTGAATGCAGTTATCTCTGACAGACTCGATGCGAATATTCTTACACAGTATGGACTTCAAGCATTGCAAGGTATTCAGAATGAGATCTCTCCCACCGAGAGAATGCTTTACAGCACTGAAGGTGCCAGATATACCGTCCGCGACGTGGTTAAACTCCAGATCTGGAGATCCAGAGAAGCTAGAAGTGTGAAACTTGATTTCCACATTCTGCTGAATAATGATACATTCGTGCAACGCAGTACCCATGCAATCCTCGCTGGAAACGCCTTCATGAGCAGAGCAACTGGTACGAATGGAGTTCCTGTGGCTGTGACTCGAGTCAAGGAGTTGACTGAAGGTGGGTGTGCGGTGTTATCCAATCGTAGGATTTAGCTTACTGTTTATAGAGGAAAAGAAAAAACATGAGGAAGAGGAACGACAATGGCGGGAATTTGTAGTGGAACGTGATAGAAGACGACGCGAGCGTGAGCGAAACCAGAACGACCCAAGAAATCAAACAGTGGCACCAAGATGAGAAATTTTTACCGAGTGTCTGGCAGAACTGCGACAACAGTGTTATCTGATAATTAACAATGTAACTGTGTTTAGAGGCCTGCCTAGACAGTTTGGCTTTATTTCGTGGCTATTGCCTAAAATATCCAGATCGTGTTTATTTGATGTAATTAAGCTACAGATAAATTGTGGTGAGAGAAAACTGGAATATCTTGTACGTCGTGCTACGGGATAATAAAACTCAAGGTAATGACGTTGAGCCATAGAATCTCATACATATATTCTCCGAAAGCTACACAGTGCATTGAGGGGAGGGCACATCCTGGTGGGTCCTGTACGATCCCATTATAAAAGCCATTTCGGGTTGCGTGGATATAATCAAATCGTGTAGATAAACTCAAAGGCCATGCCATCTAGAAGCAACATACTAAATCTGCATGGTTTCTATATATTAATTTGGACGTTTGAAAGACACGCCAAGGAACTAGATATGAATAGGTCTTGACAGTATTTGCCATCCAATGTCATTTGCCTGGCCGCAGAAATACATTACTACTAACAGCACGTAGGTATGGATTACGCCTCGGAACATGTCTGAGATATACGTTGTTTAGGCTAATGCTAATACCCGGGAACAACTGGCTTGGTGGCTTCACGGACTCGCGTTTCCTATGGCTGAAATAGAAGAAATCAGGGCATGATGCAGATCATCCCTCATTAACAAACAGCAAGGCTAGACTAGGCAGCGTATTGCGTAGTCAAGGAACAAATTAGCCAATATTTCCGGCGAGTAGTCGGCGAAGACTGCCGGGGCAAGACAGTGTCACCACCCTCGCGCATCGCTACTTCGTGTCTTCCACTGCAGCGCAATTTCCCGCCCTCTTTGGACACAAACGCATATGATTGTGTACTATTATCTTCTAGATACGAATCTAGAGCCATCGATAAACCGGACATTGTATTAGAAAAGGACACATTATAGAGAGGCCGAGCTGATAGCTCCTAAAGAAGGGGACGTACCATCGTGTATCCAGTGTGGATGCGGACAGACACATGGGTAAGTAGTGAGTTGGTTTTATTTCTGATTTGATATTAATAGACATGTAAATAGCAGTATCCTCCCGGGCTCTCATTTCTTACTGCGCAAATAGCTTACAGAGAAGATGCCGTGCTCGCCGTATTCACTAAAAGAAAGCATTTCATCTCTTCTACTGCGGTTTACCCCAAGGAAAAGACATCCGGAGACTGTGCAATCAATTCCTCCTACTCGTCTTACACTGCGGGATTCACCTGTCGCGGAGTCTCCTACCGTTGGGGTTCATCATTGTCATTCCACGGACAGGGCTCCAAACCAACCTCTTGAACACTCCCAAAACCCACGAATGAAAGGCTATGGCGTTTCCCCCCAAGATAGCGAGGAGTTAATAGATACCCTCCATTGCACCCTCCGCGGACACAATACCTTGCATCCTCCAGATTCATCTGAACTCCCGCCACAGTGTGACTTTATATATGACGTCATGCTTCTCGCGGATCAGAATACGTGGATACGAAGACGTATGGTGGTGGATTTCGAAACGGACATAAATATCATGAGGGAGGCAGTCTACCGGAGGATGAAATACCGTGTACAGCCATATTCGGGGGAGATAACATGGTGGAATCGACCCAACACAAAGCCACTGGGAAAACTGAAAGCTACATTGCAGATTTGTGGTCGTGGAAGGACATACTATGCTGAATTTTACGTCGTCAAGAATGCGGAGTTTGACTTGCTTCTAGGGAGACCTTCCGTGCGTGAAATTGGTCTGTATAGAGCCGATCCGGCCGTGGCAACAAGACTACGTTTATCCAACCAGCAATGAGAATCGTTCTGTACAAGACTGGGCATGTCGACATACGTTTTGCAGTGCAACCAAACATTGAAGTAGAGCAGGTAGGGAAGCTAATACGGTAGAAATAATAAATCGAAATCATTCTATCGTCTGTTTTGGTCAGCATAGGTCTGGAGGTTTGCGGGCGTCCATGTAGGGCTAATATTTGTATCATTTCAGGTCAACTATGTGTTCAAAAAGATGTGTTAATGGACCAAATTATATCCAAATACCCTCCTCTATACCGTTCGGTCATAGACCAACGCATGTCCAGTGCGTAAATCCTTGCATCCTTATCCGAGAACCTCTCATATCTCTGTTCTTTCGTTCGAGGCCTAGCTATCGGGTGATTCAGATAAGTAAAGAGTGGATTGGCACCATCAGTAATTGATGAGCTACTCAACATGAGGCAAGGTAGCACTGATACAAGGCTTAATAGTAGAGCAAATCATAGCCATTCTATGTCAAAACATGTTTCTCTCCTTCCAGCTACATAGGGCAGACATGCCCCAACACTTGGGCATCATCGGATGATGTGGCATGCGTCAATACTGAGGTGCCCAACTTACAGATCCCAACCTTGTTTGTAGTATAGATTTTAGAATTCATCTAGTGAAGAAGTGCAGAAGTCAGAATGACCGTGTTCCCACGAATTCTCATCCACAGATCTAGATCAAATACGGAGGCGCACTTATAGGGAACCATGTCAACCACAGACAATCGCAGATTAGAGGGTTACGATAAACTTGCCACACTATTCGCCTCTGATTCAGGGCTAGCATGTTTCAGGCGGTTTGATAAACTGAATGCGAAGAATCTTCTATACTATCAAGCAGAATTGGCCATCATAGAGGAAGACCTGGAAACTATCATTCAATCTGATAAGTGCCACTCATATGAGGAAAAGAAGTTCTATCCTTGCTGCGTGCGCGATCTGAAGGATTCATTGAGAGGCGAAAAAGGGGTTGACAGTTTACAATGGCGAAAGTTCCTTGAGGCGCGAGAACTGCTGAAGGAGTACAGTAAGTCATAACCAAACTGCACTTTAATTTCATAAGTGTATGTCCTCCTCGGAAATAAAAATGTTGCATTTGTTATCCGTGACTAATTCTGTTACTGGAGTTCTACTGAATCAGACAACGCATTGATCCAACATCGGGAATTAATCCACTTCAGTGCTCCTGATGAAACTGATTACAAGGTTTTCGAGCAGTGGATGATGACCCAGGAATTATGCCAGGGTGTCCGCTTTGCCAGCAAAGCAGAGATGAATGTCTACCACAAAGGCAACAAGAACGACCTGATTGCGCTTTGCAACAGGCAGGAGGGCGTAGACAACCTTACCAGGTGGATATTTGATCGACCCATAGCGTGGTTTCAGGGACGTTTGGGGGCGCATTTTGAGGTATGCTATTTTCAGCGCATTGGTACGTTTCTAATTGGTGTCTTTAGGGTGTAGAGGATACTGAACTTGGAACTGTGCGGTATAACGATCGAAGGATAAGAGCGGTTACCTACGTCGTCAGCATCTTTGCTGCTGTTATACTGCCCGTGTCATGTATGATTATCTTATACTTTATTGAGGACACAACGGCAAGACTGTTGACAATGGCGGTATACAATGTTTTATTTTCACTGTCCTTAGGCCTATTAGTGAAGGCTCGCCGGGTCGAGATATTTGCCGCTGTTACTGCGTAAGTTATTATCTGCTTTCTCTCTGTCTTTCTTTTCTCGTTACACTTGCTTCTGATTCAATGACACTAATAGCCCGCAGGTTTGCTGCCGTGCAAGTTGCCCTGATTACCAGTTCCGGAAAGTGTTGACGGTGAGATACAACAGTAAAATACGTAGAGATAGTTCTAGATGGCAATTATTGTCCCTCGAGATGAATACCAATAAGCGGATTTCCCGGTTTCGATAAGCCCTAGAATTCAAATGTAACAGGGAACTTCACTACAGGGTTCTGATATTGTCATTATGAGAATATACGTTGGCGGCATTGTATTGAGATTTCTTCTAGTTTGTGGACGGACTTCATGAATGAGCAAGTACCTCCAGTTATGCAGCTTGTGTAAGAACATTCGGCGGCATATACAGGCTTAGTCTGAGCTAGGGATTGACATGAGATATGCGGATGCAAAGGAGGAACACTCACAGAGGTAAATATAGGTACTCTTGCATTCCCTCCCCAGCTTTAACAAAATTAAAGTATAAAGCCAAGACCTACTTTCTTGGCAGGGTCGAATACGAACAGATAAACATCGTGTTGTGTCTATAGAATAGTTTTTCATGCAGATCTCAATGGCATCCATCGTCGGGAATGGCAAGGACTATTAGATATATAGCATCCGCTCTGTGCTAAGCACACGTAGCAAAAGTTCATCTAATCCAAGCCGCAGAGTATTGCAGAACTCCATTGGGCATTTCGCCTGACTACCTAATAGTCCATACGCTGCTATCCTGGCCTTATATAAGGCAATTAGTCTCAATTCAGCACGCAGACAATTTACTAACAGTTTGTACACTCAGAGCCAAATAATGCCGTGCGATTTCCTGATCGTCTGGCTACAAAACCTCTCCTACTCGATATGTCTACGCGAGAACAAGGTGGAGTTACAAGGTGGCTTAGCGTGCTTGTTCAACTCTCTGGATCTCTTTGTCTCCTCGGCATCCTTATTGTGCTTGCTTTGCGAAGACAGTGACCAGCGGTGATGAAGCACTGAGTTCTTGGAGGGTGGTAACATATATGTGACGACTAAACGGTAGCTTTGGGTCCAATTTGTATTTCTTTCTTGATGCCTCGATGGACGGACATACTGGTCCCTATATTACGTTGTATTCCGTCACAGGGGAGCTGGACAGGATGCTATCAGAGCAGAGATGGGTAAGGGAAAGTAGGCTTGCAGGTTTCAATGGTACTCCTAGATACTATCGTCCATTTTTTGATAGTATCAAAGGCGTGGAAACAAGAATCATTGAAAATAATAAGTCCGTTGCTATAAAACATTCAATTAAGAACACGAACGTCAGATCGGAAAGTTAGGTTCCTTATTACTGCAGTCTCAAAAGCTTAACGCCGCCTGTGGAACACAATCTGCTCCCTAGGTCGGCGCCTCGTTCTCATCTTGGCAACCATACCTTATCTACAATAGGATGCATACCGACTATTAAAACCACTTTGACCAATCAGAGCCCTTTCAGTCCCATTCGAAACGGTGATAGGGACACAGGAGTCAGTTAGTAATTACGACAACAGGAGCTAAGCGAAAGGTATAAAGAGCAGAAGGACGAGCGAGAGACTACCATACCTTAGCTCCCACCATATTCGCGGCCTACGACGAGCGTGAGGATCGTGCATCTAAAGACACTCGTGCCATCACTGGTTCGATCTCCGTACTTTCATTTTTCGGACTTAAACACAGTCTCGGGAGTATAATCGAGGTAGTCCTTCATTTGCCTCTAGAGCTTCTGTTGTTGGTTGGTGCATTTCTCGAGAGAGAAAACGACATCAATTATTTATGTCAGATTAACCGCCAGTTTCACGTTCTCATTAATCCATGCTTATACCGATATAAGTCACGAAGCTCAAGAGGCTCGGCACGGCTGTGGGCTGCGAAACACGGTATTGAGGCTACAGCACGGATTAGCATCTGAGAGGAGGCTCATGTTAATAAGACAGATGATTGCGGTTCAACCGCATTGTCCTGGGCTACAAGAGAAGAATATAAGGAGATCATCAAGCTGTTGCTTGAAATGGACCAGGTTGATGTGGAATTAAAAGAGTTCAATTATGGTCGGTCACCGCTATCCTGGCTTCAGAGAATGGACATGACACCGTGGTGAAGCAGTTACTTGAAACAAAACAAGTCGACATCAACTCTCGAGATTCTACTTCTGTAACCCCACTATCATATGCCGCAGAAATGGGGCATGAGACGGTGGTGATGCTTCTCCTTGAAACTGGTAGGGTAGATGTGGATTCAAGAGATTCCACCGGTTCGACGCCGCTATCCTGGGCTGCAGAGTACGGGTACGAGACAGTGGTCGAGCAGTTACTTGAAACCGGACAGGTCGACATGAACTCAAGAGGATCTAACGGTGGTCGAACGCCGCTATCTCGGGCTGCAGGAAATGGGTGTGATACTATAGTCAAGCTCTTAGTCAAAACTGGGAAGGCTGATGTGGACTCAAAAGACTCTGATGGTCGGACCCCACTATCCTGGGCTGCAGAGAATGGATACGATACGGTGGTCGAGATATTACTTGAAACCGGACAGGTTGATGTGGACTCGAAAGATTCAAGGGACACGACACCAAGGAACGGGCACGAGGCGGTAGCAAAGCTATTGCTTCAGACTGGACAAGTTGAAGTCGACTCAAAAGACCTCAAGGGTCGAACACCGTTGTTTCAGGCTGTGATAAATGGACATGAGACAGTGAAAGACCTCTTACTAATGACCAGCCGTAGCCTCGAACAGGTCCACCGGCTCCTTGCTAGTACTTTGCCTTTACATTACCGAGGGAGTTTACATAACAGCAATGCCTTCAATATCTTTGTAGTCCAATGTCAAGAGGTCATGCTTTGTGATTTCAATAAATAAAATGTCTGATTATAGAGAGTAATGAGGACGTCTGACAGATGGCCGGTGGTTTAGAGCCATGCCGAACCCCGGCAGCTCGATACGACATGAAAGAAGCGAGAATGTTGAAAACATTTCTAACATTCAATGGAAGCTGGAGGTATCTTGAGGTGCTTTAATCATATTTATGAAGGCCACCATAGCCAGAACTAACAATGGGTTGACGTAGGTGTGAACCCTCCTATCCGTTCCTCCCGACGAGGATTTTATTAACTCGCGCTAAACACACATGTAGCGCGTTGGGAAAAGCACATTTTGAGCAGCTCCTTGAGACTTTTAGGGCAGTGTTTTGGTTACTTGGGTCTAGGTAATGCAGCTTACTGTTACGGAAACACTATAATCCGCCCGACTTGGCGGTGCGGAAATATCTACCGATCCATTCTACCCCTCAATCCTTTAGTTAGTTGAACACCTCAATGAGAATATAGGGAACCGCTTAGTAGGCTCAGTTGGTTGAGATACTGCGATTCCTGGTGTTTCCACTGAATGACATCTACTTCCTAATTAGGCTAGTTGGCCTGTAGCTGATAGAATAGCTCCCTACGCCCCATTTCCCCTGAGTTCACAACACTTACATAAAGTGAGTTTATACTATTAACTATATACCCTGAAACGAACGAAGGGAGAGAATGGGAACAGCACCAACCCTATGATCCCTACACACCAAAAACTGCCGAGTTTTCACTCTGATTTCTCGCGCCAAGCCTAGCGTTTTATTGGTGTATAGTCACATGCTCATCTGGCAATAATGGAGGAGCAGCGTTTCCTCCTAAGATGAGTGCCGCTTCGTATTCTTTATACACTTTTGTGGATGGTTGGGTGTGGGAATAGTATATGTTAACTGGAAGTAGTAGTCACAAAAAGAAATGCCCATATCGCCGTGGGTATCCCAATGATAGGATATAGCCTGGCATTGGCTTTCCCGTTCTATATAAATCTCTTCCGGCTTGAGAGAATGGATGAACATTTCCGGCCCAGTGTGGGAATTGTCCCGTCGCAGGACAGGCTTTCCGACGAGGAACAGAAGATTTAGCGGAGCACGTGGAAAGGACCAGTCGGTAGTATAGAGAGTATGGACCATGGTCGTCTCGGCCTTTCTTGTCATATACGAATGAATATGTGGTTCTAATATGATCCATATAATGGTGTTTAATGGTGAGTAAGATTATGGAAGTATCACTGTGAACGTGTGCATCTCCCCTATCCTATTCGCAACAGCGGGTATCCTGCATGAAGGCTAGAGTTGCACATACTCAAGTACACAAATCCTAGAATGACCATAAGAAAACAGAGAACATACTACATCCTCGATCTAAACCTCAAACTTGAATATGTCGGGGAACTTTTCTTCCACATACTCGTCGCGGGCATAGCTGCTGGTTGTGCGAAACTCGAGAATCACAAATTACCGATGGATCAAGCCTAGAACATGGTGAAGGCGGGAATTACCATTTTAATCGCCCCGTCGGCTGTCCTCGTAGGGTGAATCGGTCTCCCTTGCCGAAAAGAATAGCTCTGCCGCAAGGAGAAGCGGGGAGATTATTTTCTTCTCAAACTTATGCCTGCATATGTGACTAACGCCGGAAGTATAGCTTCTCATTGCCATTGCTTTTTCCCTTGCTTTTATCGGTATTCGAGTGGTTTATAGCCTGATTGTTCTGTGCACAGAAGGTCGTATCTCGGTCCCACTACTGGGTAGCTCGCCATTCGTGTGCTACTGGGTTTCCTACCAGAATTAATTGCAACACTTGTACAGAGTATATATCACAATTGGAATCAAACCCCGAGAATCGGCTAAAAAAGACTAACGACTGGCAAATGGCTGCTAAGTCGGATCCCCCACTGGGTTGTTAAGCATTGGCTTAATATTTTACTTTCATTGTTCCCGTATGTCGCTCACAATTTGAAATGATGATTGAACCAAATGAAGTTGATGGCCTGAATTAAATTTCAGTGTGTTCTTTTCTTCTCTACCTGCAAAGCACATACTAACACAGTACACGCGCACTTGAGCATGGGTAAGTCACTGTTGTTGTTTGTAGGGCGTGTTGAATACGGGTACGGGGATCTTATTGGCTGGGTGGGTGACGCAATGCGGGTCAAAAAAAAAAAATAAAACCCAGAGCCAGTCATTTTTTGGTGATTTGCGGAACTCCATCAAATCTCCAATTGAAAGCCCATCAAAGTCACCAGAGATCAACCTACTGAGACAGTCAGTCGCGCCTGTGACTCACCGGTAGAAACGGACACCAGAATCGGACTAGCGGTAGTCATGTGACCGCGCCCTTTATATCCTATCCGTCTAATAACCTCATCTTCGACCTCGCCAGGTCGGTCGTTCTTTATCCTCATGAATCCTCAAGCAATGGATAAGACCATAGACCTGAGTCATGCGCTATCTGCATCCATCTGTTTAGGAAACTGCCAAAATCGGAATGCAGCCTACGTTCCTTCATACTCTACAGGCGACAAAGTCGAAGGCGTGATTTCAATCGTTTCAGACTGCGATTTACGTTTCGATAATGTGCAGATTTCTTTTGTAGGTGCGTCATTCTCGAGTATTACACAAGGCTTCCCAATCATAGTACGAGGATTCCCGTTTGCCCCTGAAGCTAAACCGTAGCAACAGGGGAGCAAAGCACGAACGTACGCAACCACCCGAATAAAGCTCACTATCGATTCCAAAATGTCACACAGAGTGTTCAGGAATCGAGGCTTCCTGATCCTCGGGTTCTGAAGAGAGGTCGGAAATATGACTTCGATTTCTCGTTCGAGGTCCTCGATTATCTACCCGCCTCTTCTTGCAATCACACAACCACTAGCCCTCTAGTAAAAGCAGCTCATCTCCAGCCTCCTCCAAGCTTTGGCGATGCTACTGTATCAGGGTTCGGTGGTAAACTGCGAGACGACTTTGCACCAGTATCGTGCAAAATTATCTATTCCATTCAGGTCAAGATAAATAGGATCAGCTTGGTCTCGTGCAAACAAGAGACCATATTCTCTAGGAGATTCAAGGTCCGAGTCAAGCCAGCACTTGACGAAAGGCCACCTTTAAATCTGGATAACTTTGGCGACGAGTACTGCTTACACGCTGAGGAGCCCGTTCGTGACAGCCGTGCAAAGGTCACACTTGGGTCACTGTCCGTAACACTGGAGCAGCCCAAGACGTTTTGGCTACCGTTACGAGACCCTGTTAGCTCGATCAGTCAGGCTGTTCGGCTATTTCTTTGCTATAGACCAGCAGATAACAACAATTCAACATTACCCAAACTGAAATCCCTGCGAGGACAAATCACGGGTACTACACTTTTCACCACCAGCTTCCATAATGATCTACCGACCAAGAAAAAGGCTATTTTCGGTCGACCGCTGAACTTCACAGAGACCGAGTTTCCATCCTTTACTCTATGCATCCCAACACCGCAGTGGACCCGTGACGAGTCAGGGTGTTATTCTGCAACGTTGCTCGTCCCGGTGACGCTGCCACACGAGAATTTCATCATAACATTTCATTCCTGTTTGATGTCACGGATGTACACCCTTCACTTCAAACTTGCTGTTCAAGGAACCTCGGCGTTCTCTTTAAGAGCTCCAGTCGACATTGTTGCGCAACGAGACTCCTCTGTGCTCCCATCCTACAACGCCTCCGTGGGCTTTATGTACGGTGCCTTATAACTTAGACTCCGTACATGATCTGATGGATCGGACTCATAATGCGTCCTAGTTCTCAACAGTGCGATACTATGTGCACTAGTCTCTACCCCAAAACCTGATTACTTACCTTAACGTTTTATTTTCAGGTGGCTTAACCCTACAAACCAACTTGTGGCAAGAGGAAGATATAGATACTTCCTTGGTCGAATCACCTTCGCCAAATCACCTCAGCCATTTATGGCACTACGACTTGACATGAGTCGACTAATTCAACATTCTTACGTAGCCACTAATACTACCAGCTGTGGCTGAGTACATATGATACCCGGCTGTTCACAGGATTATTATTATGCTCGACTAATATCGTGGTAGAATTTTTATTATTGTATATAAGGAATCAATGAAGATGAAAAGGATATATATCATCCGCCTACCCCAACTAGGCTTCATGAAGTACTACTAAATATTATCTCTACTGGGATGCTCGAATCAGAGAATCTGAAGTAGATCCACCCGCGCTAATCACATACTAAGCTTATACACATATCTTTGCTTTACTGTATGGATCACCCCTCGTCTGAAGTGTCATCATCGGTCCATCCCTGCCATAGTGAGAATCAGACTCTTGCATTAGCACTTGCTCACACTTTACTCGCATCTGCATAGTGTCCTCGGATACAAGCGCATGCTGCATGTCATAAGGCTAATCGGGAGAGTTGAACTCGTTCTATGCTTGCAACATGCATATTAGCTTGATAAACCAAAAGGTTAGTATATACAGAGAGAGAAGGGGGGAACAAACCAAAGAATAAAACCCCATAATCTCAAACCCCCTTCCGTATCCTAGCTGAAAATGCGTAAGTCCCGCCCGGGTAAATTCTCCATCAGTTCCTATTCATCCATCCGTCCGTTTATTCATTTATTCATCCATCCAGAGGAAATATCCAACACCGGCAAAACAAACACATTCCCTCCCTCGCAACAAACTTACCCCGACGGGTTCCCCATCTAGCGCCGACTTCCCCCTCCTTCGTAACACGGCGTACGTCTCGTGAGTCATGCTGTGATAGTGCGGGGTCGCGGCGTCTGCTTCGCTGTCGATCTTCCATTGGCCATCTTTTATCCAGGCGGTTGTGTCGATGGCGGAGAGGACGCCGGAGGGTGTTCGATGCGAGTCCTCGAGGACGTTGCGGTAGATGAGCACGAGGAGAGTCGAGTTGGGTGAGTGGGGGTTTTGTGGGATAAATAGGGGTTCTGGAGTTTTGGTTTTGCTGGGCATGGTATGTAAGTATACGTATGATACGGATGGTGAGTAGAGATTAAGGTGGTTCCGAGGTGTATTTATGTTTCTATCTTGGATTGCGAAATAGTAAGAGGTTCTGTGTTACCATCCATATAGCCATGCTGTTTGCTGGGTTGAGGCCCTATCGGATGATAGTGGACTCTTTTCCACTTAGATTGGCTATCTTTCCTGTGTTGACAGGAATAAGTTAATTTTTTTAATAAATTGTGGTATTTGTAAATAATAATGGATATCCAGACTTACACTTAGTATTAGTTGGCTACAAATCGTGTCAATCTCATAACTACAAGATGTTTCTGGTGTAGGACACCTGAAATGCTTAAATTCTAGGCATAAAGGCTAGTAAACTACATCCTGTGTCACTCTTTATCCCTCTCTGTGCTCCGAGTCTCCGAGTATACTAAATGAGGTGCAATGCAGGTTTATACAACGTTTTATGCATTGTTTGATGATGAAGTTAAGAAGTGGGTGAAATGAATAGTCAAAATGCATGCAATAAACAACTTAGAATGTAGTCACATTTCTACTCTCACTCCTACTGACATACATATTACGCTGTGAAAAATGTGGTAGGTGGTTATTGTAAGCTGAGCTGTTATGGGAGCATTCAGGAAAGAGAGACAACGCAGTTACAGTATACCATATAACATCAAAAACTACATCAGAGGTCCAAGGAAATCTCCTCTTCTCGTCTCCGAACCGCGATACTCCCGTTCGGATCCGCAGACAGGGAAGCACCGCTCTTTCTGGGCTGTGGTGTGAACCCTTGAGCCAACTTGAAATCGTATTTCAGCAGAACATGGCACAGGGCAATCTTGATCTCGTTTACGGCAAAGAACCTTCCAGGACAAGCATGTTTTCCATATCCAAATCCCATATGTTCGGGGGACGGTGACACCAGCTGAGATGAAGTCTCGCGGCCAGGACTATCCCGTAATTTGAGGAATCTGTAGGGGTCAAATGTATCGGGGTGGGTATAAAAATTGGGATCCCACATCCATTCACAAGAAACTACCAATATATCACCTTTGGCAATCCTTGTACCGTCTGATAGCTGGATGGCGGCCTTGGCTTGACGTCGCATGCTTGCTGGGACGGCATTAGCACTGCCCTTCGTTCACTAACTCTTGAATACAAGCTTACCAATGCCAATTGGTTTCATTCGCTGACTCTCCTTGATCACGCTGTCCATTAGCCTAAGTTTATATAGTGTCGTTCTTTTCCATCCTCCTTCTCCTATAGTAGTGATGACTTCCTCACGGAGTTCCTGAATTAAGTCTTCCTTCCCCGCAATGTCATACAGAACTTGAGTGATCAAGTCGGATGTTGTATGGATGGCTGCGAACGAGAACGACATCTGCGCAGTGGCTGCATCGTAGGGTCGCCCTTTGGCGCACTCCTCCATCCATTCCATAGCATCGTTGTAATGGTCCGGGGTTCTACCTTGCTGAATGGCCATCTCTTTGTTTCGCCGTCGCTCTTCCAGTACCGGCCGGATAATGCTATATGCTTCGGCCATGTCGTTACGGACTTTTCGACAGGAGGGAAGGAACCAAGATACAACGGGGCGCACAGGTGCTGGCCAAAGTCGTAATTCCTCCGCTGCGAGGACCGAATCGACTGTGTAGTCAATTGTGATTCGAAGCCAATCCGGGTTGCGACAGATTTTGTCACCAAGGAAAACCTTGGAGGACAACTGGGCAACGATACGAAGGATACTAGGCCGAATAGCCAGGTGATGCCAGTCTGGAGCGGTCAGTTCTTATTCTCGGCCTCTATGGTGAAAGTACCTACCACGGTTGTTAGTCCAATTGACCTGGAGGGCATCTGCTGTCTCCATGGACAGAGGCTCTGTAATCTTTCCTAAGAGCATCGATTGGTCTACGGGCAAGTTCGGGCGAAAGATAGATTGGGGCCTTACCGAGACTTGAGGTGAGTTTCATCCGCACGGCATCAAGAAATACGTTGGATGACGCAGTGCGTTCCTTGAAAACATTAAACCCCCGGATGTTGCCATGAAAGTCACTAGCAATTGCCGCATTGAAACTCAGTTCCTCAATATTCCGGATTTCGTTGGCGTACTTGGGAGACAAGACTATTTTATTTCCATTCTCGGTGACGATTCGAAATGCAGAGGTCTAGGATGCATGTTTCAAACATGTTCAGTCCCATAGTCATCCATTCCTGATTATGGTCATACTTTTGTGAGCCCATTTTTGATCAAATTGCGAGCGTCCGTCACGAATCGCTTTTTCGCGTTTGCATACTGTAATTCAAAGGGTTTTTTATCATTCACCAAGGGTAGCTGTGGTCGTGTCAAGGGGGTATAGAAGAGCGTCAGTGCGCTCAACAGCAGAACCCCCAGTAGTGGGAAGATGTCCAGATAATGGGACGCGTCAACCAGGTCAAAGAGCATGACAACGGTTTGATAGACGATGTATTGTTGTTGTAGGGATCCAGCTATGCAATGAATCGAATCCGTATAGAATATCGAAGCAGACCCTTGCCTTATAGGTTTCGATGTCGCGATCATAAAAGGCATAAAGTGAATTATGCCAGACGTAAGGAAGTATATGCCGATTACACTATGTCTGGCATGCAAGGATTAGAGCGGGGTTAGGACTATATCAGAAGGGATAGACGGTTTGATGCAGATCTCCCATACTGGTCTGAAGTCTGGTGAGCGATTTAGTGCTCCACACTTCTGCAGCGATGGCCGTTGACCTATCTAGGGCTCTCCTGTATCAATCTTTCCAGAATTCCTTTATGAGCATAGTTGTGTGCATAACGCATCTTCCGTTATTCATGATGGAGTTGAATAACGATCTGTGTAGGGTAATCTGGAGAGAAGTCAGAAATGACATCTGACCGTGAGTGCCAAGCGTCCACGTGCCCAGGCGCCAACAACCCCAGCCCAATCCATCCAATCCAAGATCCATCACCAACAACTTCAACGTGCGACGACGACGCTCGACAGAGCGAAGGGACGGGGCGTTTTCGTCTGGTGTCATCAACCACTTCCCCGCCGTACCAGATCCGTCGGTCCAACAGTCCGTCTGAATCGAACTCCGCCCGGAATGGCTTGCGGTTCGAGCCGCCTGAATCCTTGGCCTGCGACTTCCTCTGCCTCAGTTGCCTCGTTTGTGGGTGGAATCCACCATGACTAACAGGGACCCCGAGTTTCGGCATCAACTGGGCAAATTCCGTCTCGACTCTTCTCTAGCTTCCCTTCCTTCCTCGTCCTCGCAACCGCCCTTTTCCTCTTCCTCCTCCCTAGGCAATTCCCTACAATCACCACCCCATCTCTCTTCTCCCACCTCCACAGTTCATCGCAGCAAACGCGTCTCCACCGCCTGTGATTTCTGTCGCAAACGCAAGAAGAAATGTGACTTTCGCTACCCCAATTGCTCCGCATGCACACGCGCGGGCGTCCGATGTACCGTGCCACCCCCCGGTCCACAAGTCGCTAGTGCCTCCGTTCCGCGAGATCAGCTCGAGAATCTACAGAACCGAGTCCGATGGCTGGAGGAAGTCGTGCGCCGCAAAACCGGCATCCCCATTGCCGATCGTCCAACAGGGAGTGCGTTGGATGGGGAAGGGGATCCGGACTGGTGGTATCAGGTGCCAACCATGCTGATGGGCCGTAGCAGCAGCCTGTCCCGGCCGTCAACGACAACCGCGTCCAACAGCCCGGCGAGCGCGTCGACGGTGGGAACGGAGCTGCCCAATGTCGGCGAGATCTTTCGGGATCACCTTGAGCATCGACCACCATCCGTTGTCCGTCCTCCGGTCACGTCGTCTGCTCCTCGTGTCCTTCGACTCGCTTCACTGCAGGAAGCAGAGCGGGTGGCTTGTCAGTATTTCGATAGTATGGGCTATCAATATCCGTTTTTACATCGTTCGGACTTCTTTCCTCCTCTACGCCGCATCTACGCCGGCGAGACCCCTGCTCCGGAAGTCCTCTATACTTATCACATTACGATCGCCATCTCCCTATTAATTGGGGCATCGGACGAAACCCGGGCTATGGAATTCTATCGCGTGAGTCAGGAAACACTGCCAATAGCGCTGCAGAATGAGGACCTGGCTGCAGTCCGTGCTCTACTCAGCCTGGCGTTGTACACTTTATTTGCAACCAGCGGTCCTAGCGTGTGGCATGTGCTGGGCACTGCCTTGCGTCTGGCGACCAGCCTGGGTCTACACAAAGCGCGCCCTGTAGCGAGCTTGGTGGAGGAGGAAATGTCCAAACGGGTGTTCTGGAGTCTCTACAACCTGGACCGGTTGATCGCCAGTACATTGGGGCGACCGTTAGGGATAGTGGACGAGGACATCAGTGTGGGCCTGCCACGCGAGTTCAACGACGACTGGACCGAGGCGCCAGGGACCAGCGTGATGACCATTCCCGTGCAGGTTGTGCGCTTGCGTCGGATCTTCTCGCGCATCTATCGATACTGTAAGTAGCCCCGGGCTAGTGTATTCAGTTGACACCCCTAACGTAGACAGTGCATAATAATCAGCCACCTCCGGAGCCAAGTGAGGTGGCCCACATGCTGAGTCACTTTCGTCAAGAGCTAGATGACTGGCGTCGCAATGCTCCAGTGTACCCGCCGGCCCTTTTATATTCCACCAGCTACTACGACTACCTCTACGCCACGACACTGTTACTGATGTACCGTCCCAGTCCGCGGAACCCCACACCAGACGCGACCAGCATTGTCAGTTGCGGCGATGCCAGTATCCAAGTCATCCGGTCCTACTGGGACAGCTACTCTGTGGGAAAACTGAAGTGGATCTGGCTGACGCTGAGTCAGACGTATTTCGCCGGCATCACGATCTTGTGGTGTCTGAATCATGATCTGCTCGCGGTGAGAGATGGCCACCCGGCAGCTTGGCAGCCCGACGATCAAACGATGCGTCGTGCCATCCAGGCGGTGGTAGTACTCCTGGAAGAATTTGGCAAGCGACGACCGGGGGTGGAACGGCTGGCTGAGACGTTTCGACAGCAAAGCACAATGATCTTCAGTAATCTCGCATATCAACAGGAGCAGCTAGGTCAGCAGAACCAGCCACCGCCGCAGGTCCCGTCTGTATCACAACAGCCACACATCCTCGTAGCACCGCCGGTGCCGTTGGCGCCCGTTCTGGATGACGTGCTCCTCGTGGACGAGTCGGGAGCGATGCCTGTAATGGATCCTCAGTTGGCACAGCAATTGTTTTATTCGTATGATTGGTTTCAAGAGGAGATGGCTACGTATTATACCCTGTGATGGCGATTGTATATATGTTACTATACGTTCTTGTTTTCTTATAGCTTTCATCTTCTGGACACCGCCGCTTTAATAAGGGTACTAAGGGGCTTACTCGGTGAGCGCTCAGGACCTGCTAAGTAAATATTCAAGTGCTCTCTATGCAACTCACCCACCCTTTATTTTGTGCGGGTAGTTCGACGGCCATGTTTGACAAACAACCCTTAAGATTGCTCAGGTGCGTCCAACCTACCATAAAAGATAATGCAAATAGAAATTTATGGAGGCGAAGTAAATCCTAAATGGCGTACTCTGAAGCGAAGCGTACACGCTTAAGGCAACTGTAAACTAATATAAAGATAGGTTCCAACTATATGGCAGGTATTTTCCTCCTTTTTAAGGCAATTAATTCCATGGAAGCAAGATCCCATCGGCGATTACTCCTTTTATTTACTCTACTTATATTACTTTTTTTTTTTTTTTTAATTGTCTTATTCCCATTAATCTTCCATACTCGTGCCTTTCCCTGTTCGCTGACGAGACGATGGGCGAAAGAAGTTTCTTCCGACATGAAGCAAAAAGAAAGTGCATCAGGCAGTCAATAGCTATATTTTAAAACCTCTTTAAAAGAAAAACGCTATACAGAAGAGATATAGTCGGACCAATAAATTAAAAAAGTAATAATAGGAATGTATACCCCATTACTTGGGGTGGGTTATCGCACAGATGATCTTATTCTTTACGCTTGCTAACCTCACTACGCCAGATTTGTGACAGAAGAAGATTATAAACCAGTTAGATACCAGATCACTCCCAGCTGCCCAGCTCTGGATATTGTCATTATTAAAGATTTTATTCGCTTGTATAATGGTATCGTCAGGAGCACAGGACATCTTAGTTCAAATAAGCTAGGTACTGTAAGGACTACCTTGTAATATACTAAAAGGGTTTTTAGCGGCTTTTAGGAAGTAACATGTAGCAAGATTATGCAGGACAATCAATCCCACGGAGATATATTTAGTATGCAGATCCTATTTAACAAAGAGCCAGCTGGTATCATAATGTAATTAAAGTAAATTAAAAAAGCCTTAACAGCAGAGGGTAAAATTGAGCATATTAAGAAACAAAGCTTAACTTTACTAGGAATGACTTCACGGATCTCGAGTCTTTAATATGGACCCGTAATAGCCCCGCTTTTATTCCAGATCTAAAACACAGGAGTCAGAGAGGCCTTCGATATAAAGTAAAGTAATCAAGTGCTGATTTCCTTAGCTATAAGCTTTTGTTTTAACTATCCATAGTATATCGAGCTGGTGTTCTGCAGTCTGAGCTAAAATAAACCTTGGAAGGTAGCTGGTGGATCAACCAGCCAGCAATAGCTAAAGGAACGAACCCAAATTATGCGGTGTAAGTACATTTAAAGTAGGGCGCGGATCGACTGACACTTAATTAATATCAGAAACAGGATAGGGAAGGGCAGAACACGACACATGAGAGCAAGTCGGACAGTTTACATTAGTTTTGTAACTGGGTGATGCACGCTGTTGCACGCTGTGGCCCTGAAACAAAAACCGAAACGAGAAAGTGGTGGAATCTCAAAGAAATTTGAAATGCGATGAGAATGAGACGTGAATTTAAGCCTTTTGTTTTTCTGGAACGATGTGATATTATGAAGTGCCAAGACGGAATCATACAGATGTCAAGGGCTGGAGCCCGTTTGACCTCTTGGGCCTATTAGGCCTACAAGCCCTATTGTCCCTATATTCCCTCGATAATTTATCATGGAAGGGAACATCCCTCGAGCAGTACATGACGAGATACCTCAACACCGTGGATGAAGCTTACAATCAAATTTTGATCCGGAGCCCAGACAAAGTAAAAGCAAAGAAGCTGCTACATATTGTTACCGCTGCACGGTGGCCGCTGTCCTTGGCGGAGCTATCGCTGGCCATGGCGTTGAAGACAGAGGGTCAGTCCGCGAAGTATATCATGGACGAGAGAAAGCCGGTTGAACCATTTTAAGACAACATTGAGAGACCTCTACAAGCTGCTTCTGATGATCATCGATAACAAGGTTTACCCACTTCATCAGACCATGAAGGAGTTCTTGGTCCAGAAAATATCACTGTCATACAAGACTTCCTCACATGACAGCTGGAAGCATGCCCTTGCTTTAACGGAATCAAATAAAGTTCTTGCAGATATATGCATTTGGTATCTTCATGCTGCTCTGGTGGGAACTGGCTTAGACGTGCTTTAGAGATATTCAGCTTGCTATTGGCCTGCTCGTTTCCATGAAGCCTGTTTCTGCGATTATGACAAGATTGCAGTTCCTTGAAAGCAACTATGTGCAAACAGAATCCAAGATATACGAAACCTGGTCACGTATATATGACCAGCAAGTAGGGACGCTTCCGCATAATGCCAGGCCCCTTATAATGGCATATTTTCTTGGGCTTGAAGCGGTTGTCCGCCAGCTTCTTGGAACTGGTAAGTGGATATGAACTGCAAGGAGTCCAGCAATTGGACACCGCTCTTCTTGGCTGCAGCAAATGGATATGAATGTGGTAAAGCTACAGCTTGACACTGGGAAAGTGGAGGTGAACACTAGGGACTACACCATTGAGACAACGCTCGCATGGGCAGCAGATAATGGACATGAAATGTCCTAGCAATACTCAAGACATCGTAACTTTTGCTTTCAATCGGTCAGTGCTCAATATCATCTTGTTGCTTTGTACAGGAATGCGAGGATGTAATTCGTACTCCTTGTGCAATTTCCAGAGGAGATGCTGGGCATCAGGCTGTACAAAAATCAGTGATACAAATCGAATTACAAGAAAAGAAGGTGGGAATGGAAAAGCAGACCGCTCTGAATCAGTAATGCTTCTGCCCAAAACATAGTCATCTGAGTGAGAAAGAGTGGCCATGTTGGTTCTTAAATCTCGTATTTGGTCGAGCAGCTCCAAGTCCGGTGCTTGTTTGCAGATAATGATGCCACATTTCCGCGTCCTGGGTTGGATTTTTATAATATATCAATAATCCAGTATATTATACTTCGAGCACCTGCCAGAGAACAGGTTCAGAAAAACCTAATGTTAATTTCGTCATCTATATACGCGTGAAGAATGCTAACCACGGCATGTAGAAATTATTTACAACTAGTGCAACTGGTGAGAAGAAGAGCATGCCAATCAGACTGCTTCATCGCTGGTTATGTGAGGGAATTTGGGAGGGTGGCAAGATTTACTGCTATCTCTTCTCCCTAGGCGTTTAAACCTTGTTCTCCCCTAATTTGACTATAGTCCTGGTATCTGTATAGTTAGTCACAATATCCACAACACAATAACCATTTTACAGGTCGTCGTTACAAACCTTACCTACGTCAGTGCATCTCTAATCCAATGACATTCCTTTGTTTTTAATGTAGCACGGGTAAAACCCATATTCTGCATCACTCAATCAAAGCGCATAAAGAGAGTTTTTAAAGCCTGATGAGATAACAACCAGTTGGCTAAACAAGGATAAATCAAGGTAGCATCGCGGTTTTTCGACCAAGGAACCATGAAATATTGGTAGAGGGGATATCTTAACCATTATTTCAAACATCCGACTAGACTTGCTAATTCCGCGCTCTGTACTTCTGTCTACAGCACTTTGCCAATTGTTATTCTGTCCGAAATACATAGGCCTTAGCTGGCAAATCGATGCTTATATATCTGTTACTCTCCCATCTTCGAAAGCCGATGCTTTGGAGATTGTCGTTATGTTGTTATCAACGAATAAGCAGAGCGACTACCTGTCCGTACGAACGCTGAGATACCTGGCATATTGATATAGGTCGTCACGTATCCTTGATTACCCCACAAGGAAAACAGTGACGGTGAGTGTTGAAGAGAAGCATGATTTATATTTAGCCAACATTCCAGTTTGGGAAATTTCGAGAGAACTTGTGTCTCAACACTCAAAATGTAAAGGCAAAATATTCGGACAAGTCGGCTTCAACTATATGTCTCACATACATGGGCTAGCATACAACCAGGATCGTGGTCCCTCCTAAGCTTCATGGTCCCACGGGCAGGCCAGGCCTTCAGATACCCGAGGTTTGTACTCTTCTTCTGCGTTCTCCCGTGTATCGAGAGTCTGAAGACAAGCTGGTGGACCAAATCTGGTTGTATTCATAGTTACACGGCAAAGTCTTCTCACCTCCCCGGGATCGCATCTGGTGATTGTATTATAGTCTGGTTGAAGGGTGACTCTGGCATAGACAAAGGGGGATACACTAAGATAATTCTGTCACGAGGTGTGAGCCTCGACAACAGGGTAGACATGCCTGTGACCTTGTTCCACGGTCGACTCTCAAATACCCCCGCCCGGAGCTTTTCATTCAGTCAGGCTAGTTTCCAAGCCATCGGATTCAGCCCGGAGTTGAAGGTATCAGTGGAGAATGGCAAAGTTACCACAGAACCATTGGCTGGGACGGAATTACGCAAAGGGACAGAAGTCGAAGTCAATCGTCTGCGGCAAGATTTGCTGAATGATCCCAAAGAGATCGTGGAACACGTGCTGTCCGTTAAAGCACCGATTGGAGAGATTCATCAGGTTGTAGAGAATAAAGAAGGCACCATTATGGTGGAGGATCTGATGTCTGTTCGATCACGTTGTAGTGTCTAACATCTTGGGTCTTGGGGGACAGGCACACTTCAGCTCGAAAAGGATGCCAGGGATACATTAGAATCATGTTCCTATAGATCACGGCGACTGGTACTCGAAGCCATTCAACATATAGAGATTCAGCCGAGGGAGCTATATGCCGGGGCCATAGTAATGCTGGATGATGTCAAATCTCTTGAAGCGCCTCTCGTTCTTTGTAATGTGTTCCAGGACAATCATAAGCAATGGATACAGGCTGGTGCAAGGATCATTTCACAGTCGAATCCAGAAAGAGAACTCACTGAAACTGACGAGAAGTTGACCAGGATTGCACCATCTGTAGTTGAGGAGGCTAAGTAGTAAGAGTAGCTCGTAGTGATAATATGTATGGTATTCTTTTGAGAATAAGATGTTAGAAATTCTGTTTTCTCTTCCTTTCTGTATAGTTTTCATCCCGTGCCTGAATCCACGTGGGTACCCCTCATCAATTCTCCTGAACCAACTTCTCTACTTCAACCTTCCAACCTCCACCCAACACCATGGCCCACAGCTTCCACGGCACTCTCATCCACTCCATCTCCCCCTCTACCCTTGAAATCCTCGCCAACACCCTTATCGTCGTCTCGTCGTCCGGAACCATCCTTTCCATCCACCCGTCCACCGACCCGGACGACATCCCCTCGCTCCTCTCCCCCCACCACCTCACCCCATCCACCTGTCCCACGCTATTCCTCTCATCCTCTCAATTCCTCTGCCCGGGCTTCATCGACACGCACACCCATGCACCGCAATGGTCCCAACGTGGTCTCGGCCGCGGCCTACCCCTCCTCGCCTGGCTTGAAACCCTCACCTTCGCCAACGAAGCCAAATGCGCATCTCCTGACCACGCCACAAAACTCTACACCTCATGCGTCCGCGGCGGTCTCAACCAAGGCATCACCACAGCATGCTACTACGGTTCGCTGCACAAATCTGCCTCATTGATCCTCGCCCGCATCTGTCTCCAACTCGGGCAACGTGCCCTGATCGGTAAATGCAATATGAACCGCCACGCACCCTCCTGGTACACCGAGTCCTCGACCGACCAATCTCTCGTCGACACTGAGTCCTTCATCCACGAACTTCAAGCCCTCGACCCCATCCACAATCTCATCACCCCCGTGTTAACACCTCGCTTCGCCATTTCTTGCTCCCCTGATCTTCTCTCCGGACTCGGTGATCTGGCCCGGAAACACCCCCATCTCCCTATTCAAACCCATTTCAACGAATCCCGCGCCGAAATTGACTTCACGGCCTCTCTATTCCCCACCTTCACCTCGGAAACCGAGATCTACGAATCCTTCCATCTCCTCACCAACAAGTCGATTCTCGCACACGCCATATTCCTCAAACACGGGGAGCTGGACCGACTCAGACAATTGGATTGTGGCATCGCGCATTGTCCTGTCTCGAACACCTGCATGGATGAATACATGATTGCGCCGGTGCGAGAGTATCTCGATGCCGGGATCAAGGTCGGACTGGGCACTGATTGCGGCGGCGGCTACACGAGTAGTATGTTGGAGGTTATGAGACAGGCGTATTTGGTTTCCGTGGCGCGGAAGACCATCTCCCAGGGTAAGGGTGAGGCGTTGTCGGTCGATGAGGGATTTTATATGGCCACGTTGGGAGGAGCCAGGGTTGCGGGTTTGGATGCTAAAGTTGGGAATTTCGTTCCCGGAAAGGAACTGGATGCCCTGTTGGTTAGTGTGGATGTGGATGGGGTCATGGCTGATGTGGCCGAGGGAGAGAGCCGTAGAGATGTGTTTGAGAAGTTTGTTATGACCGGGGATGATCGCAATATTGTCGGGGTTTGGGTGAGAGGAAAGAGAGTCAAGTAAATAATATTACGAGGTAGATAATAATGTCATGGTGTCTCGGATATCTGTATTAGCATTATTCATGTCGTTTCTATGGTCTTCTAGTCTATTCACATATCGCTGCAATATATGCACTCACTGCCATGTCCCTATCTCGGGCCCGAAAAATCCTGATTCGGGCAGCTTCTTCCACGGAGTCCCCATCCCATCAGCCGTCTGCTTAAATACCTCATTCCCCCACCAGTGCAGCGTGCCAGCGGGAAGAATAATGCAAAAGAAGATGACCACGGTGGCTACAGCGACGCCCGAGTCCAATGCGGCAGACAGAACGTAGTCTTTTCAGGATCAGCTACGTCAGCCAGAAGGGGGGGATAAATGCACTTACTATACTTCGCCCACCAAGCCGGTTTCCGTCGCTTGATGATTCCATTGAAGATGGAGTTCACTATCCACCACGAGGAAAAGCTGATCCCCGTCGCTGGAGGGACCTGGCTCATAGCGCCGAACGCTACCGGCCATGACACATAGCTGAACTGCTTCCAGCGACGTCCCAGGAGATATGTGATGACCACAACAACAGGTCCAACTAGGAAGAACCACAGTAGATTGCCATAAATCTCACCCGAGGAAAAATTTCTCGCAGGACCGAGCGCGCCTAAGAAGTCAGTACCAAATTCTTACTTCTGTAGAAAACTAAAGTGGGAGAGTATCATACCCCATATCAGAGACGATGAGTACGTCACATGTCCATGAGGGCAACTGAATCCACCGGCTGAATCTGGTTCACAAATACCATCAACCCGAGTAATCATAAGTACGGTCACACCGCATTGCACTGCAGCGCCGATCAGCGTAGCCAGTCCCTGAGCCAGAAACAGTATGCGGGGAGGAATGTGCAGGTAGTGCGCGAGTTTCATGTCGGCAACAAACCTACCCAGTCAGAATAATTTCGATTGGTCGCCCAGGATGAACTTACTCAAGTCCTTGTGATACAGCCACATATCCATAGAACTTAAAAGCCATATTGGCAACAGGACGTCCGAGGAATGCATATCCTCCGATAAACTCTGTGATTAAGTTCAGCTGGTTGCTCGAGATATTAGTCACCGCTTTGATAATCCCAATTGGAATGAAGTAGACCGCCGGTAACAGATACGCCAGAAGCACCGCCCAAGCGGGTAAGCCCGTATGCCACACTTCATTGGTCACAATACTCAGGACAAACATCAGGAGCGTCACAACGCCAAACCACCACCATGGTACTTCGACGTACGACTGCATCAGTCGCGAATGGATATCTTTTTTGTTCCGTCCCTTCCATTGCTCCCATAGGTCTTTCCAATGGTAAAGTCCAATGTGGACAAAGATACCAGTCAGGTTCGCAAACGCGACCCCGTAAGTCACCGCATAACCCGCCGGAAGGAACATGGGGGAGTAGCTGCGGTAAGCCTCTGCATTCACCGAACCGTCTGGATTCATGACACGATTAACCTTGTAAGGTTGACCCTTATTGTCAAAGGTATTGGGGTTGAGCAGTGGCAAGTAGGCAGAATACCAGGTGTTAGTGTAGTACAAAATCGGGCAGATAATCCAGAAAAACAGAACAAATGACCCCATAACATTACACCCAGCCCAAAAAGGAACCAAAAGCGGACTTTGGTTGGCAAAGACTACTTGCGCCCAGTCAAATGTGAACACCGACATGCCTAGCCCAGTCCGCTGGCCAAACAGCTGATTGAGGACTACGTTCGTTGGCGCAATCCAGCAGATAAAGCTGAAGGTGCTCAGCGCTGTGAAGAGGTAGCCTGGAACGAAATACCAAATAGCTCCAGCGAACAAAACTAGGAGGAAGAAGCGCAGGCGTGAAATGATCCAGCCATCCGCAAGAATATTGGACCGAGAATGCAGGGTAGACAGAAGCGCAGCGTTGGATAGGACCTGTGGCCAGATCATCGTTGCGGGCCCCACGAGCCAGCGTGAGGCCATCCCAGCCAGACCAAGCCCAAACAACTGCGTGGTGATGGTGAACAGGATCTCGAAGCCACCCTTGGAGGGCATGCCATAGAACTTGACCATGGCTTCGATGACCTGGGTTGCTGCAGCCGAGCCAAACGAGACATTGGCCATAATCGTAACCAAGGCATGCTCTTTGATGTTGAAATGGCGATCCGGATTCAATCGACCCAGCGGCATCCATCGGGCCCAAGCACAGCCAACAGGGTATGCAGCCAGCTGTGCAACCAGCGCACTGATGGTGACACTAGGCTGCCGCAAGCTAAAAAACTGATTCAAACCGCTTCCAACCTATAGCCGTCAGTCTCGTCGGAGGTCTGTGCTACACAGGCCCATCTATCCAATCAGACATACTACGGTGAAGAGAAGTCCAATTATCCACATGCGAACGGTATTAATCGGTAGCAGTACATCATCCTTGGGCTGCACAGCAGCCCGTACCTCCGGGAAAGGGGAATCATCGGCTTCGTAAGGTAGGATCTCCGCGGCATCCCGGTCGCTCAGAACGGCAATGTCATGGTCTGTGCCCCGGGGGAGTGGTACCTAACAATCAACGGGGGGTTAGAATATAGTGTCTCGGGGAACCACGGGCGATCTTGACTGTTGGGCCCCTTCCACGACGGGGGTCGGGAATGGGCGGTTTCCAATGCAGTAGGGCCACCAACCACGTGGGAAGCAGGTCAACCGAAGAACGGGATAGGGGAAGGTTACAGAGCAAAACAGACAGGGCTGTGAGCAAGATTGTGATGGGGTAAGGTTGCACTGGAAAAATTGGGTCAACCCACCTGGATTGAGACGTCCCGCAGCGACTTTTCATCAGACGATAGCTCTATAGGCATCGCACATGCAGCAGGCTAGCAGGAACAAAATCGGGATTAGCATGAACCTGAATGTGGGAGAAATCGGCACACTGAGGGTTTCTGATTCCTGAATCGTGCCAGATGGTGGCGGCAGCACAGGTAGTGTGGCCCCATCAGGTTTAGTGCCTGAGCCCGTGACGCCAAGCCGCCCGATTGTCGGCACCTTCCGCTGCCACTTGCTTCTTTCTGGAATTCAAGAATACAACGAATTTGTTGCTCCCCACTTGGTGTTTGGGATTGTTCAGATCAATATGGTGACGATCTTGGACAGCTTGTGCACAACCCCTCCCTAATGCAGCAGTACAGAGTAGGTAGTCCAGACCGTCCACTACTGTGCTCCAGTGTAGACTAAGTAAATGTAGCAGGTGATTTACATCATAACCGTGGCTGTCGGAATAGCCCGCCAGATCGGTCACGCAATTGCTTCCCACGAGCCTGAGAATGAATCACTGACTCGCTGACTATCTGCGGCGGTCTGTCCAACAACCGGCTACACCTTCCTTTGATCAGAATCCGAGAAAATTATTCTAATTGTGTGTGGAAGTTGCACCAAGCGGGTTGAGCCGACGGTCGGATCTAGGCGCTTCCACCCGACAGCCATCTCGACTAGTCAACACAACAACCCAACCGTACTCCATAGAAATTCGATGGCCAGTCATCCTCCGTGAGATAAGATAGTCGTGACAAATTGTCTGTTCCGTGGGGGGATAGAACGGCCGTGGCTATGGCGTGCAGAATACCTATCGAGTGGAATCTGACAAATTGATTGGCATTGCTTCATCCTTTGATCTCTATATTTTGCCTCCTACATTTCTCATTTTGATCCTGTCTTGTTTTGTTGGTTCTCGCCTATCTAGTGACTATCCAATCTAGAGAGGGGCCTTCTGATCTGGTCTTCCAAAGTGTGGATAATACTATACACAGGCACAAATGGGGAACGACACACCCTTCGCGCAGCGCCCTGTCATCATTTTAGGCGCTGGGATTATCGGCTGTGCTACAGCACGACAGCTACTTCTCAATGGCTTTCGTGTTATACTGGTAGCGGAGTATTTACCTGGCGATCAGAACATCTTCTATGCATCCGCTTGGGCCGGAGCTGCATGGCATGCAGCTGGCGGCATCTGTCCCGAATATCAATACCTCCAGGCTGTTACTCACCGTCATCTGCTCATGATGGCCCAGGAGGATCTGGAATCTGGGGTCTGTATTGTTGATTCCCGCGAATACCTCGAGCAGCCCCCTTCCAGTTCCTCTCTCTGGGGGAAGAACGTGGTGTCCAAGGTAAGGTGGCGGACTTCAGACAAGGCGAGGGAGAATGGCCAAACACTAAACCTGAGATCAGTTTCGAGAGTTGGGCCCTGACGAATACCCCTCCAATTTTAGTTGTGGGTGGGCCTTTGACTCTCTTGTTACAGATCCTACACGACATATGCCATATCTTGGCAAGAAGATCACGTCGCTTGGTGGTCATTTTATCCGGAAGCGAGTCGAATCTCTGCAGGAGCTATACACCATGTTCCCTGAGTCGTATATCTTTATCAATGCCAGTGGACTGGGCAGCAAGTCACTCACTGATGTCCAGGACGACAAGTGTTTCCCTGAACGAGGTCAAAATGTGTTCTTGCGGACGGGCAACTGCAAAACAATGTACTTCCGCAACGGCAAAGAATATACTTACATTATTCCCCGACCACTATCCAACGGCCTTGTACTAGGAGGGGTCAAGGAAAGGGATAATGTGTACGTGGTCGAAGTTTTGCTACCTCAAATCTAACCCTTGGCTGACCATATGTAGTTCTCCTGAAGTAGACATGGAAATTGCTCGAGATGAAATCGCGCGTGCCCATCGTCTTGCCCCCGATATTATCCCGGAGAATCCCAGTGAAGATGCACTCAGCTATATTGTTGGTATCCGTCCCTCGAGGCAAGGCGGATTTCGTCTGGATTCCGAGCAAATCGGCAGTCGTATAATCCTATCTGCCTATGGCTTTGGTGGAGGTGGATATGCCTTTTCGTATGGTGTAGCCGACGCTCTTACGAAGATGGTTGAAAAGGCGGAATGTGAGAATGTGATTCTTCAAGCTGGTTCTTGAATTTTTGGACTCAAAATCGAGGGTCTTGTCGTATCTGTATTCTCTGGCTCATCTTTAGCTAGACTGAGGTTGGTCTACCTTTATGTATGGAGATACATTTGAAGAAATATTGGGTTAGCATAATTTAATACACTACATCTTTTAGCAATTAGTATGGATCTATTACTTTTCTCCAGACGGCTTAATTTGATTCACTTTTTTTATTAAATGCCCAAGCTCACACAAAAGACAAACCACCTTCCGATCTCATTCTTTCCATAAAGATAGCTTAAGCACACCAGCCCATTTAACACAAGGCCCTTCACTCCAAGTTGCATGTCTTGAATTTCTCTTCGCCTAAGGGATATATACAATGGAAGAACCACCCCCCCAAATACCTATAATGCAACCTGCGAAGCCGTGGAGATATTCCAACCTGTAATCAACATGCGTTTGTTCAAGACCGACAACACGGGAAACCCAAACATTCTTCGGCATGTAAAGCACATAAGCCAAGACCTGGAAAAGGACTTAACCAGAATTCTGACTATCAGCAGCATTCGGGTTCGCTGTCAAGTTCAGGATACGAACGAAGATCTGTAGGCTCGATGGTTTAATCTAAGGCAAAAAAATTTTTGGAAAATAAAAACCTGAAAGTAAAAAAATTGAAACATGAGAGAAACATGAAAAAGAATCTTTGACCGACGCAGGGATCGAACCTGCAATCTTTTGATTCGTAGTCAAACGCCTTGCCATTGGGCCAGCCGGCCTTTCTTGTGTTGAAAGTGAACAACTTTTGACATTATTAACCTTCTCAAAATATTGGTTTAAATCACCAGCCGCTAGCTAGTATATTACGAGGCCAAAGATTCTCTAGTGTAGTCACTTTCAAGTGCTGCTCAATGACAGGGCTTAAATGGATCCGATATACTGAGGTTCTTTTAGTATATTAAGCTCAAGATGATTCTCCTCTCTGCACAATGTACTATATAGTCGTGGGTTGCAGAATATTAAAACCCTCAAGTTGCGACGCAGGACGTCGAAAGGTTCTGTCAGCTTCTTATTTTCTGCTTCCAATTTCGTCATCTGGGTAGTGGTGGTAATCACTAGAGAAGGAGGCTTAGCCAGCCAGCGATTTTCGTTACTTCGTCTACTTTGCTTAATCGGTGACGACGGATAGACTTGATTTTCAATTCCATCGTTTTATGGTTTTTGCCAAAGTCAAATGCCGTGTGTGCTCGGGCGTACATGAGAGTGTCGACCGCTTGAAGCTGATCAAGAAGTACTTCCAACATAGCTGAATAATCAAAAGAAGGCGCATACGTTGATTGAGGTACTTATTCTGCCCGATTAGTCTTCGCAGAAGACAATTTGAGTCTGCTGCCTACTATCACCTGGACTACTTTGGTTTGTCCTCTCGTTGATAACGGCATCTGCCTCTTGAGCTTTCAATGGCTGTCAGTCCATCTTTGAATAGCTGTATTTATCGCACCCTTGAAGAGTTGTATCTGCATGTCACGGCTTTCAACGACCTCTTTGTCTGGGGACAATGAATCACACCGTAGAGCTTTCTTCCTGTATAGTGATGCGAGAATTTATGTTTGCGCGTAGATTTTTGATAGAAGCCCCTTCAGGTCTAATGTATCATTTAGATCGGCATGTAGGTAGGGAACACATGTCAGCTCTTCTTTCGTAGCCAGCTCTTTGCAGAGCAAGAAGTATTTCAAATGCAGTATACAGGTAGTTAATCCCCTTGGACATAGCAGTGCTTTTTTATACTTAAAATCGTGGCGAAAACCAGTAGGGTGAAACTATCCTCAGCCACTTAATTAGCGCTTTTGAAAGTACCAGAGTACGTTGTATATGGTCCTAGTTTCATACTTATCTCCATCAACGCAGATCGAATTAAGACATTGGAGAGCCGTATCGAATTCCTTCTTTTGTTGATTGAAACTCACGGTCCTCTGGACTAGACAACGATACTGGCAGAAACTCCGCATTGTCAAATTTAAATGTTTGAACGAAGCATTTTTCCTGGCCAGATGATATATATGAAACTGTTGCTTTGGTCTGCTACAGTCAACCAAAATTTTGGAATCAACCATGAGCTTATATGGTCCTAATCATGAGTATAAATGTTTTTTATCTTCTATGCTTGCTGAATATTTATGATTTAGACAAGGTACATCTGCTGATACAAGTCCGAAATCTGAATTTTTTTTTTTTGGCAGATGAAAGGGGCCCGTATTATTCTCTGATTGGCATTGCCTTTCTATATGTATAGCACAACGTGGCTATGATCAGGCTAAGAGCCACTCATAAAGGTTTTGTCAGAATGAGAGTCACTTAGAGCTGCACTAGGTCCCTACATATGTGAAGTATCCGTGGTTACTTTTGAATCCTTCTGGAAATATCAAATATATTAAGGAGCCACATCATAGACCGCAGCTCTAAGGCGATTATTTATGCAAGAACTGTTGCTGATGTGCTCTCTTGCCCTTGGGTGATGTAGAAGGACGTTGGAGCTTAGGTAAATATAGAGAGAAATAGTGTAAAGATGTTGTAGAATGAGGACATAGCGTACCATTTCCCTTATTTATATAGCCCAACTACAACCTGGATTAATGATTTAAACAGTGCATAGTAAAGAATGTATTGCTTATACTTTCAGTAGTAATGTCTTTATTCTTGCTCAATTGAATTTCCAAGGACAAGTAGACTAAATAAACGGCCAATATTCAATAAATCAACCCCTAGTCAATCCTCCCATAAAAAAGCTGGACATATAATTAATGTAACAGTTATTTGCTACAATCTTCCTTCTGTTCTCCCCTGTAAATGACTGGTTCTCTAAGCCTACCTTCCCTCTTGCCTCTGCTTGTTCGTTGCACTGCCGATAATAGCCATTACTCTGACTCCTCTTGTTGACAACCTGATATATGTCTCCATATAAAGAGCCTCGATCTATTATTTGTGCATAGCTTCAGCCCCCCCCCCCCCCCCCCCCCCCCCCCCCCCCCCCCCCCCCCCCACACCAGGATAAATCAAAAATTGGCTTGGATGATGAGTTATTTAACTAGAAGTCTTAGATATGGAACGTGTCAGCTTTTTTTTTTTTTTTTTTGGTCATGTCATTCTGCCACCTCTATCAATGGAGAAAAAAGTCTTTAAGGGCGCGCAGTTCAACCCTTTCTTTGGCGAAGATTATTTAATGGTGAATTAGTATTAATAATGAAGTACTCCGATCTGCGTATACAATACAAACCGCCCTAGTCCAGAGAGCGGATTTCAAACCTTATTCCAATGGTTCGGGCTCCAGCCTAAGCTGCAACCTACAGAGTATGCATGCTACATACCGCGGAAGCTCCGGAAGCTCACCTACGTTCCTTGCCATTCCCAAAATGATTCATGGGTTCCAATTAAGCAATTTCATTCTATAACGTAGACTTCTCATTCAGCCCAACGACGATTTCCCCTGTTGGTTGTTCGCTCCACACAATTGAACACCTTTGGGCAACATCGATTTACGACTGCCTCTCGCAAAGAAATAATTCAATGTCGTAACGTCCAAACCGCTGCGCGATATTCTCCAGGGGTTGACTATTCCTAAATTCCTGATATTGCACCCTCCCATCCAGAACTTCCACCTTTCAACCCTGATCAAAACCTCGTCGACTCGAGAGGATTCTTTAGCAGTTCCGACATTAAGAAGAATCCTCATTGATCAATTCGTGGGAAATCCAAGCGGCAACTCATCCCGCATTTTGATTAAAGGCACACCACGGTCACTATATATGGCTTCCAACAACGGCTCATCCGACTTGCCCCTGCGAGAGGACTCGGATAGGGATATCAATAAGGTGATTAAAAAAAGGGAAGTTGACGGCCCTGAACCAACACCTGCAGCAGAAAGAGGAAGAGGCGGTGGTGGTGGCGGAGGTGGAGGTGGAGGCGGGGGAAGAAGGGGGCGTCAAAAGAAAAGTGAAAGAATAGAGGAAAAAATTGATGAGGAAATAGATGAGGAAGTGGAAGTGGAGGGGGGTGGGGGAGGAAAGGAGAACGACAGTGCAGGGGGTCAGGGTGGAAAAATGAGAAGAAGAACCTATATAAAGAGGAGAATCAGAAGAAGCAGACGAGACAATGGTGATAATGAGAAAGAGGAAGGAGGAGGCGGCGGCGAAGGTGGTGGAAGAGGTGGAGGTGAATGGGAGATTTATCCTAAGGTCAAGTCGAAGTTGTAAAAGTATTCCTGGATGCTTGTATATATTTCCATGTTTCTGATCATAATATCGATTGGAACTTCTTTGATTCAAATGCTTCCATCAATTGTATTCGTGCCTAGTTTCTTATGGTAGACACCCCTATTTATAATAGTAAGAAGTATCTAGCCAACACATGCCCTAAAAAGAGAAAAAGGACTGCTCAGTCTCTCTCAAAAAGCCACTAAAGGAAGGAGTAACCCCTACCGCTTCTATCCTAAATCCATGTGTAGGGAGTGCCACTTGTTTTTATATAAAGATTTAGTTGCGAAATGTTGAGAATCTCGGGGAAGGAGCTATGTCGTGAGGTGCTAGGATAGCGGTGACTGGATAGTATATTGAAAACTATCGTGCGATCTAGTATCGCTTGGTGAGTATATTCTTCTATCTAGTAGAGAGAGCGTAGACAAACGCTTCCTCATGTCTACGTGTCCCTTAGCACCTGGATGTGATATATCACATCGCTGCGGGACTAGGACATATGAAGGTGCCTTAGGCATCCTGATTTCCAACACGAAACACTATTAAAACTACTGCAGATCTTAATACTGTAGTGGAGGAATTCGGGGGATTGGCACGTGACATTTGTATGGATAGCTATTATCTTAAGTCCTCGTTCGAAGAGGTAATAGACAATCAACAACCTTCTCACAGACCACGGGACGCAGTTGCGTAAAGGGAATGTTGCCTTCCCTCCTACCAGGAACTTGTGGGCTCGGGGCCCACAACTTCTGAACTGTCTAAAAGTGTCTCCTTGACCTA